ACCTAAGCAAGGTTGCTGCAGCATCAGAGTACATCTCTGATGCCACATTACATGCGGCCAGGTTCTCATCTAGAGTGACAGCATCCATCTCAGCACGCAAGATGTTATGGCTCAGACATTGGCAAACTGACCCAAAAGCTAAATGGTGTCTAGCCACGGCCCCCTACAAGGTTGGGCAACTATTCAGAGAAGCGCTGAACCCTTACCTGACTGAAAACAAGGACAAGCGGGAGGTCCTGGCCCACTCCAGCAGGCGGGCTGACAGGCGTTCAACCCCATATGCACGCAGGCAGTCCTTTTGGTCAGGAACCGAGCCCTTCCCCCAGCCATCCTGGCCTCACATTCCTTTCACTCCCAGGCAAGACCACCAACTGGACAGGGCCGGACCCAAACCCAGACACCAAACCCAAAGCAAACCTTTCGGGGAGGAGGCTGCCCCTACAGTAGATTCAAATGACTCCCGAACAACCCTCCCCATAGGTGGCAGGCAAATTTCACCCACCAGTGGGAAGCCACCAGTACGGACACCTGGATTTGGCACGCCATACGTCTCAGTTTGTTCCTAGAGTTCTTATTCAACCCCCCAGAACGATTTGTCCCTTGCCCTCAGCCAAGGAACCCCACCAAAAGCAACCTCATGCGAGAGGCCATTAGACACCTCCTAGAAATAAAAGCCATAGAGCAGGTGCCAGTGGAAAACCGGAGACGGGGATTCTACTCCATCCTATTCGTGGTTCCCAAGTCCTCGGGGTGATGGAGGGCAATCCTAGACCTCAAGGGCCTGAACCATCATATCATCCACCGAAAGTTCAAAATGCAAACCCTGCACTCCATCTTGGGCAGCATATGACACGGCATCTTCCTGTCATCCATAGATCTCACGGAAGCATACCTTCATATCCCCATTGCTCACAGTCATCAATGGTTCCTCAGGTTCTGCTATGTGAGACACCACTTCCAGTACAGGGCACTGCCGTTTGGCCTCTTGTCAGCCCCACGAGTCTTTACCAAGATCCTGGCAGTACTGGCCACACACCTACGAACGATACCGGTGCGTGTCCAGTGCTACCTGGACAACATTCTCATCCAATCATCGTCCCCACAGGTCACGCAATCGGACCTAGCGTTAACAATCAGAGTCCTACAGGAGCACAGGTTCTCAGTCAACTTCCAAAAGAGTCAGACCAGCCCAGCCACCCACCTATTACACCTAGGCACAATCATAGATACACTTGGGGCAGGTTTACCTGTCACAGACATGTCGTGACAGCATATGTTCCCTAGTCTCCAGGGTACGCAGGGAACAAACAGTTTCCCTGGTCGTACTATCCCAGCTGCTGGGCAAGATGGTATCATGCATAGCAATGGTGCCCTGGGCGAGATTACATTCCAGGAACCTTCAGTGGTTTCTCCTTTCATTCCAGAGGCTGAAACTCAGCTCCTCCAACAGAAGGGTATGGGTGCCTCCAGAAACACTACGGTCCCTCAAGTGATGGTCATCGCCAGCACTAGCCAGAGGGTCACACTTCAAGGAACCCGACCGTATCACATGACGGACGCCAGACTGTTTGGCTGGTGGACGCACCTGCAGTCCATGTGGGTGCAGGGCCAATGCTCCCAGAAGGATCTGGAACACAACATCAACTGGTTGGAGCTAAGGGCCATAGACCTGGCTCTCCGACACTTACACAACAGGGTAGCGGGACAACACATACTAGTCCTCACAGACAACGTGTCCGCAAAGGCACATGTAACAGGCAGGGGGGAACCCAATCCAGGTCTCTCATGACAGAGGTCCAAGCACTGGGAGACTGGGCAGAGGAAAACCTCGCCTCCATCAGGGCCGAGCATATCTCGGGGGAGGCAAACAGACAAGTGGACTTCCTAAGCAGGTCAATCGTGGATCATGCCGAATGGAGTCTGCACCCGGACCTATTCATGGAGATAACACAAAGGTTCAGGCGACCAGTGGCGGACTTGTTTGCATCCCTGGCGAACACCCAACTCCCAAGGTTCTTCTCAAGGTTCCCATCATTGGGGGCAGAGAAAACGGACACCCTACGTTGCCCTTGGCCAAGGGGACTTCTTTATGCATTTTTTCTTCTTCCGGCAACAATCCGCAAGGCATTGCAGGAACGGGCGGAGATCATATCGTAGCCCCACACTGGCCACGAAGACCTTGGTTCGCGGACCTGGTGAATCTCCAGGTCCCCTCCATGGAGGATACCCCCAGACCAAGTGTCACTCAGCCAGGGGGATCTACAACACCCGGAACCCCAATGGCTTCAGTTAGCCACCTGGCACTTGAACGCCAAATCTTGAGCAGGGAATCGTACCCGCCAAGAGTAATTTCCATGATCCAAGCATCCTGCCAACCGGCAATCAATCACATCTATGACTCCACATGGAGAAATTTCTGCAATTGGTGCGAGAAGTGAACGTTCAATATCTCGGGCCTAACAGTTCCAAACATACTGGAATACTTACTCAATGGCCTGGACAGGGGCCTAGCACTGAACACCATTCACAGACAGGTCGCGGCGCTTTCCACTTTACTCACTTGTGCCAACTCAGTTCCCTTGGCACAGCATCCCAAAGTTCGCACCTTCCTGAAAGGCGCCTCCCAGGCAAAACCACCTGTGGTTTACAGGCACCCCTCATGGGAACTACCACGGGTCCCTCGGGCCCTCACCAAGGCACCATTCAAATCCATCAAGTCTTGCACTCTGAGGGCCCTATCCCTCAAAGTAACCTTTCTGGTCGCCATAACCTCGGCCAGACACATTTCCGAGCTCACGGCTCTGTTGGTCAGGGAGGACCTTTGCACCTTCCATCAGGACCGGGTGATCCTCTGATTGGACCCAACCTTTATCACCAAGGTTAATACCCATGTTCCATAGGGTCCAGGAAATCGTCCTACCGAATTTCTGTGCCAACATGCCCTGGAACAGCAGTGGCATACACTGGATGTCCAGAGGGCACTACGACACTATATCAGGCGGACGGCACCCTTATGCAAATCAGAAGTTCTCTTCGTTTCGTTCCACCACACCTCTAGTGGACAGAAGGTATCCGTCTCAACCATAGGCAGGTGGATTAGACTTTGCATTGTAGAAGCGTATCAGTCACTTTCTCTACCAACACAGCGCATTCCACTCGCAGCCCTGCAACCTCCACGGCGTGGGCCACACGGGCTTCTATCGAGGAGGTTTTCAGGGCGGTGACATGGTCCTCGCCCTCCCTGTTCATCCGACATTATAAGATAGACCGTTTTGCCTCAACGGACGCTTCCTTCGGAAGGAGGGCCCTACAACAGGTAATCTCTACAAACACAATTTCGTCCTCTTCTGATTCCCACCCATTAGTACAGTGAGGCTTTGGTATGTCCCATTGTGGATTCTACGTCTCCAGTGCTGGAGAAGGGGCGTTGTCTTACCTGAACGCCTTTTCTCAGCACGGAGACGTAGAATCCATTCCCACCCTTAAAATAATTAAGATCATATTAGAGAACCGGGAGCCATCGCGTCAAAAATTGTAGTCAGCTGTTTCGCCTTCATCAAGAATGGGGAGGAACTACCCCAGGACGGGCGTGACAAATTGGCTGACACAGTCTAATGGGCAGGAAGGCAGAATTAACCCATTGGTGGATTCTATGTCTCCGTGCTGAGAAAAGGCATTCAGGTAAGACAACGCCCCCTCTCACTGGAATAATAGTACTGGGTATGTAGTTGTCCAGATAGTTCTTTTTTTTAAGCTAATAAGTATAAGATGGATGGCAGAAATGGCTGAAAATAGTCTATAATAGTCTAGAATTACATATTAAAAATTCAGTAAAAGATATCAGAAAGTTAGAAATGTGTTTTTCTGTTATTATGCAGTGTCATCAATTGCTTAAAATATTTCACAATTAAGCAAAGTACCATGAAAGCATGTACTGGGCTGTATGGATTGCTGGCTTTCCAAGCATAATATCCCTGGACAATTAATGTATCTGAGTTTCCTATTTCTGATGGTTGAACCAAATACATATGTGATCCAGGATTATAATGTGCATGTTATATAGATGAAATTCAGTCCATTTCCATGAATTTTCATCTACTAATTTTAATGGTAGCTGATGACACTATTTCTATCTTTCTGACCATCACAGATATACTTCCAAACACTTGTTATGTACGTGTGCTTTATTTAATATTAAATAAAATTTAGTAAATAATTAATGGGCAGGGTTATTGGCATGGATAGATAAGGCACACTTGGACAAGAAAGGGAGTGGATTAATTTGCTTTGATATGTTAATAATATGCAAGAAATTCAATTAAGGAAATGACTGAAACTTTGCTTCAGTTATTATTCTCTATTCAAATTACACTGAATATGCCTCAATTCTTTTTTCTTCTTTTATGGTACAGATTTGTGGATGCCCCAAAAGTATTTCAATTTATACCATTGACATTTGGTCGCCAGTTGCTGATTTTTAGTAGTATAAGTTTTTAAAAAGTGAAATAAGCCTCAGACAGTTGTGTTAAGCAGCTTGAGGAATTAGTATATTTATTTTGAGTTAACATAGTCCTTCAAATTTCCTAAAACAAAAAAGAGTGAAATATGTCTCATTTACTTTTGTAATGTTATTGCAATGCCCATGGTAGCCCTTGTAAGCCAAAAAGAAAAGAATGCAGACCAAGTCAAACAAAAATTGGCCATTCTGCTCTATTTGTATCTGCTATAAGATAACATGATAGTGAGTATGCTGTGTTAGATGCATGAAGGGAGATAGTTACTTGGTCAGCTGCTCATTCTGATATTGCAGCATTTGCAATCTCAGTCTTATTCTTCTAGTAGGATATACTCAAATATTATTGTACTGTAAAATGCAAAATAAATTTTGGGTTTTCCCTTTGCATTGAAGGTACTAAGAAAGGTTCAGCTGTTTTCCAATTTATTGTTGATGTTTTAAAAGTTAAAGTTAAAAGTTATAGAGGTAAATTTTTCTCTTGTAGGTGAAGCAGGCGACCAATCAAATAGTGATGAATTGTGCTGACATTGATATTATTACAGCTTCATATGCACCAGAAGGAGATGAAGGTAGGATGGGATATAAATGCAGTTTCTGCATTTTTAATCATCAAACATAATATTACTATGATAATACTTTCAATTTGTAGTAAGTGTTTCAGCTTTGTTTGACATTAGACAGCCTCTTGACCACATTTTGAATGATAATTACATTTTGCTGCATTGTAGATATTAAAAATAAGAATATAAAAATCTATTAATAAGGAGAAAATATGTTCTTCCATTTTAAGAGATAAGAAGGAATTTACCATTTTTATCCTGTAATTTGTCAATCCTTCAATCACTCAAGCTTTATTATACCTGGCCTTGAGCTGTTTGTAACCGGGTTGTTGAAATGGTGGATGAGCACGTGCATGCATCCCCACTTGCATTACCAGTGGGCATGGGTACCTGCTGCTTGTGCAAATGGAGCTGCACATGCGCACTTGCCCGCTACTCGTGCAGAACCATTCCCTCCCCCCCCGCCAGTCTGCAAAGCCAAAAAGATTGAGGTGCTGTGTTGTAGGTCATAGACCCAGATTCCATAAAAAATATGTACAAGGTATCATTTATGGTAAATAAAGGGTATATAATAGGTGTTTGTCTATTTCCTATCAGCAGCATATAAATTCTACTGGCTACTCATATACATTTTGCAACACCAAAGTTATTTTGGGATCTTTACCCATTAAAAAACCTGCACATAGAATCCTTTGTCCAACCTGGAACTTGCTAAGAAGTATTAATAACTCATTTTGAGTAACCCAGTGAATATGACATTAAAGCAGGATGTGATTCAATGCTCCTTTCTTTACAAGCACAAAACCTTTCAGCATATGGGATTTGCTGTATTTATCCTCAGCCATTGCTGATGGTAAAATATGTAAAGTCTTTTGAAATGTATTGTTTGTAAATTGGATATATTACTTATTTAAAATAAAATTTGCTGTGCCCCAGTTGAGCCCTGTGTGAATTTTGCTATATTCAGTTTGTAATTTTATATCAAGAATCGTTGATATAAGATCTAACATTGCCTGATGCATCAGTATCTCACTTCAGAATCCCAGTTTTTGTAAATAGTCATTTATTTGGAGTTTCCAAGAGGAATGACAAAAACATCAATAATTAATTTTACTATTTAAGAATTAGGGTAAGACTTTATAACCAAATTAACCAAAGTCATATATTAGTTGAGCAGCAGTATAAATTTATTAAACAAGCGCTATATTTCATAGAGATCACTTTGTTCTTTGATTTGATTTTTTGAAGTTTGGAGGTCCTTTGTTATCTAGTTAGAGACCTTTTAGTGGCATTGTTTTTTCCCCTTATTTCTGTCATTTTTTAATTTCTGATTCTCTAAATTTCCTTCTCTCCACTGGTTTTTTATCATAGTCTAGTTTTCCTTTTCAAAATGTTGATATTGGAATTAGACCAATATTAAAATGCCATTGTAATATTATTACATGTTTGCAGGAAGATGGAAGGATTGAGACCATCACATACGGTACTGAGCAAAAGTATTGGCAGTTGTGCAAAAGTGCTGTAAATTAAGAATGCTTTCAGAAGTAATAATTTATTTTAATCAATTAACAAAATGGAAAGTAAATGAACAGAAGAGAAATCCAAATCAAATCAATATTTGGTACAACCACCCTTTGCTTTCAAAACAGCATCAAGTCTTACATTTGCATAAAGTCAAGTGTATAGGATTAGAGTCAGATGTATGACTAATCAATTATATCAAGCAAATGTATGATCATCAATGTCATAGGTAGGTAGAAACACAGTCACAGAAACAGCTATGTAGGAGGCTTAAAACTGGATGAGGAACAGCTAAACTCTGCTACTAAGGTGAGGTTGTGGAAGACAGTTTCATGTCATAGAATGGTTATACACCATGGCAAAACTGAGCATGGAAACAAGACAAAAAGTAGTTATATTGTGTCAGCAATATCTGTCCCAGGCAAAGAAGCGACTCAGCTATGCACAAAAAGATAGGACTTGCGGTACAGAAAAATAGTAGCAGGTGCTCTGAACTGATGAGTTAAATTTTGAAATATTTGACTGTAATCGGAGACAGTTTGGTCGCCAAAGGCCTTGAGAATAGGACAATAATGAATTCTGCAGGCAACAGCGAAACATGGTGGAGGTTCCTTGCAAGTTAGAGGCTGTATTTCTGGAGATCTGGATCAATGGTCTTCTCAGTGCTGAGAAGGTAAATACTTATCTGTGCAATTGGCTTCAAATTTATTCTGCAGCAGGACAACGGCCACAAACATACAGTCAATATCATTCAGAACTATCTTCAGCATAATGAACAAGAGGTCCTGGAAGTGATGATTTGGCTCCCACAGAGCCCTGATCTCAGCATCATCGAGTCTGTTTGAGATTAAATGAACAGCCAGAAGGATTTGAGGCAGTATGTGGCAGATCTATGGTTAGTTCTCCAAGATGTGTGGAACAACTTTGAAGGAACCTTGCTGAGTTCTTTTAAAAACTCTGCAAGTGTACCTAGAAAAATTGATGCTGTTTAAAGGCAAAGGGTGGTCACAGCAAATATTAAATTGATTTGAATTTTTCATCTGTTCATTTACTTTCCATTTGTTAATTGATAAAAATAAAATACTTCTATTTCTGGAAGCATTCTTAATTTACATCATTTTTGCACAACTGGCAAAACTTCTGCACAGTCCCGTACATCTTGATGCTATAGGAGGAATGCTATTATTCATGGTCATAAGAACATGAGAACAGACCTACTGAATCATATCAGAACCCATCAACAAAGTACTTAGTCTAGTAACTTTGTTTTTCACCTTGGCCAGCCTGTTGCTTTTTGCACACTCTCCTATTGGGTTCACTTGCCACTGGCATTCGGAGAATTGCTGCTTCCAATTTGGAGGTAACATGGCTCTTCATGAGCCAATGTCCTTAATACATCCATTAATTATTTTTTTCCCTTTAAAGGCACCCAAGTTATTAGCCATCCATATGTCTTGTAATAAATTCTACTATTAATGTATGATAGTGGACTTTCTTACATCTGTTATTAAGTTCATTTCAGTCAGCTTCATTAGATGGTCTTGGACCTTGTCTTTTGAGAGAATACTTCTTTGGTTCCATGCATATGAAATGTATTTAAAAAAGACATTGTTATCTCTCAGGAATGAATAATATGGATTGTTTTCTTTACAAAAATAAAAAACAACAGCAATTCTATCTCAAAGTGACTGTATTCTCCTTATTCTTGGGATAACCAGATTGAGGATAGGAGCACAGTGGCATTTATAAGAATGCCATGGTTTTTGTTCTTTCTGCTTTTTCCTGCTTTGCTTTTCATGCAGTAAGGGTTAAAGAGAGAAAAAATTGTTCTGATGTTCAGGTGAAGACTATTACAAAATTAGGCTGAATCATTTTGTTGTCAATGTATGTTTCTATGTATTCCCAACTATAATGAAGCCACCACAAAAATATGAAATTCCCATTGGCTCTTCTATTGGCTACATGCCTTTAAAAACTTCTCTAATCTGTTTAAGACTCACTGCAAAGACATTTTAAAGATTCTCCTAGTTGCCATGTTTACATTTTTACTCACTGAAATATTTGAGGCAGAATTTCAATCCCTCTCTTCAGTTTGCTACATGCACTAACAAATTTTCTTATTTCAGCTATTTGCTTTCCTTTTGAGTTTAAATATTAAAATAAGTTTTTGTCCAGTGTTAATTGAAATAACTTATTTTAAACCTATCCTTTCCTTTACAATTTTAAATAACTACCTGTTGTCACATCTCAGTGTTCCTTAAATAATTCTTTGGCTGCTCCTTCCATTTCCTATGAAATAGTACAGTTTCTGAAATGTAGTTTTACGGTAATAATTCAAATTATTTAATTTAATATGATGCAAAAGATGTCATATTGTGGGGATTTTCAAAATTAACATTTAGTTATTGCAACCTTTTTTTATTAAGTTGCAGCTAGCAGTAAGGCTATTTATCTGCATATGTGTATATTTTTAGAAGTTATATTTACTCTGAAACTCTTGCAAGAAAATGAATAGATCAGCATATTTATCAGTTATCAACATCCTCTTATTTCATAGTAATTTGTCAAGGAAGAAGTTTAATTAATTTTTGCCCGATTGGTTATTTTAAGCTAAAGAACCCATTATTCATTATGTCATCTTTCTTTCCACATATTAGTGCAGACTTGTGCCATTTCCCCTCCCCTCATGACCCTCAACAGACACCAGTGAAGCTTCCTTTTCCTCCTCCTTGGCTGATTCACAGAACTGCCTGCGATTTTTTGGGAGGAGGGATGACAAAGGGAATGGATTATGAAGAAAATTGAACTCCCATTCCCTATCCCAGCATAAATCAAGGGCCCCATCTATCCATGGAGGAAAAGGGCTTATCCATTGACCACTGATGTTCCCAACCAGTCCTACCTTGCCAGGAGGCATTCAGATCACTCCCTTGTCTTTTCCTCACCACTCACCGCCATTAAGAGATTTGAAATTTTAGCCTCAGTTCCAATTGCTGTTTGCTTGCTAGTCCTTGCCTCCAGCTGATTATGTGCAGGGGCCAGAAGGAGGCAGAAAAGTGGACAGGGATATATATACCCTAACCATAACCCTACTTTCATTACACAATGATAAGAGTTCTGGAAAGTATAATTGGGAATCATGGCCACAGCTTTGTGAATACAATTGCTGTAAAGATTCAGGACTAATGGGTCCTGGATCTTGGACATATTCTTTAAGTTGGCCAACTTGAGGTATTTTGATTAAAAAAATTGTTGCCCTGTGATGCGCCATTGTGCCTATCGGAAGGTGACAAATAGATAGGAGAGTTTTAGTATATAGATATATGTTATGAGGTCTTTGGAAAGAATAGAAAGGAAACTAATTGACTTGGAAATATCATTAATTAATTATGTGCCATCAACTCATTTTTACTTTTAAAGACCATGTGAATAGATTTTCTTCATGATTTCTCCATGAAAATGTCAAGAAAGCGTTAAACATGGAAAGCTATCTTATTTTAGACAAAGAATTTGTTCATTTTCTTCAATACTATATTGCTTGTACCTACATGGCATCACTCTTCTGGAACCTCCTATGAATTGGAGTTGTTTTTCAGGGTTTCATTGCCCTATTTTGTTGATTATAGTGGTTTTTAAGTTTACATTGCTTTGTTGTTAAGTCTTGTTGAATTGAGTTGTTTGAGTCGTTTGAGCCTTGTTGAATTGAGCAGCATATAAATGGTAGATAATAATTAAGAGACTGCGAGGGTTAGATGAGGAACAATAGGTTTCAACTGAGCCCTGTGCACAATCTGGGGATTTTCCTGAACTCATGACTCTTGCTTGAGGAGCAAATGACAGTTGTGGCTAGAAGAACCTTTGCACAACTTTGTATTGTATGCCAGTTGCACCCATTTTTGGGTAAAGAAGTCCTACTCATAGTTAGTCATGCTCTGCTTACCTTCTGATTAGATTATTGCAGTGTGCTATATACAGGGTTGGCCTTGAAGAGTATTTGGAAACTTCAGCTGGTGCAAAATGAAGTGAGGCAAGTAGTTTTGTGTATTTTTGATAGACAACACATTACACTTTTGCGGTATGGTACTGGGTTATTTGAAGGATCCCCATCCCATACAATCTCACAGAATGGATATGCTATGGATTCCATTGTCTTGAGACCACATTTGATGGGCCCTAGGCAAGAGGCCTTTTCTGCTGTGGTGCCCATTTTATGGCATCTTCTCCCTACAGATGGAGACTGCAGGCCTGAGGCTCCTGAGGGAGGTAAATTCATGAAATGGCTTATTGCTTATCATTCCTCCCTCTATTATTCTCTTTTCCTGTTTTAGCTTTTTTATAATTTTTAATTGTTTTAATAATTATTATGTAATGATCTTAACTAGTGATTGTGTTATTTATTTATTTTTATTTATTAAATTTAAATGCTGCCCATCTCACTATTGAGAATAACTCTGAGCAGATTTATTTATTGATTTTACTGGATTCTTGCATGCTTCCCAGAATCTATTTCCATGAGATGAATGGCCATATACATTTGACAGACAGAGATATAGACCAGGGCTTTTCAACCAGTGGTACGGGTACCACCTATAGTACATTAGCACCTGGCAGGTGGTACGCGACCATCCTAGAAAACTGGTAGCAGGAGAGGGGAATGAGCTGAACCGGTGGCAGCACTGCACAAGCCTGAGCGAGAGACAGCTGGAGCTGCAAGGCTGTCAGGGCTCAGTGAAAGAGTCAGGATCAGTGCTGCTTTCCAGCTGATCAGCGCTTCTTCAGGGCTGTCAGGGCTCAGTGGAAGCACCAGGATCAGCTCCAGGCTGCAGCTGGAAAGCAGCATTGATCCTGGCACTTCTGCTGAGCCCAGAAGAAGCGCCAATCAGCTGGAATGTTGCAGCATCTCCAGGGTCTTGTGATTTACATTCAGATGCTTGGCAACTGATTCATATTTATGATGGTCACAGTGTCCCAGAGTCATGTGAATTGACCAAAACCTGCTGTAACCACCCAGCAGATGGGGGGAATAAAAACCAAACACCCCCACCCCCTCCCCGCTGCCAATCCTCAACAGAAATGCTCACAACAATGAAAACCTTGGACAGGAGGAAGAGTGCTGCCGGGCGGGCAGGCAGACAGTTGTCTTGCTTGGCTGTGGCTTGGGGGGCACTTTTTTCAGTGCCATTGTAACTTCGAACAGTCACTAAGTGAACTGTTGTAGGTCAAGGACTACCTGTACTTTATCACTTTTTTTCCTTTTTTTCTCATCAAGTTTTTGACACCTTGCTAGGCGACTGGTGGTACTCGGATGTTGCCATATCCTAAAAGTGGTACAATGGGTGAAAAGGTTGAAAAGCCCTGATATAGACCATCCAGTCAGGAAACCAAAACCATGAATGCCAACACTATCTTTATTGTAAGGTTACAGTAATAGAATTATGCAAGTATGAAAACACTTCTCCATTCTCTTGTCTTCCAAAGAAAGTTCCCATCCAAGAGATTTTCTTTACCCCCTTCTGTGGGTTGATATAGCTCTTGTCTGATCATTCCCTGGCTATGGTCCTTTTTCCCAAGGTTATTCTCAAAGCTCGTTACATCCTGGAAATTTTGGCAGCATCACAAAATGAATTGATATTTCTGGAGTTTAATTTTCCTCTTTAAAATTAAACTTTTTATTTAGATGTTGGATTTTCATTGTCTATAGAATTATGATCACACTAATATTTATTCTGGAGAATTTTGATTTTTTCTTGATGCATTTTTGTATTTTACTTTTAATTGGTCCTCGTGCATTATGGCAGCTAAAGTAACTGAGGGTGAAAAGCCAAGTGACTTGTTGCTGTTTAATAAGAGAGAAGTTGAAAACTGCTTATAATTTGTAGCTTCAAATTTAGTAAATAGATCTGCTTATTCAGATATAAAGGTTCTGACTGATGAACCCAACCAAGCAAAAACATTCAAGACTTTCCAATATCTTAATGCAAAGCTTTATGAGTACATCATTTCGGCACATATGAAAATGAAACCAGCTCTGGCAGGACTCCTCCCTAATCCATATAGTAAAAGCATTGACTTCTCCCTCCTCATTTTGGGTCAGGTCACATTGCCCAATCAAATTGGAAAATATTGTTATGTTAGAGCATTTCTGGGACTAGCCCAAGAGTAGGCAACCTTGGCTCTTTTATGACTCGTGGACTTCATGGCTGGCTCAGGAATTCTGAGAGTTGAAGTCCATGAGTCATAAAAGAGCCAAGGTTGCCTACCTCTGGGCTAGCCAGACACCTGCCCACTGTCCATGGTTCCTACGGTCTGCTTTTTTAATCTTGGAAGTCTGCATTCCAAACCTCCCCCCCCCCAAAGTTTGTTTGCAAGCTGAGAAACAATGTCTGTTGCACCAGCAAGAATGAGCTTCGAAACTTGACATCAGATTTATCTTGGCTTTGCTTCCTCACTAGATCTTGGTTACTTCAGCAGTTTCAGTTGGGGAAGAGCATTATAAAGTACCACCAGGATTCTCTGAAATTTGACTTAACATTACAAGCAGCTATGACCAATAAAACTGATTTCATATACTACGATACTAACTAAACTTTGCTTAATTGTCTTTTATTGCATAGAAACAGTTGGAATATACCAAGAGTATACCAAAATCAGATAAATTATCTTGAAACTTAGTGAACTGTAGAAATCAGATATATAGTTACTTTATTATATGCTTTTGAAAATGAAACATTGTAGCTTGTCTAGAAGGACAAGGTATAAACAAATAAAATTAACTGGATCCAGTCCAGTAATCAAGTTTTAGTCCCTAGAAGATTCTGAGTTTGAAGTAAATCAGATTGACATTAATTTCAATTAAAAATAAATTATAAATGATTTCTTATGTATGTACTATTGCATAATACTTTAATCTAGACCTGGTGTGTTTCAGTCTCCATATCAAAGAAAGTGCTTATGACTGTTTAGAGCAATCTTTCTTCTTTTTCAGAAATCCATGCCACAGGGTTCAACTATCAGAATGAAGATGAGAAAGTGACTCTTTCTTTTCCCAGCACACTTCAGAAAGGTAAAATTGTGTACAAGTTAAATGGGGCCCATCTGAGGTAAAAGAAATATACATTTTGTTGCCAGACCAAAGTTTTTTTTCTCTCTTCCCTCATTACTTAGAATATGTTTTGGGAGTTCATTCCATCTCTGCATTTCCAAGGTTATTTTATATTTGAAACAATTTTGTTCTGATTCTTAATATATCTGTTCTCATACAAATTATATTTCATGTTTGCTGAAATCTGGTTGCCAGGTTTCGCCTAACACACTGAACTCTAAACTAAACACACAGTTGGCTTTGCATAAAACAGTAAGTTACAAGCTATCAAGCATAGTTCTACTCTGTTTAATGGGCCCCCCTAAACTGAGCAGATTGTTCCATATATAATATCCACAATTTAAATCTTGATTTGGTAATCAATTTTTATTATTTGCCAGCAAGTGTAAAATGCAGTATTCTTATAAACACGTATAATGTTATTATTAAATCAAATATTAATTTAGTCAATAATTCCTAAGGCTGACATTTGTCTATGGCATCTAAAGCAGACACTTTAGAATTTTTGAACTCAGAAGCACTCATGAGAATACTTAGCCCAAAATATTATGACACATCACCATGTGTATTATTTTTACCATGTTATGTTGTAGCATTTATTTTTAAAAAAACAAACTATGTCATCTTAGAAGAATGTCCTGACATGCTTAAAATATTTTTTTTATTTTCATAGCTGAAATGGATTCTGTTTACACTGAAAAATAATTAGTAGTAACAATTGAAAATCAGTGTCTCTATCTACCTAAAATGTTATAGAAATTTTGACATTTCTATATTTCAGTACTGAATTTTCAAAAATCTAATGTTAATTTACTGAATAGGTATTTATTTATTTATTTAATAAAGGCTAGAATGGTTAGCAAAAACAGTGCTTGTCCTTTGTTTACTATCTGACATGTTTTAGCAATTCATTACCATTTGGAGAATGCAGTTTAAGAAAGAAACATATAACAAATAATAAAATAGTTTATACAAACTACTTCATAATAAATTTAATATGGAGTCTATTTCTTAGAAACTCCCAAATTTATAGGCAAAGGGTAAATGAGAAAATTAGGTGAAACCTTAATTGGAAAAAACAACAAATAATTAAAAGATAATCTGGTCTGTCAGCTCATTTGTTTGCACACATGGATCTATAATTGAAAGTGAAAGAGAGAGAAAGTGAAGACAATCTGTTCCTCTTTAGGAATTATTAGCCACTGTTGAATCAGCATCAGTCAAGATAAACAGCTAGGGAGAGAAGAGCAATTTGTAGTTCTTTGTCAGCATAGCTTTTCTTCCTGACAATGCTAGTAAATTTCATCAGTACTTATTTAAAAAAGTGTAGTTTTCCATTATCTTGATGAAAAAGCATGAAAGCTATAGCAATAATCATAAGGCAACCCTAGTAGTTGATGGTTAAAAACAGAAAAACAATAAAAAGAAAAACTAAAGATATGGGCAACCACATTCCATATACCCCCCCCCAAACAGAATGTTACAATTCCCCTAAATCAATAGTTCTCAACCTGTGGGTCGCGACCCCTTTGGGGGTCAAACGACCCTTTCACAAGGGTCGCCTAAGACCATCTGGAAAACACATATTTCCAATGGTCTTAGGAACCGAGACACTGCTCCTCTATCTGTCTCCAGGCGGATAAAAACAACACAGAGAATGGTAAGACTTAAAGCATCAAAGGAGCAACCCCGTCTCTCAGGTAGAGCTAGCAAAAGCCAACGACTCAGCCAGTCTTCTCCCAGCCTTTTCACCAATCAGAAGCCATGGCCCGGACATTGGTGTCTGTGACGTATCTTCCTGGGGAATCTGTGAAGCCAGTGGAGCTGCTCCAGATTGCGCTTGCATGCAGTGGAGACAGGCTGGCAGGGAGTTGAGGGGGATGAGGCAGGAGGAGGAGGAGGGAGGGAGGGAAGGGTTGTTAGCTGTGGAATCAGCACGCCGGAGGGCTTTGCCGTGGGGGTGGGTTCCTTTTGTATTTTGATTCCCTCTCTTTTAGAGGGAGGAATGGACATTTTATGATCTGGGGGGGAAAAAAATCTGGTGTCTGTGAATAAAAACGCCGGTGATCATATTTTCTTTCCGCCAGCTCGCTTTGATGCATTCAGTGCAATTGCTTTTTTAAATAGCGCTTTTGGATTGTATTTTTTTTTAAATCTTAGCTTCTTTTAAAAAAAAAACCTGGAAATGCATTCTTAGAGCAAGGCACAGACTTGGTACCTCTCTCTCTCTCCCCTCCCCGCCCCCCCCCCAATCCCCGGGTATTTTTATTTTTGGTTGGCAAAATCGGATCCGCAGCTGCTAAAATGAATAGTGGCTTGCGAGGCAGGGGGGGACTGCTGCGGGCAGCAGAAGATAGGCTGGGGTGTCCGAGGTGTTGCTCACTTGCTCACCTCCTTTCTGTTGAACGCCCCCCCCCCCGGTCTAGATCGGAGTTGCTGCTTTGTGTGGGCATGAGCCAGGATGGCCATTCGTGGGGTTGGTCTCTGCCCTTGCGTGGGGGGGTTGCAAGCACCTTAATTGAATCTCCCCACCCCCATCCATGGGATTTTCCTTGGGGTTGCTAGGAGCTACGCTTAAACTCGGAATCGCCTGGCTGCAAGTGAAGAGAAGGGAGTTGGCGCAAGCCAGCCTGCCAGCCTGAATTGCAAGCTTCCCTTCACCTTTTTTGTCGTGAATCGGGAGCGAGCCAACCTCGGGATTTTCTCTCCTCCCACCTTTAAACGGCTTCCTTTTATTCTGCCTCCCACCTGATCGGGATCCAAAAGCGAGGCTCCGATTGGGAAAGTGTATACTCCACTGCCAGAAATTGTTAGGAAAAAGGAAATGCATTGAGAGAGGGGCTTGTCAGAAAACAGTTAGATGAGAATCAAGTACGCTCAGTGGAAAGTGAAAATATTGGAAGGAGGGAATGAAATAGCTGGAATCTGGGACAGCTGTAAAGTCATATCCTTCTGTTTTGGGAAACTTCCATGAAAAAGTAGTCACGTAACCCCTCACTTCATCCACAAAAGGTTACAGGGGTTCTGATTTTTTATTTATAACCCTTTTCCTTTCTTCCATTCTCTTGCTGCTTTTCCTTCAATTGGTCATGTGATCAAAATGTGGATGTTTGGCAATTGGCCTGTATTTATGACGGTTGCAGTGTCCCAGGGTCATGTGATTATTTTTAGCTATCTTTTGACAAGCAAAGTCAATGGGGAAGCCAGATTCATTTAACAACTGTGTTCCTAACTTAATAACTTGATTCACTTAACAACTTCAGCAAGAAAGGTCGTAAAATGGGTGCAACTCACTTAACAACTGCCTTGCTTAACAACAGAAATGTGGGGCTCAGTCATGGTTGTAAGTTGAGGACTACCTGTAGTTGTGGAATTCCTTTTGTTGGATGGTTCTATCTTCTAGAGTCTACTTTAGAGTCTGATCCTGCATATCAGATATTTACATTACGATTCATAACAGTAGCAAAATTACAGTTATGAAGTAGCAACAAAAATAATTTTATGCTTGGGGGTCACCACAACATGAGGAACTGTATTTAAGGTTCACGGCATTAGGAAGGTTGAGAACCACTGCCCTAAATCAAGGTCTGGGTGAGCAATCAATTTTTTAAGAATTCCGGAACATCACTGGGAGTTACATGGATACTTGAGGTGATATCATTCCAGAAGGCAGGTATCATGGCAGAGAAGACATGCTGCTAGGGTTCTGATAGGTGGCATTCTGTCTAAACTTACTAGGTAGGCAGAAACCATGAGAAATAAGTGGCTCCTCAAATAACCTGGTCTATGCCATGAAGAGTTTTACAACTGATAACCAATATCTTAAATTGTACTGGAACTTTACAGTAATCAATGCAACTTGAGGAGCAGTGGTATCTTATAGATACGCACTACACTAAACAGCATTACATTCTGGACGAACTTGAGCTTCTTAGTGGTCTTCAAGAGTGCTTTGCAGTAATCGTAATCTAATCAACCGTAAGGTGATTAGAGCATGAATGACTGTCAGTGGGGCCTCCCACCCAGGAATGAGTGCAACTGCTACACCAGATGAAGCAGCGCAAAGGCTTTCTTTGCCACAGCTGTTGTCTAACCTTTAAGCAGCACTGTGAGTCCAAGACAATTGCCAAATTACGCACTCTAGAATGGGTAGTATAATCTCATCCAAGATCCAAAATTTCCAGATCTGGGGCATACAAAACTTAAAATATGCTTGGTCTTGGCAAGATTGAGTCTGAGTCACAGACCACATAGCCTCCAGATAGGACGCTGAAAACATCACTTAATTGACCCGGGATAAATATTTTCAAATGGTTATCAACCTCATACTGATGATACTGGAAATCAAACTGATGGATCATCCGTCAGTCAGTCAGTCATTTTATATTCCACCCAACTCATGTGAAGAAAATTCATGTAGATGTTAAACAGGACAGGATCATCCCTGAGACACACTATAAAATGAGAGTCTTGAAGATTCTTTCTCTCCCTACTGCTTTAGCACCAACTGGAACTGGCCACTGATATAAGACCTGAGGAAAGATGCTGTCAGATCAATATAAGGAACAGATTTAGAATATTTACTTTATGGGAAACTGAATTTGAAGATTTAGGAGAAAAGAATAAAAGATATCATGAAAGCAATGACAAGAAATATTTTCAAGATTTCAAAGAAGTAAAGTTCCAAGTGGTTTTCAGAAATAAAAATTCTGATAGCTTGGGAATGAGAAAGTTTTATGATAATTGAAGGCAAACTTTCAACAAAGATAAGGTGACAAAAATGACAAGGAAAAATATATCAATTATATCAACAACTAGACTGTGAAAGAATAGGAAGTAAAACAGGAAAAATTTACAAAATATGAACAGTCAAAAATAATTGTAATAATCTGGTAAATAACAAAGATAAAAAGATATAGTGAAACATTTTACAAATGTTTCAATCCTTCTGTAACCCCTTTTGAAAGAGAAAATATTCAGGGACCAACTTCTTAGAATTTGAAGTGTGACAAGCAATAGATCAATTGTAAAATAGGAAATATTGTGTATGCTAAAAATTTGTAGAATTTTAAATAGTTGCAGAAGAAGAGGCAATTAAGGTGGTAACAGCTCTGTGTCAATAATTATGCAAAAAGACCGGTCTAAAAATTGGTGAAAGTATTCTTATATGAGAAAAAAGGCAGAAATTAAAAGGGTACATAAATTAGTAAACCTACATTAATTCATATAAGCAAAGTTTTGATTAAAATCTTAAAAGGAACAACAGTTATACATATGAATCAAGTTAAATTAACTGGCAGGACATAAGAATAGATAAGTAATATAAAATGGATAATGGAGAACATGAAAATACAGGGTTTATCTTTGCTTCATCAACTATAGCAAGATGTGGGGAAAATCAGTCTTTAAATTAATAATATGGACTACATCAAGCTGATTTATAGAGATGTAAACAATTTGGCTTTTTAAGTACAGTACAGCGTGTTATCTTATTAAAACAATTCTTATAGCTTTGTCCTCAAAAGTGTTAGTGGGAAGTGTTTTTGGCATCAGGCATTTCCAATTTTTCTGCTGTTGATTTATGGGAGATGCTTTCCTCTCTTGTTTTATTGTTTTATTTATTTTCCTTTTGTTTTATTGCTTATTACTCTGTTTCTTGAAGATACAGATAACTTACAAGGTGCTTAGCAACCATTCAAAATTATAGTAGATATATCTTGGGGCTTTGGGTGCCTGGCAACAGGGCAGTGTCCTGTGATCATTTGACCACATTTAATGGCACTTCTGTCAAAAACTGGCACTTCTGATTTTCGGCAAAAACATATCCACAGCTAAAAACAGAAAATGGATTTTTAAAAACTTTCCACAAGAGATTCCTGCATGGCCAAATGGAAATCTTTGAGGAACCAGCCTCAACATTAAATTAATCTCATGCAGTATTAGTGGAGTAGCGTTTTGATGTTTTCCTAATACCTGAAGTGGCTTACATCTTCACTAAAGATATAAAATTCTACTATATTTTTCCTGTCATGAGCTTATACTTTCTAATCTGCTAAAGAAGAGGTTCATGATAGACCTAGCACATCTATATCCTTTGTCTTCTGATTTCCTGGCTGTTTCCAACCCGAAACCATTTTTCTTGTTTAGTTATGTTAATATCAGAACTCTTTTAGCATACATCTTCACCTGATTCACCTTCTCTCAAGGAAGATAACTTTTATAGTGAACTGGAAAACTCAATACTTTATGAGGAAACCCTTCTGCACTTTTAATTGGACTAAAGTACTCATCTATTTAATTTCTTTCAAAGTCATTCGTGACCATTCTCTTGAATCTCAATACCTCCTTCCCCCCATCCCCAACTTCTCAACATTACTGAAAATATTGTTTCATTCTTTGGATGTTTATTTTGTTCTCACTTCTTAAGTGGGGATGGACAGCACCATTTATGCTGCTACTGCTTTACCTGTTTTTGATCTGATTCATTCCCATATTGGAGTTATATTGGAGTTAGGCTGGGCAATTACATAAGGTCAGCCCTGTACCTTCATTCAACACTATAGACTAGACATTTGGTTCCAGAAAGATGCTGTTCTCTCTCTCTTATGATGAGCAGATTCTTCCTCAAGTAAGAAGCTTTAATAAACTTCACTCGTCAGTATGAATTATCAAGACCACAAAGAAAAAGAACTGTTTATTATCTATGAATTTATATAACCCATCTTCTCTGCATGGTCTCATTTTTTTCTTTTGCTAATGTAGTGTTGGTCTTAAGAACTAATTGCTGAGAGCTGTATCTAGTCATATAGTACACTTGGTGAGCAGGATTCTCTGTAAACTATATTGTGAGCTCTGAAAGACTCCAATCAGGTCTCTGTACAAGCATGTAACTTATGAGTGTGAATTGAATAGTTAAGTAGTCAAAAATTGTAATTAAAATAACTAGCTTATTTTCATGGATCTTCCAAATCTCCTATCATTTACTCATTTATTGTTCCTTTATTATCATTTTATTACACCTTTTATCATTCCTCTATTATTCGAGCTAATTTTCAGAGTCCCAGAGTCTCCATACTTTGGGAATCTGTTGTATTTTTACTTTACCTGTGCTTAAATATACTGGGTTTAGTATCTTCTTTTTCAGTAAGGATAATAATATGTGTATGTGTGCTTTTTTTTAATAACACAGGGATGGGAACATTAAAGATAGATTTTGTTGGAGAATTGAATGACAAAATGAAAGGATTCTATCGAAGTAAATACATCACCCCTTCCGGAGATACTCGGTTTGCTGCTGTTACCCAATTTGAGGTATGAAATCCTTTGATTTATAGTTTTCATGTCCTGTTAATATTAATTGGATGTATCAAGTTGGTATTTTTTTTTATTCTTTTCAGTTTCTGTATTTCTGTTTGTGCTTCTTTTTTACCAATAATTTTCCAAAAGTGTGTGTGTGTCCTTTTGAATATTGAATATGACAGTTCTTGGAATCTGTCAGAATGCCTCAAATATTTTGGCTTCTTAATACTGCTTTTTTCTTTCCTGCAGGCCACTGATGCTCGCAGGGCCTTTCCTTGCTGGGATGAGCCAGCTATCAAAGCAACTTTTGATATTTCATTGGTGATTCCTAAAGACAGAGTAGCTCTGTCAAACATGGTAATTAATTTAATAACTTAAAGTCATATTACAAAGTGGTTTGATTAAACAGAAAAAAGTTACTACAAGACATGGCCTGGGTTTGGATTGCATGGAACTTTCTGTGGTATGATAAAGTTGAAATTAATGTAGCTTTTCAAAAAAAAAAACCACTATTTTAGAAGTGCCATATTGAGAATATGGAATAGATATTAACTCAGATTGTTCCCCCAATGCCTTTATGGGTTTCAGCAGGCAAAGACAGAAAGTTAACATATAGATAGGTGTTTCAATAAGAGCATGGAGGATATAAGATGAAATAAAGCGATCAGTTGTATACAAAGCGATATAGTTTTCAATAGTTTTCATATACAGTTAAGAAAATAATCTTTGGTAGATAACTGGACATTTGGAATTGAATAGCATAAGACATGATTTGAAATTGAACTGTGTACATGTAATTGATGAACATGTAATTGCTAAAATTTATAAATCTTTGCTGAAATTTGAAATGGAAGAAGAACAAATGAAAGAGTTATGATAAAATGGGATAAGAATTTTGGACATAATATACTAATAAAATAATGGGAAAATATATGGCTGAAAGCGTTAAAATTTACATTATGCCACAATTTAAAAGAGAACTTTTATAAAATGATGTACTGTTGCCCTAAAACTATAGAACAATTATTTAGAATGTATAAGGATTGACTTGTTTGATTTATAGAAAGAACAATAACTACATTTATTAGTGATTGGAAACCCCTTAAGAACTTTTTGCTGAAAAAAATGAACTTGTGTTTTATGGGTTTGGGATCAAAGTTGGGATAAATTGTTGAGTAAAGCTGTCATTAAGTGAGATACCCGTATGATTTCCAGGATGTTAAGTACACACAGCGAACTGCCTGCTAAGTTCCACTCTCCTTTGTATATGGAAGGAAACTGTTGTAGTGCACAGCAGGAATGGAACTAGGATCTTCAGGATCTGAGCTTCATTAACTTACCCAACTTCTGTACATGGAATAGAACTTCTCTATTCTGACAGGGTTAAGAAATGAAGCAGATATCTTAAAGATCCCAACTCTGTTCCTGAAACCCACCAAAGGAGTTCCCCCTACCCACTATGTACAGAGGGGAACTTCTTCAAAGGGCTGCAGAAACAGAGCTCAGATTTTCAGGATCTCAGATCTGTTTCTGCAGCCTTCTGGGGCAGTTCCTTTTTCCTCAGCAAGCACTCCTTTTACTCTTGAGGCATGTGAACCTTGAGATTCCTCCTGGCTGTCAAGCCCTTTCACCCTCAAAATTGCCTGCTAGCAGGAAATCTCAGCTTTCTGTAAGACAGCAGCAGCTTGCAAACTTTCCCTGCATTTACTAGTAATTTTCTGGAAATGGTCACATGATTGTGGGGCATTTAGCAACTGGTCATAAGTGTGAACAGGTTGCCATACACACAGAACACAATAATTGACCGTGACCATGTGGGGGGAAGTATGTAGTATTTTATAATAGTGAGAAATACTTTACAGGTCTTAAAAGCACAATTTCTGAGACCATTATAGCTTTGTTCGGTAGTTACTGTTGATCAAAATACCTGTATATTACTGGTGGTCCTGTATATTAACTATCTGTATATTACAGGTGGTCCTCAACTTTGACCATTCAAAGTTACAGCAGCAGTGAAAAAAGTGACTTACAACTGGTTCTCGCATTTACAACCAATGCAGCATCCCCACAGTTGCATGAACAAAATTTGGGTACTTGGCAACCATCATGTATTTGCAATGTCCTGAGGTCATATAATCACCATTTGCAACCTTCCTAGCCAGCTTCTGGCAAGGAGAATCATTGGGGGGAGCTGGATTCGCTTAATGACCAATGATTCATTTAACAACCATTGTGATTCACTTAACAACTGTAACAAGTGTTACATTTTAAAATTGGGAAAGACTCATTTAACAACTTTCTCGCTTAACAACAGAAATTCTGATCTCAGTTATGGTCATAATTTGAGGTTTACCTATACGAAAAGAAAGAGATATGTTGCAACATTAGAGAAGTTAAAATATGAATCTTGTAACTACTGTTAAGAAGATTGAAAGTCATTTCTTTATAACTTTTTTCTTTCCTTGCACATTATTCATTTACTGATTACGTTTCTTTACTTTTCTTATTTTTTTTTTAGAATTTGTATTTTTAGTCTTTAAAAAATCTTTAATAATACATATCTGATAATAAAGTAAAAAATACTGTAAGTTAAAAAAAACAATGGTACTGTATCCTAGAATGAAATTGGAATTGAAGCGTGTATCAGATGAATACAAATGAGAGAGTTGAGATCATGATATTTGTCACTGAGAAATAAATCATAATGTACCACTTCCACTTTATAAAATTTAGTGTTGCTTCACATTTAATATATTTAGCCTCTTCATAATTTGTTGGACAGAATATCACTGATCGGAGGCCATATCCTGATGATGAAAATCTGGTAGAAGTGAAATTTGCTTGTACTCCTGTGATGTCAACATATCTTGTTGCTTTTGTGGTTGGAGAATATGACTTTGTTGAGACCAGGACCACTGATGGAGTATTAATCCGTGTTTACACTCCTGTTGGCAAAGCAGAACAAGGGAAGTTTGCATTAGAGGTAAGAAAGGCTTAAAGATCTGTGTATCTTGCTCTATGGCAGTTCCTAGAAAACAAAACCAAAGTATTAAAAAAACTTTAATTTCATTTAACTTGCAACTTCAAATGCATGCTTATATATAAAGTATAGGGAATTTTAGCAATCTCAGACATTATTATATACTAGGATATATAGATAACATATAGTTGTTTGGTCCATGGAGAATTGCTACTTTTGGTCTTGTGTGGAGTGGCACTGCCCCAAACAAACCAGTATGTAATCTGATGGTTCTCCTGGACTCATGCTTGAGGAGAAGTGGCAGTTGAAACCAGGAAGGTGTTTGTGCAACTATGGGTTGTGAGACATTTATGCCCTTTCCTGGACCAACAATGCCTACTCAAGATCACTCATGCTCTAGTCACCTCCTGTCTTGACTATTTCAACGTGCTCTACTTGGGGCTGCCCTTGAAAAGATCTGAAAGCTCCAGTTGTTCAGAATGCAGCAGCCTGCATGGTTTTGGGCAGACCTTGGTGTGCACAAGTGTCACTTCTGCAGGAACTGCATTGATTGACGATTTGCTTCCAGGTGCAATTCAAGGTGCTGGTTCTCACCTTTAAAGCCTTTCATGTCTTGGGACCGGGTTATCTGAGGGACTGTCTCTTACTGGTCACATCCATTCAACCCATTAGAGTGGTGAGGCAAGGAATATTCCGTCCCTAAGGAGGTATATCTGGCCAGACCGAAACTCTTTCTTAAGGCCCTGAAGACTTGGTTTTGCCAGTGGGTGGGTGGAGCCCATCAAATAGCTCATTTGACTATGTGTTGTTGGTGAGTGAGGGTTATTGTTTTTTTTTTTTCCCCTGTACTGTGTTTTTATTGCTTGTAAGCTGCCTAGCGTCACTTTGAGTGATTAGGCGGCTATATAAATTTTCTAATTGAATAAAAATGAATGAATGAATGAATGAATATAGAAAGTCTGGAACTTAATCCTTTGCATGTTTGGGTAAAAATGGAGCAAAAATGTATTTGAAGTCATGAGTGTTGTCATTAAGCAGTGCCAAAAGCACTGAGTTAAACAGACCACAGGTAGCTGCCAGTGTTTCATGATGGGATGAGCTACAGTTCATCAGAATGTAGAGATCAGTTGTCATAATAAAATAATTCCCATAATGCTGAAATTAAGGACTTCAGAGTTACAGATTTCATGTGCTTAAAAAGAACTGGGATCTAGAAAACAAACTTTCAAAGAGATGCAATATTAGTTAGTGAACTTCCTCTTATATTTTAAGAACCCTTATAAAAACACCATAGAAATACATTTTGTAACGTGTTATAATTTGGTAAATTGTGCATTTATGGTATCTTTATTAATAGAAAATTAAAAATGCATCAAGCTATCTAGAGGTAAAGATTGATATACAATACCATGGTCTGTTCTAATAGATGGGCAATATAAGGTCAAACATTCTATATTATAATTTTTCATCTTTTTATTTCTATAGGTTGCTGCTAAAACTTTGCCTTTTTATAAGGACTACTTCAATGTTCCTTACCCTCTTCCTAAAATTGATCTTATAGCTATTGCAGACTTTGCAGCAGGTAACATATATTATATATTTCTAAAGTCTGAGCTTTCTTTACATTATAAAATACTCTGCAGACTGTTGTGTGTATCAATATCAATAAAACTTTGTATTTATTTTAAAAGGTGCCATGGAGAACTGGGGCCTTGTTACTTATAGGTATGATATTAAAATATTATTTTCATATTCTTATTTTCATGTTTCCATTTCATTAAGGATTTAACAAATAATTTGTAAAGGAATGAATTAGGTTTCATACTGATTAGCATGATGTAATTTCCTTTAACTTGAACTTTGTTCCATCTTGGGTAGTATGAATTTTCTATATAAATATCTTCTTCAAAGAATTAGAGAAATAAAGAAATATGAATAATGATTCAAGAATCATAACTAAGTTGCGTTCATATTCATTGCTACACTATAGTGCTACAGCTATAAACATTAGAGCCATGTACTTTCTTTGGTTTTTCCAGCACAGTCATGAAAAGAAGTTAAGTGTTTGATTCCATTTTATTTAGCTTTTTTCCCTTCTTATTCTTGACCCCAGCTTATTGAATCTGTATATCGTTCTACAGTGAGTTCTTATGAGTTCTTATTTTATAATTTTTGACCATTTGTTCAAGACTGTTGAAAATTAAGGCAGTATTAAACAAAGGTACTTGTGGCCTGGGGCTGAAGATAAAGTCATTGCACCACTCCTGCTATCACATGATTACGATCTGAGTGCTTGGCAACCCATTTACATATCTAACCTGTTGTCAAACCTCCTATGGTCAAGTGATCACCTTTTGAAGTTTTCCCTGCTGGCTTCCTCAGAAAGTTAATGGGATTGAGGCAAGTCTTTTCACTCTAGTGCTGCAAATTCTCCATGCAAAATTCAGGCAGGATTTTCAGACTCACAGCAAAGACATTTTCCTCTTCTTTCTGGGTTTGAAAATCCCCTTTGCCAAAATCCAAGTAGGATTTTCAGTCCCAGAGAGGGGAAACTTGCCTTTCATTTTGGGGCTGAAAATCCTGCTTGGATTTCATCATGGAGAATTTTCAGACCCAGAGAGGCAGGTCTCCATCTGCTTATTAATCTGCGATATCACTTAATACAGCTTTCAACATAACTGGGAATGCCAAATTTGCTGTTGTCTCATTTAACAACTGCTTCAGTCCCCGTTGTCATAAACTGAAGAATACCAGTAGTCCAGAAATGTAAGTTAGGAGTAGATCAGCATGCTCATGTGTATATCATTTTTGAATAATCTGTGACTTGCCTATGAGGATTAATGTAATACATGAACACAATGGCATCATCCATTCACTAGAACCAAAGTCTGATACCATGGTTTATTTTCACTTAATGGCTTTATTTTCTGGCCTTTTCTGGGCAGATAGAACCCAGGGCATGATATTCTCATATTAACTTGAAAGAAACCAAATTATAGCTGGCTTGAATGTACTTTGATGTGTTTGTTGCGAAATCAGCCTTTACCATGGCATGGCAAGGCAAACCAGCCTGCTGTGTTTAGAGTTAATGATGATTTATTGACCGCCAAGCATCAAGCTGTGCTTAGAAATTCTGGCTTCTTTTAATGAAACACAGTTTGTTGAGCATTTAATAATTGTTACATATTGTTCTTGCAAATCCAGTCAAAGCCCTTATTAATAGTGGGCAGTCACATAAACTTCTCCAAATTGACAATTTGGGGAATTCCACAGAAAACTTGTCCAGGTGTGTTTAATATCTCTTTTGAGTTTTTGGACCAGAGGAATACAGAAAAGCTTTCATTACATTGCTAGTCTCTTTCCAATTGTTCTGCTAGGTCAGTGGTTCTCAATCTTTTTACAGCTGCGACCCCGGTCGTAAGTCGAGGACTACCTATATTTCCCTGCCCGGGAGCACCACGCATGCGAGGTGCCGCCCCCTGCGCTGGCCGAGGCATAGCTGGCAAGGGGCGGCGGCAGGCAGGCCCAGGCGCTCCCGAGTGGCAGCGACGGCGCAGGGCGACCACCGGCTGGGCCACCAGCTGGCCCAGCCCAAGGCAGGTAAAGCACCCGCCGGGCCCCACGCACGCCAGCAACCCTCCCTGCACCCGTCGCTGCCCCGCTAGTCTTACCTTGGCCGCCGCCCATTTGGGACGGCAGCAGGCAGGCCCAGGCGATCCTGGGCAGCAGCGATGGCGCAGGGCGGCCACCGGCTGGGCCACCAGCTGGCCCAGCCCAAGGCAGGTAAAGCACCCGCCAGGCCCCACACGTGGCAGCAACCCTCCCTGCGCCCACCGGCCTCCCACCTCCCATCCCCGGCCCTCTTTTACTTACTTTTTAGTTGCTCCGCAGGGAGGGAAGCTTTGCAGAGTGTTCGCCTTGCAGCACCGTTTGCAGACTGGGGCTTTTGGCGGGCTCAGCAGGGCAGAGACAGCCTGGACAATTCCTATTGGCTTTTGAAAGCCAATAGAATTAGCCTCTGTTCAAGAGAGTCTATTCTATTGGCTTTCGAAAGCCAATAGAATAAGAGGGAGTAGCACAGCTAAGGAAAAGGAGAAAAAATGGCGGAAAAAATGGCAGACTGCGTTGTTTGGCGACTCCCGTGAAATGGTCGTTCGACCCCAAATGGGGTCGCGACCCACAGGTTGAGAACCGCTTTGCTAAGTAACAGTAATTGTGGTTTGGCTGCTACACAATGTCTTGGAATATATTTTTGCATTGCCAGGTTTTGACAGAGATTTGTGTTATGGATAGTCTTGTTTTCCTAGAGAACCTAGTGAATGATATAGTCTGTCCTAAAATAGTTTAATACTTTTGATTAGTTGATTAGGTCAATTAATTCCATTTTAGTTTTTCTTCATCATATAAATCCCTTTCATTGATCTAGTTAAGTGTACAGATAGTCCTTGACTTACAACCACATTTTGGACCAGAACTTACATCAATAAGTGATGCAGTTGTTAAATGAGTCATGTCTGATTTTATAACTTTTTTATTGCAGTCATTAAGCGAATCACATCATTAAGCAAATGTGACTTTCGTCATTGACTTTCCTTGTTGGAAGTTGTCCAGGAAGATTGCAAATAATGATCACATGACCTCAGGACACTGAGTCGTAAATACATGTCAATTGCAAAGTGCCTAAATTTTGATAATGTAGCCATGGTGACGTTGCAATAATTATAAGTACATGGACCAGTCATAAATTACTTTTTTCAGTATCAACATAAATTTAAATGGCTATTAAATGAATAGACGTAAGTTGAGGACCTCCTGCATTGGTGGAAAAGGGTCATTGTGTTAAGCTGGAGTGGGCAATCTTTTATGCGAGGCTGAGGGGCTACAGTTGATACAAAACTGCTGAAGAGGAAGGGATAATCTTTGTTTTTCTGGGAAAGTGAAAGTTTGAGGACTTTTTAAAAATCTATGTGAAATTTATTTCAAAGCGTACATCGCAGAAAATGCATGAAAACTGTACAGTACTAAACTGTGCAGTACTATTAATATATGGTAGTTTTGGTTAGAGGTAAGGAGCCACAAACAGTGAAATTGCACTGTAAGTTGATTTGTTGAATAAATCGTAGTTGAGTAGATTCAAATATGCCAGTTTATTTCATGGATTACAACCTATAATAACAGCATACTAAGTCACAAGGTTTTTGTTTCGTTTTGTGTTAAGTGTTCTGTTTTCTAGCACTGGAGAAGTTAAAAGTTTACATTTTAAGTGAAGCTTTCAGTCTCTTGATGATATTAACAAAAGAGATGTGGGGGAGCGCACAAGCATAAATTCAATAAAATTTACATGGATTGTTCTATTAACAATAGTTAATCTATATATAGGATGTGAAAATTGATGTTTTCTTTCATACATTTTCTTAGCAATTAATTCATTTTTTTGTTAATGAAAGCACATGCAGCTTTAAATATAGTCAGAGTTCCAGTTTCAGTTTCTGATTAAATGCAATTGCAATAACTTTTAGGGTGAATTCTATCAAAATAAAAAATAGGAAAGAGAAAATATTTAATCGTCCTTTAGCATGCTGACTTTCTAGATAAAAGATTTTTAATTAAAAGCAAGTAATCCTCAATTATATTTTAGTCCTATTTGTTAAATATAAAAATAAATGTTGAAATAAATCATGATATTGTGGAATTTTAATAGAAATATTTTGGAGTAAATTTGTATATTTTTGAAAAAATATTAGTTGCTTTATTATAATTAAAACTGGATTGGTCATGGACCATAATAAAGATACTTGTCTTATAATTCAAATAATCATAGCAACCTATAATTTGCACAGAGGCATATATTTATTCATATATTGCCCATAGTAAAAAATGACAATAAAGGTTACCTAATCTAATCTAATCTAATCTAATCTAATCTAAATATACTCAATAGGGAATTTTCTACCTAGTAATGTAATAGACTAATTAGTTTTAGAGGTGTGTATAGGTTCTTCTTTTGAGCATTCTGAAAAATGTGTCTCCTTGTTGCTTCTTAGTAGGTATGAAAGAACAATTTTACTCATTTTACATAAGTTTGGTTAGATGAGTTCTCTAACTTGACTAAGTTTTTAAATTTCACTTTTTTGATGTCACATTGTTACATCTCTGTTTTTTTTCCCCATGCAGGGAAACTGCACTGCTAATTGATCCCAAAAACTCTTGTTCTTCCTCTCGTCAATGGGTAGCCCTTGTTGTGGGCCATGAACTTGCTCACCAGTGGTTTGGAAACCTTGTGACTATGGTATTTAAGAAGTATATTTAAGTTACTCAAATTATAGCTAAATCCACTCCTATCATTAATCATTAATCATTATTGTTGAAGGCATCCTATATTTACTACTGACAATGTGCATATCTGCATTTGCATAGTATTATGTTATGTCAGTTGGGAAAACAGTGTGATGGAAACATTAGGGTAGATTAAATGGTGAATGTTACCCAGAGTGTCCCCAGTAAAATCAGGTTGAAGTCAGCATTAATTTGTCTGGATATATCAACTTTAATGTTTATTTATTTTGTATTCATGCTGGCTCCTATATTAAGAGAAGGTGGAAATTATCCACCCCAGCTAAATCCAAGTATCCACTCAGGGTAATTTTCCATTTGTGATAGCTATCCTAGTATTGCATTACTAGAATAATCTATTTTTGTCCAAATTTACTACAGGTTTTGGATCAACTTTTACTTATTTTATAGATGGAGAGAGGCTTTTTAAAAAAAAATGAGGGAGACTAGTTTGGTGCAACTCAAAGCACTTTCACATTGTTCAATCAAGATAAAGAAAAATCTCAAATAAACTTGTAGATTAGTACAAAACAGTTTTCAATTCTATTTGTATATATTTCATAATTGTATTTTGGTTATTTGGAGAATGGGGATGCAATAGCTCAGCAGTTAAAAGATATTGAACTTATCATCTAGAAAGCTACAGGCTGGGTTTGAGATCCGAGTGCCATGCAACAGGTTCAGCTCCTGTTCCTGCCCCAGATCCTGCCCACCTGGCAGTTGGAAAGCATGCAAATGCAAGTAGATTAATAGGCATCACTTTGACGGTATGGTAACAGCATTCTATATGCCTTGGTATATAACCATGTTGGCCACATGATCACAGAAAATGCCTTTGGACAACACTGGCTCCCTTGGCCATGAAAGAGAGAAAAGCACCATGCCCTAGAGTCGGACATAACTGAACAGAGAAACCTTTACCTTAGCTGGAGAAGAGGGGTTAAGCAGAAAACTGATGCTTTATCCAGCTTCTATAGTGATCCACTCTTCATTGCTCACATAAGCTTTATTTCTATATATATAAAGGGAAGAAGTTTTATGGGGGGAAAACTAAGTTATACACTTTTCATTTATGCTATTCAGATGAAATGTCTGATATAGGATTGATTAAACAAGCAGCAAATACTGGTAACTTGTGAAGTAAAAACTCATTGATAAATTTTCAGGGTACTTTTGGGATATTTTGTACTTTTTAAGAGAGTTAATGTTTTGTTTGAGTTTCTCCTCCATAATCCTTTTGACACATACGTGATTTAGCAAATAAAAAGACATGTGACCTCTTTCCATGGCATTTGTTTCTGGGGGAATTTATTTACTGTATATTACTGCTAAGGCCAGTACTGTATTTTGGAAACTATAGTGTTTGCAAACTATTGGGCTTTTATTTTGGAAATTAGCATATATTACTGTAGTTTAAATTGCCTACAGAAGTTGTGGATGCCCATCACTGGAAGCTTTTAAGAAGCGACGGATAGGCATTTATTAGAAATATTCTCTTGTGAGAGCAGTGGGTTAGACTAGCTGACCTCAAGGTCCCTTCCATTTCTGTTACTATTGCAAGTCAAGAGTTCTGCAAATGCCTCCCCCATCTCCCTCTGGGTATGTGGCTGAAGACTCTTAAGCTAGTGGTTTTTATTAAAACAACAGTCCTACCCCACCCCCACCCCTGGGCAGCTGAAGATGCTTGAGCTGGGTAGCAGCAGCAATTGTTTTTTAAAAAAATAACTGATGGCTTGCAAATCCTGCTTGGAGACAATTTAGTTCCTGAACCAGCTCACCAGAAACAACTGGTGGGAAACCCTCCCAGGTCAGTTAACATGACAGCTGTCGGAGGAAATAGTAAGTCAGTTCTTCATTCATTTAACAACCCATTTGATTTTAAAAATTTGTAAAATTGAGTCTGATTAATTTGATGAGTCTTTTGACTTACGAGCCTAATGGCCAGGCTCCATTAGGTTCATACCTCGGGGACTACTATATTGTGGTCATTGTTGAAATGGAAAGTATCAACTCCAAACCATTTCTTTTTAGCATTTGATTAGTAGTAGGACATTGAAGAATATGAAGGAAACAACTTTATGTGACTAGTAAGATAATGCAATGTTTTGGAACTAAAAGCAAAAAAACCCCCTCCAAAATAAAAAAAACTTCTCGCACACAGGGTGGCCATATATACACACAGGATGGCCATTTATAACCTGTCTACAACTCCTTAAACCAAATTGGTTATTTTCTCAGATTTTGTAATAGCAGTAGAATGCAGATATGTGATCCTGGGAACATATGATTCCAATATGCATGACCTCATGCACTCCAGAATACTTTTTGTCAACTCCAAAATACTACACAGCCTTACCAAATAGATTTTCTAACATGTGGAATGAGCCTTGGGTAAAGCTGATTGTTTTTTTTTATAGTCCTGATTGTATCCAGGTATTTATTTCTCAGTATGACTTCTTTTTTCCTATATATTTGTGCTTAGTAACTACTGCGCATAGATACCTGAGCAGGAAGAGCTGGTATTATCACTCTGCTGTGCTAATATGAGATATTAACAGGCAGCACCGTCATGAGTTCATCAGTTAATTTCAGTACAAAGGAGAGAAAAGAAATGCTGGTAGAATAATTAAATCTATTCTGAATTTCAAACAAAAAAAAACCCTTGTTATTTCTTCCTAATATTTTTATGGAGTCGCCTCTTGATTATATTTTAAGAACATGGCTGCAACACTGTATTTCACATATTTTATATTACAGTTTCCAGACACAATCCATTTTTTATGTAAATACTATGGGTATTACTTCATATGGGTCAGGGCCAAGATAAAACAAAGTCAGAATGGTATAGAGATATGGTGTTAGACTAACATTGAAAATACCCAAGTTCTAGTCTGCCTTCAGGCATGGAAGTACCTGGGTGACTGTAGGCCAGTTACTCTTTGTTAGCCCAATCTCTGTTACTGTAGAGAAAAATGGAACCAAAAACAGCTTACATATCCTACTTCAAGTTGTTGAATGAAAGGCAGGGTATAAATCTAACAAATGAAATAATAAATTGAATAAATAAATGAAGAGAATGCCATATGTTATTGTCAAGGTATGACATGGTTAGGCGCAAGCAGGGAAGGGCCTAATAGTATTTCAGATAAACTGAATAATACATATAAGGAGCCGAGGTGGCGCAGCAGTTAGAGTGCAGTACTGCAGGCCACTTTAGCTGACTGTGTTCAGCAGGTCAGCAGTTCAAATCTCACCGGCTCAAGGTTGACTCAGCCTTCCATCCTTCTGAGGTAGGTAAAATGAGGACCCAGATTGTTGGGGGCAATGTAAATATATATATACATTGCTTACTCATGTACACCGCTTAGAGAGTGCTTGCGCTTAAAGCGGTATATAAGTCTCAAATAAATAAATAAATAAATAAATAACAAATTAAAGCAGTAAATTAATACTGATGAAGGATTGACTAAACTAGGAAAATATATATCAGCATTTTCAATTTTGGCAATGTTTCTTAGATACTTGCATTACAGCTGGAAGTAAATTTTTTTAAGAATCTGAACCCTTATCACAATCGCTTTTATCATAAAAGTCAAATTTGTTGACTTTTATGTATCAAAACATAACACATTTTTTCTTATTTATTGAATTTTTATAGAAGACTAGACAGTGTATTGCCCGCTTTAGAATCATTATGTATTTTCCAGAATTTTCCCATCTTTTCTTAACTACTATGAGCAGCTTCTCTATAAACCACTATGTATAGCTTGCCCCTTTGATGCAAAGTTTTTATTTATCTTTCATTCTTGCATAGGATATTAACAAAAACTCGTGGAGTTCAATTTACCCCACAGGTCTGCATTTGCTTATCTTCTAATATGGCCTAAGCTTCTAAAATAATACACTGTATAAAAATAACATTTTCTCTGTGATCAAGCTATAAAATATGACAACTTCACTAGTTTTTTAGAATTATGTAAATGCTAGTAGTGCTTTTTTCCATTAAGCCGCAGAGTTTGGGATTGCCTGTTAAAATCCAAACCACACTGAAAATTGTTACCTTTTCCTTATTGTAGTTGTATATCCAGATTTTTTTTTTATCCAATGGCAGCTTAGTAGTGCTAACATGTTTTATTTGTTGCAAAGAAAACTTACTATATTTGTATTTTTTAAAGTAACTATTTAATTTTTTTCTCACTAAATAAAGCATTATTTCAATGGTCAAATTAGAGGAAAAAGGACATTCCTGTTTAATTTCTCTATGCCATGAATATGTAAGCTATTTTTTTTTATTAAGTTGCTTCTGAGCTGTTTCACTGATCTATGTCAGCTAGGGAATTCTGGGAGTTAAAGTCCATAAGTCTTAAAGTTGCCAAGGTTGGAGACCCCTGGCTTAGAGTCATTATGTTTCCACAAAAGGTCCAAGTCCAATTCCTCTTGAATTCTGTTAACTGTTTTGCCAGTATTTAGCATTGTATGATAGTTGACCAGATTCTTATCTATAGGCTTGAGTTTCTGAACTAGAACTTAATGTGTGATTCTGATTCTTCACACCTGACAGAAGACTGCAGATTAAGTTTTAAAAGTTGTTGTTTTAAAAAAGAGAATATTTATGCATATAGGTATTTTTTCTCTTTTGCATAGAATTGCAGTTCTACCCTCTGTGGAGTTTTTTTTAATACAGTCTTCATCTCTACTAAAAAGATCTAGGGTTATTAGTCATTGAGAAGATGGGATATCCCAGAGTCTGAAAGCTAAACATTATTTTGTACTTTAAAATGCAGCCTAAAACTATATTTTTACTGTCAATAATTTTTTTTCTTTTGTTTAGGAATGGTGGACTCACCTGTGGCTCAATGAGGGCTTTGCATCCTGGATTGAGTACCTTTGTGTAGACCATTGCTTTCCAGAATATGATATCTGGACTCAGTTCGTATCTGCTGATTACACAAGAGCTCAGGAGCTTGATGCATTAGACAACAGTCATCCTATTGAAGTGAGTGCCACCTCCATTAATTAGTGAAAGGTTTTTTGTTTTTTTGTTTTGCAAATTCTCGCATTTCTTTAAATGGAAATCTTCTGATCATTGAGGTGACAAAGCAAAACAAATTAGCAAATTGTTTGATATCTTAAGCTAAGAGATTATATTGTAAACTGATTTCCTTAATATTTATTAAGTTGCTAGCCTAATCTGCTGTATAACTTATTCCTTTTCTCACATCTAGGTCAATGTAGGCCATCCATCTGAAGTGGATGAAATATTTGATGCAATTTCTTACAGCAAGGGAGCATCAGTAATTCGAATGCTACATGATTATATAGGTGATGAGGTAAATACACACACATACACACAAAGAAAAAAATGTAACTATGATATTTTTCTTGTCTGTAGTGGAACTTGTTCAAAGAGAAACTCACGTACTGGGAATTACAAAGCAGAGTGTCAAGCTAAGGCACCTTTTCTTGGTCTTTTTAATAAGATATAGAAAGCATTGACTAAGTTGGTAGTTGTGTCCATCCCATATTACTTATTAATGGTAGGGATGTAAAACTAGTCAGGTTTTGGCACATTTTGGTTAGTATGCCACATGTGCAACCAAAGTCCTGATGGTGTTTTCTGTAAGCTAGGATTTCTCATCAAGAGACTGCTTTCTAAACCAATATACTACCGTGTTTCCCCAAAAATAAGACCCAACCAGAAAATAAGCCCTAACATGATTTTTCAGGATGCTCGTAATATAAGCCCACCCCCGAAATAAGCCCTAGTTAAGATTATCAGCCAGACGGATGCATTTAGTACCATATTTCCCCAAAAATAAGACATAACTGGAAAATAAGCCCTAATGCATCTTTTAGAGCAAAGATTAATATAAGACCCAGTCTTATTTTCGGGGAAACACGGTATTTGGCCATGCCTTTCAAATTAGAAGATATATACTATGTACTCATACACCAAGATACTTATCTAATACAGGTAATCCTTGACTTATGACCACAATGGAGCCCAAAATTTCTGTTGCTAATTGAGACATTACTTAAGTGAATTTTGCCCCATTTTACGACATTTCTTTCCATAATTATTAAATGAATCACTACAGTTGTTAACTTAGTAATACGGTTGTTAAATGAATCTGGTTTCCCTAGTGACTTTGCTTGTCAGAAGATTGCAAAAGGTGATCACATGATCCTGGGACACTGCAACCGTCCTAAATATAAACCAGTTGCCAGGGGTCTGAGTTTTGATCACCTGACCATGGGGATGTCGCTGTGATCATAAATGTGAAAAATAGTCATAAGTTACTTTCTTCAGTGCAATTGCAACTTCGAACAGTCACTAAATGAACTGTTGTAAGTCAAGGGCTATCTGTAATATTCTGGTGTTTAGTTGCTATTTTTATGGCTAAAGTATAATAATTTACAACTGAAATAGTATTCCATTCTATGTTGTGAATATGTAGTTGAAATTCTATTCCTTAGCAAAAGAAATGATATATTCAAAAGTTATGATATAGAAATTAAAACTAGAAACAAGTAATAGATAATAGCCAAGAAGATGACAACTCCTAGTGGAGGAATAAAATTAACTCTTCAAAACAGGAAAAAAAGTATTTCTAATTGGAATATAGATATGGCCACCTATGTCAATTAACTAAGTTTTTATAGATATACTTCAAACATTCTGAGAATTGCTTAACTACAACATTGAAAAAATTGAACATGGATCTCAGCTCTGCTCTTAACCCCCATTTTTGTATAAGGCTAATTTAGGAAGTAGGGATTCTCTTCTGTCTGTGTAAGATTTTTTTTAAGATTTCATGATGAACAGCATTGTATTGCTATTTATAGATAATTTCTATGCCATAAAGCCTGTAACTCCATTCACAAGAAGAATCCTAGTCAGGAACATCATCTGAGATTACTCTTGAATTTTAAGATGTGACTAGACAGTATTCCTTTCTCAAGATTAATTTGTATAACCCTGGAGACATGGTGGTTCATCGTATATTTGTAAATTTGTTGTTGTTAGTTGCGAAGTCGTGTCCGACCCATCGCAACCCCATGGACAACGTTCCTCTAGGCCTTCCTTTCCTCTACTATCTTCTGGAGTCCATTTAAGCTCATGCATACTGCTTCAGTGACTCCATCCAGCCACCTCATTCTCTGCTGTCCCTTTCTTCTGTTGCTTTCAATCTTTCCCAGCATTAGGCTCTTCTCCAGTGATCCTTCCTTCTCATTAGGTGGCCAAAGTACTTGAGTACATTGCAACTGGAAAACCATGGCCTTGACTATACATACTTTTGTTGGCAGGGTGATGTCTCTGCTTTTTAGTATGCTGTCTAGATTTGCCATAGCTTTCCTCCTCAGGAGTAAGCATCTTTTAATTTCTTGGCTGCAGTCCCCATCTGTGGTGATCTTGGAGCCCAGGAAGATAAAATCAGTCACTACCTCCATTTCTTCCCCATCTATTTGCCAGGAATTGAGAGGCCCGGATGCCATGATTTTGGTTTTCTTAATGTTGAGTTTCAAGCCAACTTTTGCACTCTCTTTCTTCACCTGCATCAAGAGGCTCTTTAATTCCTCTTCACTTTCTGCCATTAGAATGGTATCATCTGCATATCTTAGGTTGTTGATATTTCTCCCAGCAATCTTAATTCCAACATTTCTAAATTCTAAATATATGTACAATCCAAAACAGACTGTATTTTATTATGATTAATTGAAATACCCAAAAACAAAATATTATTTATTTTCATTAATGGAAAAACTGGAAAGTTTGTTTCATGTTCTTTGGTTTTAAGTATGGCTAACAATGGATTTTGTATTTTTTCCCACATGGATCAATATGTCTTTATATTAAAACAAATAATAGTTTTTAACTATTCAAATGAACTCTACCTTATCTCACCCCACCATCAAAATAGTTTGAAAAACCCTTTACTGCAATCATTATATAGACAAATGAGAGCCTTTACTGCAATCATTATATAGACAAATGAGAGCCAGAATGGTACTGTTTAAGATTAATATAGAGTCCTTGTCTCCCCACTTCTGCCATATATGGAGTGTCAAAAGACAGGGATAACATAGCGTTTTCACCTAGTAAGAAAATTTTGCTTTTCTGATACTAAAAGGCTAAAAGCATCCAAACTATTGACCAGGGAATAGAGAGGGTTTCAGTAGCAGGCCAACACCTTTAAATGCACCCTGGGATAACTAATTGCAAAGTGATTGCTTAGAATGTGTCAGCAGAAGTGGAAAAACTCTGTTATTGTGGAACAAGATATAATGGCAAAATTTGCCCTTGAAATGAGCTTGGAGATAGGTTAAGACATGGGTGTCAAACTTGCCACGTCACATGACATACTGTGACATATCGCGACTCTTTTTGCATTGCTGGCAGTGGGGTGGGCGTGGCTTCAGTATGATGAAACAGGCCTATGGGCCGGCAGTTTGACATCCCTGGGTTAAGAAAATATGGGTGTCTTTGTACCAGAGCAAGCAGGAGGTACAGATGAGTCCCTAGTGTATTCTTCAAGTATCTTATTTTAGCTCAAATCAAACTCATCTTTTAATTATGCATTTTTAATATTTTGGAGATATTTTCCAGTATGAGGTCTTACCTAAACTATGAAGTATAGGGAGCCAAAAAGAAGTGATTGGGGCTGTGGCAAAACTAATTTTATTTCTTTTACATATAATTAAATTTGAATATAGTTAATATGATTATGTATTTAATCATTTTTCTGCTTTGCCAGATTCAAAATTACAATCTAACAACATTTTTATATCCAAGGCTTTTGATCATTATTTTGGGCTCAAGTTTTCAGATTGTGAGCCTAAACATTGTCTTATTAATAAAGTCCAAATGGTACCACAAGTATTGTGATAGTATTAGACGTATAATAATACATTTAGATTAACCAGAAAACTCTGTTCTTAAAAAAATGATTTTGTGGAAAAGGATACTTCCCTTCCTGTTTGAAGCAGAAATGAATTAATTCTGAAAATTTTGTTTCTTTTGAAATACTTGTTTTATAGGATTTCCGAAAAGGAATGCACCTCTATCTTACCAAGTTTCAGCATAAGAATGCTTCTACAGGTAACTGTAAGGCTTGTGGTTTTTATTTTATTCTGTTGTCTCCAGAGCATTCCACTTATGAAAGAGGGCAACATTTATAAGGCATTCCATATTGAACTTTTCTAATCAAAAAGAAAAGGAATGTAGTTTTTTAGTCATATAGTTTCTTCTAAATTATACCTTTATGGAACTTTAACCACAATCATTTGTTTGATGTATTAGAGCACTGCAATAGTAATTACTACCAGAGTCCCATAGTGAATTCTGAACTTTTCCAATTTCATTCTTCAATCCTGCTCAAAGTAAACCAGTCTAATATTACAGTCAGGTCCAGAAATATTGGGACATCGACACAATTCGAACATCTTTGGTTCTATACACCACCACAATGGAGTTGGAATGAAACAAACACAATGTGCTTTAACTGCAGACTGTCAGCTTTAATTTGAGGGTATGTACATCCAACTCAGATGAACAGGGTAGGACTTACAGCAGTTTGCATATGTGCCTCCCACTTGTTAAGGGACCAGAGGTAATGGGACAGAATAATAATCATAAATCAAACTTTCCCTTCTTAATACTTGGTTGCAAATCCTTTGCAGTCAATCACAGCCTGAAGTCTGGAACGCATAGACATCACCAGACGCTGGGTTTCATCCCTGGTGATGCTCTGACAGGCCTCTACTGCAGCTGTCTTCAGTTCCTGCTTGTTCTTGGGGCATTTTCCCTTCAGTTTTGTCTGCAGCAAGTGAAATGCATGCTCAATGGGATTCAGGTCAGGTGATTGATTTGGCCATTGCATAACATTCCACTTCTGTCCCTTCACAAATTCTTTGGTTGTTTTTGCAGTATGCTTTGGGTCATTGTCCATCTGCACTGTGAAACGCCGTCCAATGAGTTCTGCAGCATTTGGCTGAATGTGAGCAGATAATATTGCTCAAAACACTTCAGAATTCATCCTGCTGCTTTTGTCAGCAGTCACATCATCAATAAATACAAGAGAACCAGTTCCATTGGCAGCCGTACATGCTCACGCCATAACACTACCACCACCATGCTTCACTGATGAGGTGGTGTGTTTAGGATCACGAGCAGTTCCTTTCCTTCTCCATACTCTTCTCTTCCCATCACTCTGGTACAAGTTGATCTTGGTCTCATCTGTCCATAGGATCTTGTTCCAGAACTGTGAAGGCTTTGTTAGATGTTGTTTGGCAAACTCTAATCTGGCCTTCCTGTTTTTGAGGCTCACCAGTGGTTTACATCTTGTGGTGAACCCTCTGTATTCACTCTGGTGAAGTCTTCGCTTGATTGTTGACTTTGACACACATACACCTACCTCCTGGAGAGTGTTCTTGATCTGGCCAACTGTTGTGAAGGGTGTTTTCTTCACCAGGGAAAGAATTCTTCAGTTATCCACCACAGTTTTTTTCCGTGGTCTCCCAGGTCTTTTGGTGTTGCTGAGCTCACCGGTGCATTCCTTCTTCTTGAGAATGTTCCAAACAGTTGTTTTGGCCACGCCTAATGTTCTTGCTATTCTCTGATGGGTTTGTTTTGTTTCTTCATCCTAATGATGGCTTGCTTCACTGATAGTGACAGCTCTTTGGATCTCATCTTGAGAGTTGACAGCAACAGATTCCAAATGCAAATAGCACACTTGAAATGAACTCTGGGCCTTTTATCTGCACATTGTAATTGGGGTAATGAGAGAATATCACACACCTGGCCATGGAACAGCTGAGAAGCCAATTGTCCCATTACCTTTGGTCCCTTAACAAGTGGGAGGCATATATGCAAAGTGCTGTAAATCCTACCCCGTTAAACTGAGTTGGATGTACATACCCTCAAATTAAAGCTGACAGTCTGCGGTTAAAGCACATTGTGTTTGTTTCATTCCAACTCCATTGTGGTGGTGTATAGAGCCAAAGATGTTCAAATTGTGTCGATGTCCCAATATTTCTGGACCTGACTGTATATTAAGTCCTTGATAAATGTCTTTTAATAAAAGATAAGTGATAGATAATGTGATTGTGTGAAAACACTGTTGCTTTTAATATTGTATATAAGAACATCAATATATTAATTTTGTATAGAACATATGTAGGCAGTGATACATGCCTAAATCTTGTAATCTATGTACAGGTAGTTCTCATTTAGTAACCATAATTGGGATTAACAACTTTGTTGCTAAGTGACCTGGTAGGATGTGAGAGATTGCGAGAATTGTGACTGCTTACAAAATGACACTGCTTCCAGGATGGCACAAGGTGGTTTCTGTATAGGAAGATGGTACAAAACTTTGGCTTGGTACTCTTTTAGAAAGGCAATTTCCAAAGATTTTAGTTCCAAAAGAGAACCCAGGTGATGCAACGTTGTGTTTTTCAATTGTGCCCTTCTAAGGGATTGCATGAATGGCGTTAGGCTGCCTGTTTTGGAAAGGTGATCTTCAAAAGAGGTTAATGGAGCAAGCATGCTGGGATAGGCAGGAGGCCTGAGGCGTGTGGGATCCAACTGGACAGGAAGTCCCAAGGGACTCAATAGGATGAAATAAGGGGGAAAGATAGGCAGATGGGGCAATTGTAGCATCTTGTGGTTCGTCATAAGAGTGGGTGAATTGCTGAGTTTGCAATGGTGGCGAATATCTGAATTGCCAAGTGCCCAAACTGCGATAGCAATAGCACTTAGACTTATATACCACTTCATAGTGCGTTACAGCCCTCTCTAAACAGTTTACAGAGTCAGCATATTGCCCCCAACAATATGTGTTCTCATTTTTTTTTGTAATATTTTATTAATTTTCTAATTTTACATTTAAGTATTTAAAAAGCAACGTAGTGGCTGGGTTAATCGATAATTCAATAACATACAAAAATCTTTAGTACAAATCTCAAGGTACCACATCAAATAATTCTTCTCTTTTTCCCTTAATATCTACTGTCTCATATTTAAACTAATACAGTTCTTATTATATCAATTACCATCAATAAATTTTTAGCTTATATATATCCTAGTTACTTTAACATTCAATCTTTATAGACAATCAATGTCCTGTAATTAGTTTTTCTCAATTTTTAGTTCCCCATCAATATTTAAATTTAACATTTGATATTTATAATTTCCAAGTTTTAGGTAACCAAAGTTTCCTTTATCACAATTCATAACAGTCTAATATTCAAGATACACATCTTATCTATTTGAATATATTCTATTTCCCACCATCTTACATCATCTAGTTAATAATACAGTATAACATCCTTATTTTCAACTAATTTCCAAATGTCTTAAATTTAATGACCAAAATTTCCCCCATTTCAATATCAAATATTTCCTCTTTTTCCCTTAATATCTGCTGCCTTATATTTAAGCTAATACAATTCTTATTATATCAACTAAGTAAAAACATGTTTATTACATTATAAAGAAATTTTTAGCTTATACATATCTTAATTACTTTTACATTCAATCTTTATAGACAATCAATATCCTATTTGTTTGTTTTCCCCAATTTTTAATTCATATCAATATTCAAATTTAACTTTTAATATTTATACTTTCAAGTTTTAAATGACCAATTTTTTTATCTCAATTCATAACAAAATCTAGTATTCACAATACGTATCTTGTCTATTTTGAGTATATTCTATTTTAATTAGTAATATAAAATCCTCTAATAAATCAAAACCCCAATTTTCTTCAGCCTTATTCTGCCTTTCTTCCTTTACCAGCTTGCCTTCCATGTCAATGCTTTTAAGTCATCAAATAGATCTTCCTCTGTTGTTATATATATTATTTGAAATAAAAGAGACCATCCAGTCACCATTTTTTTGGAAGGGCTAGCAAATTGTCTCTCTATATTATTCCAGATCCCCATAGTTGATCTGGTATATTTGTCTTTCCTTTGGTCTGTTCTTCTTCTTGCTCCTCAAGTTTCTTCTGGTTTATATAGAAAGTCTTTTCCATTTTCATTGTTGTCAGTCCCTCTTCTGGATTTTCCATTGACTGTATTCGTTTGGTCAGTTGAATCCTCTATCATAGTATTTAATTGTTTCATTTCTTCTGTTATGTTCTGCGTAGTTGATTCTTTAATTGTAATTAAAATTTGGGTTCGTATATCTAAGCTGACATCTTGCTCTTTTCTGTAGCATCTTATTTCATCACAAGCTAAAAGAATGGTTTCATGTATTGACTTCTGGTTTGCCATCGTGGCCACGGATGTTGGAAGGCGAGCTCTGTCTTCTGCGTTCGGTTTTGTTCCGTTGAAAAGGGTCGAGAGTCGCCCTATAGGGGCGACAAGCAAGGAGAGGACCCCTGCTTGATCGCGGGAAGACGGTAGCCCTTCCGCTCGATCCGGAGCAACCCTCCATACCGGTGGACGAAAGACTGACCATAGAAATATGGCTCATCACTAGGCTGTAGACAGCCAAAGTCAAACTTGCCACCAGGTACTTTTAAAGCAGAGCGGATGAGACTTGGGTGAGATTTGAACGTCTCTTCAATCCTAAGTATTTCCTTCTACTGTAAAAGCTGCCCAAAGTATCTTCCTCCCGTGAGGAGAGAGGGAAGGGAATTTCTATCCCACCCTCTAAGAATAGTGGCAACTGACTATCCAGGGGAGTTAAAACACTGAAAGAATAACCTTAATCTAACTGGATTCATATGCTTCTAAAATTTAGGCACCAAAAGATTTCTTATCTTTACTGAAGACTTTGGTTTTATTTACAAAAAAGAAATAAAATTGGAAAAAGGATTATAAAAATTTTGGACTTAAAAAACCTTAAACAGCAATGGTGACATCTTGTGGCCAAGTTTGATATTACAATTTGTTATTGTCTAAAGGAGACTTGGCTTGAAGCCCAGACTATAGATAAAGATTTTTTCAACCTTGACAAATATCAGCTGTGAGAAGCTCAGCTGTGTTCTATACTCAGTTATGAACCTATTTTCATTTTCTGACTTTAAAACTCTCAATTTAACACACCATTAAGAGAATATGGATGAAGACCAGGAACAGATTCTTTTTATGTTGAAAGCAATATGCGTTATCATTTTACTGACCTCAGAAGGATGGAAGGCTGAGTCAACCTTGAGCCAGTGAGAATTGAACTGCTGGCAGTTGACAATCAGCAGAAGTAGCTTGTAGTACTGCATTCTAACCTCCACTCTTATCATGTGATAATGTGACTGTGGGCCACTGTGGCAGCTATAAGTACAGGTCTTATGTTTTTTTGTTCAGCATTGTCATAATTTTGAATGGTTGCTGAACAAACGGTCGTAGTCAAGAACTACATCTTAATTAAGGTCACAGAACTGAGCTTGTTAATTTGCTGTAGAAGCGCTGAGTTGTGGAGAAAAACAGCTCAGGAAAAGACCACTTGTTTAGGCAATCTCTCCATTCTATGAGGAAAAAAAAAGAAATAAAATAGGGCCAGGCACAAGACAGCATGTATTAACTTATTATAATTGCGACATGTGTCTATGTGAGAAGCTGCATAGTTGTAAATTTTAATTCATCGTCATACGTTCAAATGGTGGGTGCTTGAGGCAGCCACTAAATGAGATCTACTTGTAACTATGGCTCTAGTGATGCCTCTTATATGTGATTATGATTTTTGTATTATGAGCTGCCCAGTGTCACATGGTTGAAATGAGTGGCTGTATCAATTCAATATATAAATAAAACAGGTATGAAGTATTTTCTTTAGCATTAGAATTCAACTTATTTAGATTGAGGGTTTTTCTCTTTTGCAGAAGATCTTTGGGAATGCCTGGAAGACGCTAGTGGTAAACCTATTGCTGCTGTGATGAATACATGGACCAAGCAAATGGGTTTTCCACTGGTATATGTAGAAGGGGAGCAGGTAGGTATATGATTTCTGACATTGAACTCAGTTCAGGTAGAATACAAACCAATGATTTAATCTTCCAAAATTACATGTATAATATGCTATAGAGCTCCTATCCTTACTTTCATTTTCTGTTTAATCAGTATTTCAATTTTCACAGAGAAAAAAAAAGCCTTTGGACCAAATTTATCTACAACTTCTCAGTCAGTCGTCAACAAACCTCATTTTGTAGCTACTTGAAACAGTAGTTTCTCACTGTATTTTTCTACTTATTGCAAAGCAGGGTCCATTTATACAGAAATAATAGTTAATGTTTTTTATAATTATGACTGTGGAGGATTTTGTTTATGACTTACTCTCCTTAAAATAATATGTTTAGAATTTATATTTGTAAGCTTTAATAAATACATCAGATTTTCAGCAACATGTGTATTTGACACATAACTAGAGACATCAAGTTTGTAATAGTTTATATATGACAGAGAATATAAATAAATAAATAAATAAATAAATAAATAAATAAATAAATAACATAGGTTCAGATATTAAACTGTGATGAATCCATGACCCGAGTGATTTCTGAGTGATTTTATATGATTGTATATGTCTTAAATTTAAAAAGATAAACATAATATGTGACTTATACAAACAGAGTATATTTTTGTATTTTGCATAGGTCTAGTCCATAATAAAGGGGAACGGATACCATGTAGTGATCATTGGAATCCAAATTCAGTTTCCCTTTTTAAATGAAACATTACTCCCATATAGTTCCAATGTTAATTTCATAGCCTGAAGTCTAGGTATATTAAAAATGCAAACTCAAAAATCTGTGTCTTTCAGTGCTATAGTCTGCTATACTTATTTAATGTATTCATGACTCTCAAAAAGTTTTGGCCCTACTAGGATCCCTTATTAATTAGAAATATACCTTGCATATACCTTGAAATATTGTAATAGAATTTCCAGTATTTTTAATATAGAAAAAATATATAAATATGTATATGTTGTGTTATGCTACGTCATGCCATGCCATTTATGCTGTGCTGTGCTGTGCTATATTCATTGTAAATATTACAGGAACATTTCTTTCCTGCCTTTAAGTCCTTAGACTCAGAAAACAGTAATGGAACGTAAAAGTGAAATTAATGCCATCTACTACAAAATTAGAGCATAAATATTTTGTAGAATCCCTAAAACTATTCTTAATTAATCTTGCAGCTGCTTCTTGTATATTTAAATCTTACACATTTACTTCTCATTAACTTTGTTAAGTCAAGCAATATATAATCTCAATGTCTGAAGATAAAAAAAGAATTTCTTCTGATGTTTCTAGAAATTTGATACCTGACTGGATTTATGTTAGGTGCTTTCTAGGTATGGTTCATGTTCTTAAGCATTATAACAAATAGGGCCTGGTTGCTTGAACAATTCTCCAATTAAGGAGTGCCATCTATTAGGACATTAGAAGAAAGCCTTCTCTGTCATGGCCTCTGCCTTCTGGGATGAGGTTCCCCTTGAAGTTTGGGTAACATTCAGGAAGGTCTTAAAAGTCCTGGCTAGTCTGGCAGATTTTGGGCTAGGGTGGTTAGAGCCCCTTGATAATTATATGATACACTGATTGTTGCTGAGTTTCCCACCCTATTTACTATTTTATTTTCTACTTTTGATTGTATATTTGTTATCTTGTTTTTATGCTGTGAATTGGACTTGGGTGATGTCTAAGTAAAAACAAACAAATGCACGCATGCGTGCACACGCACACACGCACACACACACACAGACAGACAGAGTGACAATTTTGGTACATTTTTTTACTATTTACCTCTTAAAACAAATATACAATTTAATTGACTTTGTTATATCAAATTTGCTTAAACAAAAATAACACATTACAGAGTACCTCATTTTGCTTAATAATACTGCAGACATACTATTTTGTGATTCTAGATGAAAACTAGCTTTAGCTTTTAATAATAAATAGTCTAATTCATCTTCATTTAACTTATTTCCAAGCTTTGGAATTCATCTCTGAAATAACCTATGGAACACTTACATTAATGTATTTATTTCTGTATTTATAAAAAAAACGTTGTCTGAAAAGATATTCAAGTTTTTTAAGTGGAGATCACAATTTAGATATTTTTCATACATGCCATCTTAAATTCACGATCTGTGGAAAGATTCTTAAACTAGATTAGGGGACAGAGATCCTGTTATCAGATACCACAGTTTATTGAAATAGATCAAACCAAATTAATTGGATATTTACTTTCAGCAAATTAGGACTTCCTTTGACTATGCAATGGTAGCCACTGATAATCCTGTCCTAGCCATCATATTTCAATCACAATATTGTGATATAATACTGTATCATAAGAAAATATTATCTGTGACTGTGGCCAATCTGTTGAGAGTAGCAGATAAAGGTATAGGGTGGTTGGAAAAAGGGGGAGTGGGCAAAATTATATGGTTTGGCAAAAAAAAAAAAATCTTGATAAACTTACTATAGACTGTGGGGACAAGAAATTAAGCCCTCCGGACATACCATCATAAGTGGAAATATTCTCAAGCCTGTCACTACTATTTTTATTTTTTTTTTCTTTATTCCAGCAAGAAGATAACAAAGTGCTGAAGCTAGTCCAGAAGAAATTCTGTGCCAGTGGACCATATAGTGGTAAGACGATAGCAGGAGCAAGCAGCGCACCATATTATACGTGACACCAGCTATTCCACGAAACAGCCCTTGCACTGTCAGTTTGTGCAGGCAGGTGTCCTTTTTAGGATTCAGATGTTTGAAATAATTTACCAACAATTAAATCTAAATTTTTATTTTTTCATTGTGTTTTTGGGGGGCCTTACATTCTGCACATTTTAATTAGAAAAGTTGCACGCTCTTTAAAATGATTTTACATAGTATTAATAATCTTTGTGATACCTATGTGAAAGGTAGCAGAAATACAGTTCTGTGAAAAAGTATTTGTTCCTTTTGGGATTTCTCTATTTTTGTATCTCTTTACCACTTAAAGTATAGCTTCATGTGGGTCCTACTGGTTTTTTAAGAAAGCAACACTAAACTTTGGGGTTCTTTTTATTTATTTGTAACTGAAACCTTCCACAATACAGTATCACAATGTGAAAAAGTAATAGCTTCCTTGTTCTGTCAATACGTTTTTAAAAAATCCTCCTAGTATTTTTCTGCAAATATATAATGTTTGCTTTTTTTCTGATCAGCTGAGTGTTGATTCACTGGTTACAGTAAAAATTGACTGACTGGCTTATTACCTGAGTCTTATGTCGTGGTCTGAAAGAGAATGACTGGCCAAAGTTCACATTGCCAGCTTTCATGTCTAAGTTAGGACTAGAAATTACAATCTCCTGGTTTCTAGCTTGGTGCCTTAATCACTAAACCAAACTGGCTCTCATTCAGTACAGTTAAATGAAGGGATAGTTTTGTGAGTACTTCATTAAACAGGCTATTGATTGGATCATCACTGCTTTCTAGAAGTAACAGTGATTGACATTTTATTATAACCAAAGACCAAATTACAAAAGTTAAAGCAAATGGTCTAAAATATCATTAATTGGGTAAGTTACCCACTTTTGTTGTGAGGTCAGAACATAGCCTTAGTATTTAATAATTGCTTAATCGATTTCAGGGTACATTTTCAAGGAAAATTTCTAAATATCATTGGACAGTGCCCAGGCAATCTAATTATTAGGGATTGGATTAGTTGGAAGTCAATTCCTCATAAATCTTCAGAAAGGTATGTTCTGAGGTTTCAGTTTCATCAGAAACACAGAGGCATTATCTCTGCAAAATGTGTCTGATTGTACAGTATGCAGAGGAAAAACATTAAATTGTGCTCTGGAGAAGGCACTACAATATGGGGAAATTGGTCTTTGTAGATGCTTTTAAGTCAATGTTGTCTCCTGGCAACTTCCCAAACTAGTCTCTGCAGTTTTCTTGTCAAGTTTTAAGAGGTTGTTTACCATTGTGTGCTTATTAGGGTTGAGAGAGAATGATTGGCCCAAGGTCATCCAATTGGTTTTATACCTAAGGCAATATTAGAACTCACAGTTTCTACAGTTTATAATTATGTTGTTAATTTAGTGCTTTGTAGTTGCCCTGATTCATTATAAAGTTGATATAGGCATCACTAACTGTTTTTACAGAAATCTACCAAACAACGTTTTGGGCAGAGCATGTTTTAGAATCCATGTGATGAAAAATTGAATGTGATTTGAAGAGCTTTTAAAGTTCATAATATGTATTCAGAGCTTCATATTTATTCAATAATATTTTAATTTTAATTAAATGTTTAAAAGACTATGAACAATATGCTCCTCAAAATAGTAGACAAATAATTCCCTATATTATTATACAATTTATTATTGCTTAAAAAGACTACAGAATGGTTTCTAAACTTCTGAAGATAGTTTTGAAATGGAAAACATTTGATAGAATATTAAATCTTAATTAAGATACCCAATTTATTAAAAGCATATTTTCTATCTAAATTCTGCAGGAGTAAATTAGACCAGGGATCCCCAACCCCAGACCACGGCCTGTGGGGAACCAAGCCGCAAAATGAAGCTTGGCATGTTCATCTCCTCACCTGCCTCTTACATGGAACTATCCCCTTCCTCCACCCCTCACCACTACCACCAGTCCGCACAGCTGGAAAGGTTGGGGATCACCATCAATCAATCAGACTAGAGCTGAAAGGAACCTTGGAGGTCTTCTAGTCCAAACCCATGCTCAAGCAGGAGACCCTATACCATTTCAGATGGGTAGTTGTCCAGTCTTTTCTTAAAAACCTCCAGTGATGAAGTACCTACAACATCTGAAGGCAAGCTGTTCCAGTGGTTAATTGTTCTCACTGTTAGGAAGTTTCTCCTTAATTCCAAGTTGCTTCTCTCCTTGATTACTTTCCATCCATTGTTTTTGTCTTGCCTTCTGGTGCTTTAGAAAATAAGTTTACCCTCTCTTCTTTATGATAGCCTCTCAAATACTGGAATACTGCTATTATATCACCCCTGGTCCTTTTCTCTAGACTGGCCATACACAATTCCTGCAACTGTTCTTTTGTCTCCAGGATTTTAATCATCTTAGTTGCTCTTCTTTGCACTTTTTCCAGAGTCTCAACATCTTTTTTGTAATGTGGTAACCAAAATTGGATGTAGTATTCCAGGTGTGATTTGATTCTATGTTTCTGTTTATATAACCAAGGATTGTATTAGCTTTTTTGGCTATTGCTGCACATGCTAGCTCATGTTTAAGTGATCCTCCATTAGGACTCCAAGGTCCTTCTCATAGTTATGTTTTTGAGCCAGGTTTCACCTAATTTGTACTTGTACCTTTGGTTTTTCCTGCCTACATGTAAAACCTTATTTTCTTCACATTAAATCTCATATTGTTGGATAGGGCTTATTGTTCAAGTCTGTGAAGATATTTTTGGATCCTGAGCTTGACTTCTGGGGCGTTAGCTATTCCTGCCAGTTTTGTGTCATCTGCAAATTTGATGAGTTCTCCTTCTATTCCCTCATCTAAGTAATTTATGAATATATTGAAGAGTACTGAGCCTAAGACAGAACCTTGTGGTACCCCACTGTTTACCTCCCTCCATGTAGATGTAGCACCATTAAGGACAACTCGTTGAGTATGGTTTGTCAGCCAGTTAGAAATCCATCTGATGGTGATGCTATCTATCCCACATTTTTCTAGGTTACCAAGAAGTAGGTTGTGGCCTACTTTGTCAAATGCCTTGTTGAAGTCTTATTATATCCACAACATTTCACTGGTCTACTAATTTACTTACTTTGTTAAAGAATGAAATAAGATTTGTTTGGCATGATCTAATTTTAACAAATCCATGCTGGCTTTTAGTTATATCTTTATTTGTTTCTAGATGTTCGCAGATCTGTTTTTGGATTATCTTTTCCACTGTCTTCCCAATTATTGATGTTAGACTGATTGGTCTGTAGTTTCCTGGATTTATTTTTCCCCCCTTTTTTGAAGAGGGGAACCATATCAGCTCTTTTCCAATCCTCAGATAATTCCCCATGTTTCAGGATTTTTGAAAGACATGGTACAATTGTTCTGAGATAATATCTGCCAGTTCCTTTAGAACTTTGGGATGTAATCTATCAGGGCCCAATGATTTATATTTATCAAAACCAGACAGGTGTTCTCTTACCATTATCTTGCTTTTTGTAATTTTTATTCCTAGTCTGTCTTTTACAGTTATGTTTTTGATAGGTTGGGCTGTAGTTTCTTTTTGCTTGAAGACTGATGCAAAGAATGAATTAAGCAGCTCTGCTTTCTACTGTCTGTTACTTCCTTGTAATCTTTTCTCTTTAGTGGGCCAACTGTTTCCTTGACTTTTTTCTTGTTAATTTATGGTGCAAGTCTTTGTTCATTCTCAGCCTTTGCTTTTCTGCCTTCATATTTGCAGATTCTGCTGATATTTTGCCTTAGATATGTGTCCCTCTTTCCCTTTTTTTTATTGAAAAGTTTTATACAAGTTTTAAACAATATCCCCCCCCTAAAATAACCCCCTCCCTCACTTCCCAGAGCTGGTTACAGGGTTGCAAATAAACAAATTCAAAATAAACTTATCCAACTATACAAATAATAAAATTGATAATATACTTTAACTCAAATACAAAAAAAAATTAACAATTTGAGCATTTCCAAATTAAAAACTATAAATAATTCATAATCTGCATAATGCATTTTAAACCCATATCATAACCCATATTTACTCTACATATAATTTATCCATCTTCACCTTGCTGAGGTGTATATTTCTTTTAAACAACCATTCGTCCATAATAAACACAAAATTTCCCCTCCAATATAACCTAACCAACAAACTTACATTCGATAAAATTGGCTCTTTGCTTTTTACCCCTAAGAAAGTCTATTAATACCCTCCTACTTGAAAAGTTTCAGCAGACTATTCATCTTCTAAAACTCTCACCAACAGAGATCATTAAAATTTTGAATTCTTTTACACATTTACCCATAATATTTCATAATTATTTTTCACTTTAAATTAAGAATTTATAATATATATACTCCCAAATATTTAAACTTTTCCACTAAATCAACACCTTCTATTATTCTTTTACTTTACATCTACATACTACACAAATCATTCACTGTTTCTTTAAAACATACTAAATACAAATCATTCACTTTTTTTTAAAACATCTTCTGTCTCAAAAAACTACTACAAAAGTTCATCATTTCCTTTTCTTTATTCCAACATCCATCTTCTGCAGTTCTTTTAATTTACGTCTATAGGCTGCACGAGTCATTCTCGGTTCCTTTAAAAAATCTTCTGCCTCAAGAGACTGCTGCAAATGTTCAGCCTGTTTGTCTCCCACATCCAATAGCATAGCACTTTCAACAAGCTGCTCTTCCAACTTTTCTTTTGTTATCTCAGGTCGTAAAGATAATGGAGAACCCACCTTCAAAACCGAAATGTAAAAATCTTTCGCCTTTGACATTGTATTAAGTCTATAATATATCCCAGCATAATTCAGGACTATTCCAACCGGTATATCCCATCTGAATCGAACCTGGCGTTTTTTGAGCTCATCAACCAAAAAAGCAAAATCCTTTTTCTAAGAATTTTTGAAGGTATTTCTTTTAAAATTATAACATCTTGAGCTGCAGTTTGAAATCTCTGTTTATAAAAAGCCTGTAAAAATTCATTATGAAGTGATCTCCTAGAAAAATAGATAACCACGTCTTGTGGCAAATTCTTTTGTCTCGCAACCCTAGAATTAACCCTAAAAACTTTTTCCATCTCTCTCAATATTTCTTCAGGCTCAGCCCCCAAAATAAGAGCAATATCTTTAAACCTCCATCTCTTCTTTAATCTGTCGTTCCTTTTTTTACAAGGCGTCCTGTAAATCTTTAAGTATACATGCTGGAGACAATAGAGAAGGTGGTGGAAACTTAGACTTAGCTTGCTGAGCTGCCTGCATTACCGGGAAGATCGAGGCTTTAGAAGCAACAGAAGCTCCGAGACGCTTTGAAGCCATTTTATTTTTAAGACCACTTATAAAAAGTCTGCTAAAATCTTATAAAATCAACAAATACCCCCCCCCCCCAAAAAAAAAGAAAAAAGGAGAAGGGGAAAAAAGACAAAAGCCCCCTTAAAAGAAAAAAAGAAGATTCTTGCAATTTATACAAATACAAAATCTGTTACATTGTTCCAAGTAGAAGTTCCGGTCCTTTCACTCAATGAATCAACATCTCAGCACCATTTTTCACCACTCTTAATTAAAAGAAGGAGAACGTAAGTTCTTTTCCAGAGTTAAAGTCCGAAATAATCCCCATTTTAGTCTCTCCTGGTCAGCTCTGTCTGCTTTAAAATTTACTCACAAGTTCATTTTAAGCGCAGATGTGGAAGCAGCATCTAGCTTTGCCCTGGAAAAGTCAGAGTAAAGGCATCCTGGAATGTGGAGAACACCCCAGACTCCGTGGGAGCTCTCACCCTCTGACCACCAAAAAAGAAAACTTTGGGGCCTCAGGGAGCTCTACCACTATCTGAGGAAAGCTCACCCCCTCCCCTTCGCCCGGGAGAGAGGTTCCAAGCCGCGAGACAGCTGTTGCTCGCTGTCTCAGCTGGCTTTGACACATCCCAGGGCGGACGGCTGAAGAAAGCCGCCATCGCCACGGCCGTCACCACCGGAAGTTTTCTCTTTCCCTTTTTTTGTACTTACCCTTTTTGTCTTTCAGTTTATCAGAGAGATCTGGTTTTGGATTTCTTGTTTTTCTTTTTCAGTGATATTATGTTGGACTGGGCTTTTATGATCATATTTTTCAATGTTTTCCATGCTTCTTGAGTTGCTTTATCCTTTAAGATTTTTATCCATGGAATTATTCTTAGGCTCTCTCTGAGTTTGTTAATATCGATCCTTTTACAATCTAAGACACTGGTTGGATTATATTCTATTGCTTGTGTTTGCATTATATTGAATTCCACTATGATGTGGTCACTTGCCTAAAGTTCCGGCAACTTCAACTATCTGTCCATAAGCAGAAACAGATGTATTTTATGTAGCAAAGCAACAATCTCAAACAAGCAAGTATGAATCTGAACACCACCACCACCACCACTAAACCCCACAGAAATATTGTGGCAGGACCAGAGTAAGCAAATCATGCTTGAATATTGTCAAATGTTAGTAATTTGAAGTAGTTCATTCTGGTAGAAAGAACCTGAAAAGGTGATGTGAGACATTAATCACCAATTACTGAACACAGGCATAGCACCTAAAGATGTTCCAGTCAAAGGTGTTACTGAATCTAAGAGGATGATTACTTTTTCACACTGGAACAGTGCATGCTAGATTACTTTGTTTATGTAATAAATCAATAAATTAAACAAGAAATAAGCCTGGTTGTGTTATTTACTCAGGTTCTCTTAATCATAATTCATATGAAACTCCCATTACATTCATTGGCAAGTTATGCAAAAAGTCAGAAAATCTAAAAGGCATGAATATTTCTTCCCTGAATAAATGTATATACATGAACAGTTAGTAAGTATTAAGTAGATGCATCTTGCCTCGCTATCAGGAGGCTGTGAATTCGATCCTAGGTAGAGGCAGATATTTCTCTCTGAGCACAATGAGTAATTGTCTGCTACAAACTCCACATAGGCGACTCGAAGGGCATCTGGCCAATAAACACACTTGAGCTCCATTCAGTCGCCCTGACTCCACCCCAATTCAAGGAATTACTGGATAGTTTAAAAAAAATCATAATCCTAGAATACTGTACCTGCAGTTGAGAAAATGGTATTGAAAGCAAATTACTTAGATGACTTGTATAATCAAGTTGAACTGTAGGCTCCTTATTAAAGCACAAAATGAAAACAAACTAAATGTTTGCCAATTTAGAATAGAGCTGAATTTTAATTATTTTGATAAAAAATAGTAGCTGTTGATTAGAATTTGAGTTTGAAGGCAATTTATTCAATTGATTTTTGAAAAGGATGTTTATTTGAAAAGGAAGATCAACATATACAATGTTTTGTTAGTAATTATGATGGTACCTGTTGTGTTATACGTAAGTACTTCTTTGCTTCAGTTGTAAGTACAACTGAAATACGAGATATCCCTAAATTATTAAATTTTCATGATTAATCTACAACTGGTTTTTTATTTTGTTTTTACTTATCCTTTCTCATTTGTTATAGAGAACAAGAGTAATAGTTCATGTGAATATGTAAATATGTATGTTCATTTAAATAACAGGTTTTATTTACAGGTGACTGCCTGAGTCATCCTAAAATATAGTTCTATGAGACCCAGAAAGTAAATTCAGTGTTATCATTCTTTGCATAAAATTTAAGTCGTTAGAGTACCAGTTGTTTCAGGGAAGGTATAGACCTTGAATAAATTTGTTTTTGCAGAATGATTGGATTTCCATTCTACAAATGTGCTGGGTGAAAGCAGCTGTGATTTTGCTTCTTATTCCATAAATCCTCAAATATGTTTTGGGGGACTGGACAATAGACCACATCATACCCTGTTCTGTCAGGTGTCCTTCTCTTCTTTTATATAGGGGAAGATTGCCCTTTGTGGATGATTCCCATTACCATTTGTACAAGTGATGATCCAACCCATGCCAAAATGCAAGTATTAATGGACAAGCCTGAGTTAACTTTAGTTTTGAAAGATGTGAAACCAGAGCAGTGGATTAAGGTGAGTTATAATAAAAAAAGTGTGTATATATACACTCCCTAAGTCTATATAATTGTCCAACCTATTGTCTTATCTTATTCTTCCTAGTCCTTGATTAGTCAGGAGAAAAGAGAACAGTTAATTTTTTTTCAGAGCTGCCTTGTTCTCTTAATGTAATGCCACCAATAGCCCATATACAAGGACACTGGAATTGTTTCTTCCATGTTCAGTTTATGACTTTTAGTATAAGCTTCCCATGTTAATTTATTTTGTTTGCTATTAAATGTTCAAATGTTCCTATGATTTTGTAAAAAACCTACTTATTAGTATTAGGAAAGATACCTAATGACCATGCATGATGGAGATGATTGTTAACTTGGTGATCCAGTTAAAGTTCATTGTTTAACAATTTCTCAGTAGAAATGGCTTTCCATTATACATAGTTAACTGTGTGCATTCCTTACAGTTTTTGTCATCTCTAAGTGCTTAGATTTCTTGCTTCATTGCTGGGCTTCTTTTAGTACTATAAAATTCTTCTCTAAGAATCTGATATTAAGTCATAATTATCTTGTCATAATTTTGCCAGAGATTATCACAGTGTTGATAATCTAAACAATTGTCCTTAACTTTCTTCCCTTCCAATATTTGTTTTATAGGAGTAGCTTTTTCAGTGGCTGTTGTTTTGTCAGTATTGATCTAGAGTTTTGTAAAAGTTATTTTATTCTACTATATACAATAATATATATCTCAAAATAATAGTAGTTCTGTATTCTAATACTATTATTTTGATATGCTATATTAAGCAATCCAGTATCCTTGGCTAAAATAATACACGTCTAGAAGATCTCTGTTAGTGTCCACATCACTTTAATTGCATAAAAGAAGTTATCATCACTTTGTTTACCAAAGTTAGAAATTCTTGACATATTTAATAGATAAGATGTTGATTGCAGCATATGCTGAAGGAAATGTCAATTGATATCAAAACTGGGAAACTCTAGTTGTGCATCTTACCATTACTGCTCCTTTCTTTTGCCAAATGAGGCAACAGTAATTCTGGGAGGGTTGTAAAGAGGAAATATATTAGTATTCTCCAATGATTTTGTTGTGATAATTTCCTGGGTTTAGGTTCAAGACTCAGTTTTTCCCAGATCATTTCTAAATTTAAATTTTACTGCATTGAGAAATCATAGTCTGATTCACTTGTAAGTTTGTCAGAGAAAATAAACGGAAAAATTATGAAACATACAATAAAATTTAAACAGTCAAAATTAGCAACTATCTATAGTTGCAAACCATGTAGAGAATAATAGAGGATAATGCCAGAAACTGTGGCCTAAAAGTTAATAGGTTATAAACAAGGTTCAGTTAAAAATGAATAATTAAGTGCAAATGATCCTCTTCATTTTAAACAAGATAAAAGTGAGGCCACGTGTAAAAGTTGCATTGCAGCTTGGGTTTGAAGAGTCCCTTGATTTTGTCAAGTAATTTAAAAAAGGAATAGCTTGAACATAATTTTATAGGATTCATTCATTCCTCTTAATACAGTTAATACAGTTATTTTTCCAGGTGATAAATCTAAAATATTAACAGGTATAAAATAAAAATAAAAGTATATATCCCTACAGTTAATAGTAACAGACAAAGAAAACAATAAACAAAGCAATGTAGTCATTCCATATGTTGCAGGAATATCGGAAAAGCTCAGGAGGATCTTCAGCCAACACAACATACGTGCACGCTTCAAACCTAAGAACACATTAAGGCAGAAGCTTGTCCACCCCAAGGATAAAACACCCAGACACAAACTGAGCAATGTGGTATATGCAGTGCAGTGAGCCATGTGTAGATGTGTACATTAGGGAAATGAAACAACAACTTCATAAATGTATGGCACAATATAGGAGAACAAACCCATCAGGACAAGAGTCAGCAGTCCATCTGCATTTAAAAGACAAAGGCCACTCTTTCGAAGACAGCAAAGTCCACATTTTGGACAGAGGGGACCGCTGGTTTGAAAGAGGAATCAAAGATCCCATCTATGTCAAAATTGAACAGCCCTCTCTGAACAGAGGAGAAAGGATCCGACATCATCTATCTTCAGTGTACAACACAGTCCTTTCAACAGTTCCAAGAAGGCTCCACACCCATTTACACTACTCAGATGATCCTGAAGATACAGATAAGCCTCCAGGTAGCTTTAACAACTTGCTAAAAGAATGCAAATGAACAGCCTATCTGCAAGGAATATAAATCCTTTCATTTCCCACCACCCACTCAGAGCTGAAGAAGCTTCTTGGATGAGAAGTGAAATGTCTTCAAAGAAAAACAAGAAAGTCCAGTTGCCTCATGGAAAAGCATCTTTGGGTTATTTTAAAATAAAGGTAAATATATCTTGCTTTCATGCAGCAACCTGAAATTTAGCTACTGCACACATGATCTCAAAGGAGAAGATCATGTAAAATGTATCTGGTCTCCATGTCACTAATAACAATGAGCCAGCTGGAGAATTGTCAACTTCATAATTAAGTAACTTTGATTTTGCTTTTGTCCTTGCTGGAACAACCCCTTCTTTTCTAAAGCTGGTGATAACAGAATATGTTACAAATAGTTCTTGATTTTTGAGTGGTTGTTTAATGATTGTTCAAAGTTACCACAGCTCATGGGCCATAAAGCACTTCTGGGCATCATAAAATGTAATACTACCACCAGTAGTCATATGATTGCATTTACAACTGGCTGACAAGCACCCCATGATCACATGATTTCCATTTGCGGTCAAGCAATAGGCCATAATCCAGCCAGTGTCTTAAACTTCAGAAGAGCTGATTTTAACAAACTCAGAGAGAATCTAAGAAAAATTCCATGGATGAAAATCCTAAAGGGTAAAATAATTCAAGAAGCGTGAGAAACTCTGAAAAATATGATCATAAAAGCCCAGTCCAGCATAATATCACTGAAAAAGAAAATAAGAAATCCAAGAAGAAACCAGCATGGTTGCACAAAGATCTCTCTGATAAACTGAAAGACAAAAAGAGCAAATATAAAAATTGGAAAGGGACATATAATTAAGGCAGGGTATCAGCAAATAGCCCAAATCTGCAAGGATAAAGTCACGAAAGTAAAGTCTCAGAATGAACAAAGACTTGCAACAAAAGTTAAAGATAATAAAAAAAAGGTTCAACATATAAATAACAAGAAAAAAGTCAAGGAAATAGTCGGTCCTCTTAAGAGAGAAGGTGGCAAGGAAGTAATAGGCAGTAGAAAGGAGAGCTGTTTAATTCATTCTTTGCATCAATCTTCACGCAAAAGGAAACTGTAGCTCATCCTATCAAAAACATAACTGTAAAAGACAGACTAGGAATAAAAATTACAATAAGCAAGATAAGAGAACATCTGTCTAGCCTTGATGAATATAAATCATTGGGCCCTGATAGATTACATCTCAGAGTTCTGAAGGAACTGACAGATATTATCTCAGAACAATTGTACCATATCTTTCAAAAATCTTGAAACAGCTGATGTGGTTCCCATCATCAAAAAAGGGGAAAAAAACAGACCCAGAAAACTGCAAACCAATCAGTCTAACATCAATACCTGGGAAGATAGTGGAAAAGATAATCAAAAAACAGATCTGCGAACATCTAGAAAAAAAATAAAGATATAACTAAAAGCCAGCATGGATTTGTTAAAAATAAATCATGCCAAACCAATCGTATTTCATTCTTTGACAAAGTAAGTAAATTAATAGACCAGCAAAATGCTACGGATATAGTATACTTACAGCAAGCCATTTGACAAAGTAGGCCACAACCTACTTGGTAACCTAGAAAAATGTGGCATAGAAAGCATCACCACCGGATGGATTTCTAACTGGCTGACAAACCATACTCAACGAGTTGTCTTTAATGGTGCTACATTTACATGGAGGGAAGTAAACAGTGGGATACCACACGGTTCTGTCTTAGGCTCAGTACTCTTCAATATATTCATAAATGACTTAGAAGAGGGAATAGAAGGGGAACTCATCAAATTTGCAGATGACACTAAACTGGCAGGAATAGCTAACACCCCAGAAGACAAGCTCAGGATCCAAAAATATCTTGACAGACTTGAACAATGGGCCCTATCCAACAATATAAAATTTAATGTGGAGAAAAGCAAGTTTTACATGTAGGCAAGAAAAACCAAAAGTACAAGTACAAATTAGGTGAAACCTGGTTTAAAAATAATAACTGTGACAGGGATCTTGGAGTCCTAGTGGATGAGTATTTAAATATGAGCTAGCAGTGTGTGACAACAGCCAAAGAAGCTAATACAATCCTTGGCTGTATAAACAAAGGCATAGAATCAAATCATGTGAAGTATTAGTACTGCTTTATAAAGCTTTAGTAAGATCACACCTGGAATACTGCATCCAATTTTGGTTGCCACATTACAAAAAATATGTTGAAACTTTGGGAAAAAGTGCAAAGAAGAGCCACTAAGATGATTAAAATCCTGGAGACAGAAAAACATTTGCAGGAATTGGGTATGGCCAGTCTAGAGAAAAGGACTAGGGGTGATATGATAGCAGTATTCCAGTATTTGAGAGTCTGTCATAAAGAAGAGAGGGTCAAGTTATTTTCTAAAGCACCAGAAGGCAAGACAAAAACAATGGATGGAAAGTAATCAAGGAGAGAAGGAATTTGGAATTAAGGAGAAACTTCCTAACAGTGAGAACAATTAACCAGTGGAACAGCTTGCCTCCAGATGTTGTAACTGCTTCATCACTGGAATTTTTTAAGAAGAAACTGTACAGTCACTTGTCTGAAATGGTATAGGGGGCTCCTTCTTGAACAGGGTTTTCGATTAGAAGACCTCCAAGGTCCTTTCCAGCTCTATTCTGATTCTGAAATCAGTCTTGTGAGCATTTTACTTAATTATCACATCACTCTGTGAACAAGATTTCAATCTCAATTATGGCCGTAAATTGAGGGCTACCTGTATATTATTGTTAGACATTATTAAATCTTGCCATGTTATTCTGTTCTCTGTATTTGATTTAATGTGTTGGATGTCATTGTGTATTGTCTCCAACTGCTGAATCTCACTCCCAATGTTTTCAGCTAAATCTGGGAACTGTGGGATTTTATCGGACACAATACAGTCCTGACATGCTGGAGGCTTTACTTCCAGCTATCCGTGATCTCTCCTTACTCCCTGTGGACAGACTAGGGCTGCAAAATGATCTCTTTTCCTTGGTAAGTGGATATCTTGTTCCTTTTGTTAATATTTTTCCCTCGGCTTTTTATCTTGTCTCCTTTTTCTTTCTCCTTCAAGAATCGTACTACATCTGGAGGCACAATATATTTTGAATTAATGAACTTCATATATCTGCAGTCCTAGTCTTAAACTTTTAACTGTAGTGCTGTTTTCTAATAAATTGCTTCTGATTTCGTGTCAGTAGCTTTAAGTATGAAATACACTGAAGCATGAATAAATGACATATATAAAGTACCAGATGGAAATCCAAACACCCCTGAGAAATATTCTGCAAGCTGAATATTTTTTTTTTATTTAAAGTACTATGAAAGGTTGATTCCTGCTATTTCTATTATTTTTCATTATTGGATTCTTGGAAGCAATCTTCTGGTATTTCATATAAGATGTATCTGGGATTTTGTAACTATCAGTTACTCTGCTAGCAACTTTTTATTTTTAAGAACAAGTATGGAATTCCCCACCAAGTACTAAACTGTGCCATTGCTAAGTGTGGAATTATATGATTTTGTCACTATTTTATATTCCAAACAACTCATGCTGTATTGTTTTCAGAGATGTTTTTAGAATCAGGGTATTAAATTGAATGACTTCCACAATTTTCCTTTTTGTTTCATACCACCTCAATAAACCAGAGTAGATTGATTTCAGGGTTGTTAATTTCAACTCAAAATTAATTTGTCTCCTTCTTTAGAGATGGTAGGTATTCTTCAAATATTAATGCTTTATAATGATAATGATAAAATATAATATAATGCTGAAATCATAGGGGCTTGTGAAGGATTTGGCGACACACATTCACTTAATGGAGAGTGCCATTAAGTTTGAACTTTCAATCACCAAAGTGATTTGAATTGCTTTCAAGTTCATGCGGTAACTATTATCAATTGCCGACATCCACAAATACACTACAGGTAATTCTTGACTTACGACCAGTTACTTAATGACTATTTGAAATTATGACAGATTTTTTTAAAAAGCTATTTAAACAACTATCCCTCCCCCTATGGTTTTGTGATCACATTACTATTGGAGGCAATTTTGTGATCACCAGAGTGTGATTTGTGATTTTTTTTTTTTTGCCAATTTTCAGCTAAAATACCATTGGATATGTTGGATTCTCTTTATGACCATGTGATTCTCTTAATCATCATGTGATTCACTTAACAAATGTGGAGACTTGCCTCTAAAAAATAGTGGTAAAATCGAGTCCAGCCATATGACTTATGACTGCAACACTTACAGCTGAAATTCCAGGGTCCATTATGGTCGTAAGTTGAAAACTACCTATAGCTGTAAATGTTTGGCAGCTAGAATTTTCAGTAACTGCCTGAGTTTTTGAAATCATAGAAATAGCAATATTCTTCTGTTGTTGTTTACTACTTTTGTATATGGCTTGGATTGATAGATTAGAAGTTTCTGGCTCTGTATTGACATCCTACCTCTTGTTAGACATACTCTAGTCTAAATGACTCTGTATAATTTATAACAAGGAGCCAAGTGTTCTTCTACAACCGTTATCCATATGAGAAAAATCTACATAGCTTTTTCTTTTGGTAAGATTGAATATTTCTTTTGGTTTGGAGTGTAACTTACTTGTTTTTCTTCTCTCAGGCCAGAGCTGGAATTATTAGCACTGTAGAGGTTCTAAAAATCATGGAAGCTTTTGTGAATGAGCCCAACTATACTGTCTGGAGCGACCTAAGCTGTAACCTGGGGATTCTCTCAACTCTCTTATCCCACACAGACTTCTACGAAGAAATTCAGGCATTCATCTGTGATATCTTTTCACCAATAGGAGAAAAACTGGGCTGGGACCCCAGGCCTGGTGAGGGTATGAAGAATTATGAATACTTTGATCCTTCATTATTTTAGTTTTATCTTGCCCCTTTTTGCTATCAGAGACTTAGATTTCTAAAATATTTAGGAATAGGGACCAACTTCGATAGTTTCCCCTGCAAATTGGTTTCTAAGGCTTGCTATGGATTTTTTTTGCAATTTCAGATGGTTGAACTGCTGAGGGTTTGGTTTCTGCTTGGAATAAGGTAGAAGACCCAGAGTCAGTACAATTAATCAGAAGTGAGATTGTATTAGTAATCATACCCTACAGTATACCAGTTATTTCTTTCACCTTCATTTCATCTATTCCAGGTATTACGTATGATGTACAGATAGATTGGATATATTAAAAATATTTAGAATATGGTCCATGTGGTTCTTCTAGATTTCTCAGAAGCATTGGTACCATTAATTAAGATGTATTGTTGGATCAATTATATAAATTGGGCTGAAGAAGCAGAATACTGTTGCCAGAATAATAGTATAAGAAGTGTGTTGCTTTTTCACTTCTATCTGAAGTAGCTTGATCTGTTCAGGGTATGCCAGTGAAGACAAAAAATCTGGCAACCTAGATCAGAAGATTCTTATAATGAGAAAAAGGCAGCAAGCTTTGTTCAAAGTTCAAACCAGCAGAAACAAAACCAGAAATTTAAAGGAGTAGCCTAAGAAATAATCAGGAGGGAAGATCTTCTTGTCACCGGTTCCAAAATTTCTTTCTCCAATTTGATGAGGATTCATTCAAGAGAATGATGATATTGCTGGAGATAGTCATCTGGGGCCATGAGTTATTAGCATGTGTACGATATCCAGCTATACTTCTGGGTTCCATTTATGCACTGTAGAGAATCTGTAGAGTTCTAAAACTGTCTGAATGTGAACAGATTGAAATTTAATTCAGAAAACACTGAGGTGCTGTCACTTACAAACTAATCCTCTGGCTGGGTATTCATAAGTAGTCTTTGATATGCTTTTGGTTCCTTGAAAAATGCAGCACTTTATAGTACTTGGATAAACTGAATTGTAGTTTAAGCTGGTATACAGCCTATGAGTTCATCTGGAGCAAGTGAATTTTGCTTTACATTTTCTAAATGATACTGTATATGCCGGTGTATAAGGCGACTTCCGCAAGCATTAAAATCGTCGTCAAAGACGGGGGTCGTCTTATACGCCGGGTCACCTAATACGCCGGCATATACGGTATATGGAATTGATTATTATAATACATTTTATACCAAGATTCCTTTAAAGATAATATAAAAACTTTAGTTGATTCAGAATGAAGTGATCTGAGTGATGGGATATGACAAACTAGATGGACCTAGCGATTTCTGTATGTTATTGAATGGTAGTTTACCATACACTTCCAAACTTAATCTAAGAGGAAACTTAATTTTTAAAATTCTATACTGTTTATGATTAAATTTGCCTTAAATCTTGATCCTATTTTTAAATCAGGAATAGAGAATAATTTTTGACTCACCTATTAAAAGAAACCTTTTTCGTAATAGTGAGGATGTGCAAAGGCTTGGTAAGGATTAGAACTAACTTGCAGAGGAACAGAGCACAACTGGGTCTACAGCTGGCTCCTTTGTGATCCTAATTAACCTTTGAATAAATCCATTACTGCCAAAAAAAAACCACCCAATGACGGAGCAGCAGAAATGATGTTTCTTTAGTGACTCTACTTTATTGCATTACTAAGAACCCTTCTTTAATCCTGGAAAAGAGTGCTGACTATTAACAACCAGCAAATTCTAGGCACACTAGATTAGCCAAAATCAAACAGGATTATGTCTGTGGAGATTCTCATTCATTCAGGTCATTATTGTCCCAAAGATGCTTTTTCAAAAAACTTTGTTTTTCCTTGAAAACTTTTCGCTTCTCATCCAGAACTGAAGAACTTCTTGGCACAAACAAGATTATACAGATTGAAGTCTATATATGATTTGCTACATAAAAATCACAATATAGCTTAGCATATCATGGGAACCTGATCAGTGTATCAGACAAGCATTTACAGTGAATGCTTGTCTGATATGTTGCAATTCAATTGATAGTGCCTCTCTCAAGCATGTTGCTTCTGTTATATAAGTCAGCATGCTTTTCTTTGACAATTCAGTCCAGATAATTTTTTTATGGAAATTGTTGATGTGGAGTTCATTTTCTTTCATTAATGCTATTAATAGTCACAGACATATCAATGTCATGGAAAATATTTAAGTTTTTTGCAGATCTAAGACATAAACTTTTGAAACTGGCATTCATGATAGTTGCTGAAAGAAATTGTTGAGAGTATAGGAAATGAAGGACTGAATATTTTACAGAACACTTCCTAGATTTCATGCTCAAGGTATTGGGAGTCCTTTTAAGTTCGGATTCTGTGATCTTGTTCAAATTCATACTATGTATGTACAATAAAGCTTTTTAAAATACAACTTTCTTATTTTTTATTATTTTCCATCAGGTCATCTAGATGCACTTCTGAGAGGTTTAGTTTTGGGCAAGCTTGGAAAAGCTGGACACAAGGCAACTTTGGAAGAAGCTCGGCGACGGTTTAAAGATCATGTGGAAGGGAAGCACATCCTGTCTGCTGATCTAAGGAGTTCTGTAAGTTGCTTTCAAACATTTGTTTTGCAGTAGTTATCTGAGTTTTTCACATAATCTTCTTGATTCAAATTCTGCCTTTCATACAAGGCTGATTAACATGTAATTACTCTGCTTTGGGTTCTTTCCTGGGGATGGAACAATAATGTCTTTTTAAGCAATTTTCCATCATCTCTCCCCAGTCTACAGTCAGAAATTTCCTTTCCATAGATACAACCATAGCCTGTATAGGACAAATGCTAGTAGAATAGTTGCATTTTTTTTTTAATTCCTCAGACTAGCTTTGAGTAGAGACAGGTTAAACTTTGGAGGTTGAAATATAAAAGGGAAGGATGTCCTAAGCTGACTGATAGGAATACAATCACAGAAAGTAGGTTACTTTACTTTAAAATTATTTTTCTTTCCAGGTATATGTAACTGTTTTAAAACATGGTGACAGTATAACCTTAGATACCATGCTAAAGGTACGTATGCTTTGTATTTCTGAGCATGTAAAAATCATGGGGTCACAATGGAGCGGACACGACTTCACAATTAACAACAACAACAAAAATCTATGGAGAATATACTGTGTCAATATGCAAGATGCCCATAGATGCCTTGCAGTTTTAATTACTGTAAACATTTAATTGGCTCTTTCCCATGTGAATAACAGTAGATAGCTTTAGAAATACTCAATTTTAAATATTATTACAGTGGAAGAGATTTAAAATTATGCTTGGATCCCTCTCATTGCAATGGAATAGATTTAAAATATTAGTTAATATTTTTAAGCTTTTCTCCTTTTTCTCTTTCTTTTATATTTAGCCTTGTTATTTCTTCCGGAGAATGAGGGAGAGATCAGTTTTATACATTAAATAAGGTTTGGTTAATGACAGACCTCCCTCAAAATTACAGGGTATAATTAATACATATACATTGTCAAAAAAAAATTTTTTTTTTTTACAAATTGGCCATTGCAACAAAGGGATCTGTAGCCTTTCAGATGTTGCTGGACTTTCAGCTTTGTTTGGCCTAGTGAGAATTTTAGCTCAATAGTATCTGAAAGATGGCATGATCTCCATCTTTCATCTAGTTTTTCTGTCAGTAATTTGAATTTGATATCTTTTGAAACAATATTGCCATTGGAAATTATATGTGAGTTAACTTAAGTTAAGAAATTCCTTTTGACTCTTGTGGCTGTTGACTTGGCATTTTCATTTTCAAAATATTTTCTTTTAAATATGTCTCCCACTCTCCAATGTGTACTTCATCTTCCTCCCAAAGTATTACTTGCTGTTTGTGATTTCCATTGTCATAGGCGATGAATTCACTTGCAAGAACTTAATTGCTTTCCTCATTCTGAGGAAGAAGGACTGAGACTCTGTTTGAAAGTTGCATATGAGGAGCCCTTTTGCAGATCTTAGTGTCAACGTTCTGACTAATGAAACCAGATAAAGCTGAACTCCGAGGCTTAAGGTTTCCTCAAAGCACTTGTTTACCAGATACATAATATCAACACAGTCAAAAGTGAAACCAATTCTGAAGTTTCCCTAGAGCAGTGGTGGCGAACCTATGGCATGGGTGCCAGAAGTGGAACTCAGAGCTCTCTCTGTGGGCAAGCCTGCTGTCGCACCAGTCCTAGGCCTTCAGCTGGCTTTTATAAAACCTTTTCACTTTAGGCCTCCGCCACCATGTACAAAAAAAAAAAAAAGGTTCAACCAATCAGTCAATTTCAATTTCTCGCGGGAAAAAAAAAGATCTTGCAAAGTTGGAAATGATTGATTGAACTTTTTAGTCCCACCCAGTCTGCTGTTACCACTGCAGCCATGCCCAACCAATGGGCCACACCCACCCAATGGGCTATACCCCCCCGACGATGCATAAGTGGGTTTTGGGTTGCAGTTTGGACACTCGGTCTCTAAAAGGTTCGCCATCACTGCCCTAGAGATTCAAAATAACTAAAAGTAACACTCCCCTCTCCTCTTCGATGCAATGACTCACGCTACCCAATGAAAACAATTAGCAGTCTTCTCAATTCGTCTTCACTCCTCCTTTCTGCACCTGTGGGAATGACTTGGTTCCCATGGGATTGCTCAATGTTTTGACTAGCAATACAAAGCCATACTATTTCCCCCCCTTCTTCCCCCATCTGTGTGGCAACTCAAAACAAAAAAGATGGCTTCAGCCAGGTTCGTTTCAGAAGTTGACAGTCAGACCCCCAAAAGGGAAAGGACTTCCAGCAAAACAGTAAGCATAAATACATATTAATATGATACTAATCTTCTGTTGGTTCCCTAGGCTTTTGGATATGTTTGTTATGAAATTTATTTATTAATCTTTCTGCCATTATGTCTCTACTCTTTACCTAGGTAGCTTCTGACAAAGGGTAGACCTTCCATTGAATTAGATACTGTAGTTTTCCCTTGTACAACCTAGAGTCAAGAATCCGTTTTATTTCATAATGGGTATCACCCTTCACTATGATGGGCCCTGGGCCGGTTCGGGGTATTGGCCTCAAGGTTGTTTCTGTAACTAGTTTCAACAAATTGCAATGGAAAACTGGATGTATTTTCTCCAATAGTCATGGGAACTTTAACTCAACTGGACAGGGTTAATAATCTTTACAATGGCAAAAGGACCAATGAATTTGGGTCCCACCTTCTTGCAAGGTAGTTTTAATCTTAAGTATTTGGTCGAGAGTTAGACCTTCTCTTCTATATGAAAAGACCTCTGGGGAGATCACCTATTACCTGCTTGCTCCTTATAAATTTTTGTGGTTTTTTCCAAACTTGTTTAATGTTCGCCCAAACGCTGTGCAGTGTATTTACCCATTTGGTTAGTGTCTATAAGGAGGGGGCTCCTGAAGGTCCTCTGGCATGGGCACTGCCTGTTGCTACTTTAAAGAAGGTAAGACCGGTACTCCTGTGCACAGTATTGTTGTATGCCACTTCAGCAAAAGGCAGGAGGTTTGCCCAGTTAGTTTGCTGATAGTTAATATAGCATCTCAACTATTGCTCCACCATTGTGTTCGCTCGTCCAGTGGCTCCATTCGTACTCAGATGAAAAGCCAAGCTGAATCCCTGGGTGGACCCAATCAGTTTTACAAACTCCTGCCAAAACTTTGAGGTGAACTGGACCCCCCGATCTGGTACGATTCTTCTCAGAGCTCCATAAAGCTGGTAGATACGCTTCAGGAACAGTTTCTCTACTTTCTGAGCAGAGGGGAGACCAGGACAGGCTATAAAGTGAACCTGCCTTGAAAAGAGGTCAATGACAGTCCAAATCATGGTGGTCCCGCTGTTTTCAGGGAGTTCGACAATAAAATCCATTGCAATTTCTTCCCAGGGCTGGGATGGTTCCGCTACTTGTTATAATAGTCCATGGGGTCTTACAGATCTTCATAGCAGCACAAATTGCACAGCTTTTAAAATAGTTTTCAATGTCTTTTTTCATTCCAGGCCACTAGAACTGCTGTCTTACTAAATGCAAAGGTTTTAAGAATCCAAAGAGACCAGCTTGCTTAGCATCATGGCTCCATTGCAGGGCCTGGACCTTGAGGGTGCTGGGAAGGTACAATTTGGAACCTTTCCATGCTAATTCATTCCTATGGGTTTACAGCTGTTTGTTGTCTCTAAACCAGGGGTCGGATTTCAATTCGGTTCTGAGTTTCTGGATCAATTCGCTATCAGAACTGATTGATTGCTTTTGGGTTTGATGCCTGGTGGTTACTTGAGAGGCTTTTTGAAGGGAGAAGATGATAGCATTTATCACCTTCTCTCGATGGCTCTTGTACTGTGGCATCCTAGATAAGGCATCAGCTAGGAGTTTCTTTCCTCCAGGAATGTATTTGAGAGAAAAGTTAAAATGATTGAAATGTTGCGCCCATCGAACTTGTTTAGGAGATAATTTGGATGGGGTTTTGAGCACTTTGAGGTTCTTATGGTCAGTCCATACTTCAAAGGGTATTTTACTACCTTCTAGGAAGTGGCACCAGGTTATCAATGCCCATCACATAGCAAATGCCTCCTCTCATACAGCCCAATGCCGTTCTGTGTCAGTGAGTTTTCTTGAGGTATATGCACAAGGTTGCAGCTTCCCCTTGTCATTTTTCTGAAGAACTGCACCCACAGCAACTTCACTTTCATCTGCTTGAATGATGAACTGTTCTTCGGGATCGGGATGTTTCAGGATTGGCTCTGCTGTGAACAATCTTTTGAATTGTTCAAATGTTGCTTGGCACTCCATAGTCCACTTTAAAGGTTGGGTTGGGTGTTTTTAAGAGTTCGGTAATCAGTAAGGTTATTTTTGCGAAGGAGGGGATGAACTATGGGTAGAAGTTAGCGAATCCAAAAAAAAAAACTTTGTAGTTGCTTATGGGTTCAAGGGGGTTGCCATTCCAGAACGTCTTTGACCTTCTCTGGGTCCATCTCCATTCCTTCACTCGATATTCAATACCCCAGGTAGTTGAGGTGAGTTTGATGGAACTCATATTTTGACAGTTTGTCATAAAGGTTTGATTTTAAGCACCTCACAGACTAGTTTGACATGCTCCTCCATTGTCTCTGTAAAGATGAGGATATTGTCAAGATAAACTGAAAACCCCTTTTACAGGTGATTATGTAGCACTTCATTTATCAACTGCATGAATACTGCATGAGCCCTCTGGAGACCAAAAGGCATCATTCTGAATTGGAAGCTTCCCAGCGGGCAATTAAAGGCGATCTTCTATTCATTCCCTTCCTTAATCCTTACTCAGTAGTAAGCCTCCTGCAAGTCCAGTTTAGTAAAAATCTTTCCCTTTGCCAAATGGGCCAACATGTCTCCTTATCAGGGGAAGGGGGTACATATTCTCCACGCTAACAGCACTGAAGCCTTTAAAATCCATGCACAGTCTCAGAGTCCCACCTTTTTTCTCTTTGAACAACACAAGGGCAACCCCGTGTGATTTTGCTGGCTAGATGAAATCCCTAGCCAGGTTCTTAACAAAGTATTCTCGTAGTTCAGTCATTCTCTGGGGATCATGGAATACATCTTTGGCTTGGGGAGTTTCACCCCTGGCAAGATTTCTATTGCATAGTCAGTAGCTTGGTGAGGGGAAAGCACATCACATTCTTTCTCACTAAACACATCAGCTAGGTCCCGGTATTCACTAGGGATAAGTTGCACCCTGGTAATCGCTCAATGACGATTTTCAAAGTCTCAAGTCAGTTTCTGCCTGGCCCCAGTGGGGTGACTTCTCTCTCTTAGCTGTCATAAAGAGGAGGTAGGGGCACAATTCCTAACCTTATAGTTCTCACTCCATTTTCCCACCATATGGTATGTCACCACTAATCGAGCTAAGCCAACCCCAGGATTACAGCCTCAGTCATTTTGGATATCACTACAAACCAGATAATTCTCCAATGCTGTCCTATCTCCAGCCATATTGGTTCAGTTAGGTTTGTCGTAATTAACAACCCATTGACCAGCTCAAACCTCATGGCTAGGGACAGTTTCTTGGCTTGGATTCCTAGCTTAAGCACAGGAGGTTAATCAGGCATCGAGTGCAGCCTGAATCTATTAGGACTTCTAATTCTGTTTGGGCCTCTGTTTTAGGGACTATGAATTTAGCAGGGAGGGCAAAAGGAGGGATGGTTTGACTCATCATTGGATCGTTCTCACCTTTGTCAATCACTGTCATACAGGCGTTGGCGTTCAACTGGAGTTCTCTCTCTCTCACCCTCTCAGACCTCAACAGGTTGGCTTTGATGTTCCCAGTTGTCCTCTCACAGCCCCGTTGCTGTGGCTTTTTTGATTTTGAGATTGTAGCTGGGGTGGTCCTTCCCTGGGAGCTGGCGCTAGGCATTTGGCTGCCCGGTGTCCCTATTGGTTGCACCTGAAGCACTTAATAGGAGCTCCAGTAGGAGCCTGGGAGGTACTAGCATCGGAAGCCGTGGTTGGTTGCTGTCCAAACTGGCATCTTTCTTGGCTTTGCCTGGGCTTTGATTCAGGGGCGCTGGGCTTCTTGTAGCACTTCAGTTCGATGTCTAAGGTCATTGTCATCCAGTATCACTTCCAGATCTGCTCAGGAATCCCCTGGTAGGTGCAGGCCTGATATAGGTCATAATCCAAACCGTCCTTAAAACAGTGGATAAGTAATCACTCCAGCCATTGCCTTATTTTGCCTGCAACTTTTTGGAATTTTCGCATAAACTCCTTAGCCAGGCGGCCCCTTTGCTTCAGGTTGCGTATTTTCACCTCGGCTTGCCGGGTTTGGGAGTCGTCCTCAGACCTGGCTCTCAGCTTTTCTAGGAAAAGGTTTATGTTCCCCAGCTCCAGTGCATTTTCATTGTGGAGTTTGGTCATCCACTTCGCAACTTCCCCTTCTACGCTTCCTGCCACCGCGTATACCATCACTCTCTCGTCAGGGTAGTCAAGAGCATAGTGATTGAGGTGGGCCCACACTTGGTTCATAAAGAACACCAGCCTATCCAGATCCCAGTCAAAAGTAACTCTGATTGGTGGTGGATCCACAGGGGGTGGAGGTGCCCAGTGTGGTAGGTGCCAGGCAAGCCCCTAGTACTGAGGCTGCAGTTGAGGTTAACTCGGGCAGCTTGCTGAAGGCGTGGGGGGCTTTGCCTGGATCCTGGGCTTGATGCTGCAGCCGGTTTGGGGAGTAGGGAGGCAGCACGAGCTATAGAAACAAGACTCGGGCTCCAGCAGGTAGGAAGTGACTACATTGCCCTGGCCTTGGCTTCAGCTGAGATTACATAGCGTGTGATCGGGGTTACTTCCCTGACATCCAGCCGGTCGAATTTCTCTCTCATCCTTTCGACTGAGTGACCATGTAGCATCATCAGATACTTCCATTCCCAGCCAGCCAGTCTCTTCACCCTGCACTTGGGCTTAAGGGGTAGAGAGTCATGGGTAGTGATCAAGGGAAACTCAGTCTTGATAGCCTTGAGAACTTCTTTAGTGCAGTAAAGGTCTACGACAGCTAGAGCTTCCTCCCATATCACTGGCCTATCAGATTTGTCCATTCAGATTTTCAGCCATGCTCTGGTTAGCAGGCTCCATCCATAGCCTGGGCGGCCATCCAGGTTACATCTGCAAATGTAGCTCTGGGGTTGGCTGCTGCTTCCTCCTTTTTTCTCCATTCTGGAATCTTCCCTGAGTCTTCAGCAGTCTCCCAAAAGAATTGGGTAGAGGGTCGGGGCTCAGAATCCCAGGATCACTCAACACTAGCCTCCTATTTTAGAGCAACTCTTTGGAGAGTTGGGTTAATGTCAACGTTCCGACTAATGAAACCACAAAAAGCAGAACTCTGAGGCTTAAAGTTTCCTCAAAGCACATGTTTATTGGATACATAATACCGACGCAGTCAAAAGTGAAACCAATTCTGAAGTTTCCCTAGAGCAGTGGTTCTCAACCTTTTTAATGCCGCGACCCCCAACCGGTCGTAAATCGAGGACTACTCAACTGGTCGTAAGTTGAGAACTACTCAACTGGTGCAGCACCGTTTGCAGAATGGGACTTTTGGCGGGCTCAGCAGGGCAGAGACAGCCTGGACAATTCCTATTGGCTTTTGAAAGCCAATAGAATTAGACTCTATTCAAGAGAGTCTATTCTATTGGCTTTCAAAAGCCAATAGAATAAAAGGGAGTAGCACAGCTAAGGAAAAGGGGGAAAAAATGGCAGACTGTGTTGTTTGGTGACCCCCGTGAAATGGTCGTTCGACCCCAAATGGGGTCCCGACCCACAGGTTGAGAACCACTGCCCTAGAGATTCAAAGTAACTAAAAGTAACACTCCCCTCCCCTGTATGATGCAATAAATCATGCTACCGAATAAAAGCAATTAGCAGGCTTCTCAATTCGTCTTTGCTCCTCCTTCCTGCACCTGCGGGAATGGTCTTGACTCCCATGGAACTGCTTAATGTTTTGACTAGCGATACAAATAGCCATAGTACTTTCTCCTTCTCCCCCCATCTATGTGGCAACTCAAAACGAAAAAGATGGCTTCAGCCAGGTTCGTTCCAGAAGTTGACACTTAGGCTGCAAATTGCCCCCTTTATATCACAACTAACAATTTTCATCTATCATATTCCTTTGTCTGCAATGTTTGTTCCCCATTATTTTTCTAAAACTCATTTCCTTTCTAGTTAGCAAGCTAGTTGGTTTCCACATCTATTCATGGGACAAAGATTTGTCCCTACCGTAGAGTAACTTTTCTTGACCTCTGGTTGTACTTAGTTCTGCAAAAGAGTGTCAGCCTAAATGGCATATTTAAATAGCACAGTTCAAAACAAATACCATTACTGAAATAAATAGAGATGATTTGGAAATTACTCCCATAGCCATTATATAAAGATAATATGCCATCTATTGGCTCTTCTGTAAAATGAATCTTGCAACTGCAGTACTGGGAAATATAGCAAAATTTTGATGACCCCCCCCCAACTAAGTGGCAAATATTCTTGTGTCTTACTCATTGGCCATGTATTGAGAAGCTGAGAGATTTCTAATTTGGCTTCTCTGGTCCTAGTTTAAAGTAGAATATGAAAGGGAGGAAGAAGTCTAATATCATATACTATTTGTTATTGTTCTTTTGTTTTTTGCAGCTCCACAAGCAAGCTGATATGCAGGAAGAGAAGAACAGAATAGAACGTGTACTTGGTGCAATATCGCAACCAGAGTTAATACAGAAAGTTCTTACTTTTGCACTTTCAGTGAGTAAAATGCCATATGCTAAGTTTATATCCTGTGCACTAAAAGCAACAGAAGAATGGAATTGGGAATTTAGTACCATTTTCAGCATCCTGAGGATACTGCTTTCCTTCTTCTTATTTCTGTTAAATATATATTCCTTAGAGCTAACATATAGCAGAGCTCGATATCCAAGAAAAAGAGATATCTCAAACGGCTATTGGTGTTGCAGTTCCCTTTTTCAGTTCTTTGGTCCTTCCAGCAACCTAGCAGGACCAAAATAAACTATGCAGAGAAAGCTTGATATATCAGGTAGATGAGTCAAAATAACAGAATCGAGCTGTAAAAATAAAATAATTGTCCTGTTTCTTTTACATTTCACATTAATTACATTTTTTAAAATCTTCATCTAAAGTTGCCCCAAAAGCAGGGTTGGTCAGCTAAGGATCTGATACCATTCTCCTCTTAAGCAGAATCAGGGAGCAATGGCTTCCATGGGCATTGGAACAGAGGAAAGAGGCCAGCATCGAAACTTGTAGGGTGTGGCTGAATCTGGAGTAAGCACAGGCAGCATCAGCTGCATCAATTCTTTGGCAGCCTCTTTTCTTTTTGAAAGGCCAATTTCAGCAGCCTTCTGCTAGTCAAACCAGGACTAGGTAGCAGCAGCAGCCCTTCAATAGTCAGGATTGTCATAGTTGCCAGGAAAAGTGGTTCAACAGTATTCAAGCTGTTGAGCCTAAAGTGAGTACATAAATTGGATCTTTCTGTTCTCCATAGTTAGAATAGGAGAGGAAAACCAAGACCTATCAAATTTGGTGATATGCCAGGTGACTGTAGGATGACACCTGATAGAAAACCAGAGATGTAAAAGATAAACTTAATAAGTCCCAGCATATTAGTTTAATGCTATGGAAAGAGACAGGTTTGTCCTCTATACTTATACAAACATGTGAATTCCAGGTGTTTTATACCTGACCTCCCAAAGTGAGGCAGCTTCAAAATTCAGTGATGTGCCATACTAAATCAACTTGTTGAGAACCAAAACTGTTCCAGAGCAAGAAAGAAGAGAGGAAAACCAGTTATGTTATCTCATGAGTTCATACAAATCATATCTTTCTTCAGTGTCAGCTTATTTTTGAACCTCTTCATAATCATATGAAAGGTTGCCTGTAGACAACATAGATGCTACATGAAAGAGAAGGAAGGAAGGAAGGGAAGAGAAGGAAGGAAGGAAGGAAGGAAGGAAGGGAAAGAAAGAAAAAAAAGGAAGAAAGAAAAAGAAAGAAAGAAAGAAAAAGAGAAGAGTATATGTGAGAATAAGAAAAATAAAGATGCAGAAAGAAGGGATCCTGGATAGGCAGCATCAGAAAAAAGAGAAGGTCAAAAAAGCATCCTGTGCTTGGAATCCTCAATTTCCTCAATCCTGTCAGGAAACAAAGGAGACAGATCATAAGACTGCCAAGCAAGGTAGCCTAGTCTTTGCATTGGGGTCTGATGCCAGCAAATCTGGCATTCCTTGAACTGATCAAGAATTAGGTGATTACAAACATCAGGCTGATGGAATGAGGAGCACATTTCCAAAACAGTTCAGTGCAGGAATTGTGCAGATTTTACTTAGTGAGTGTTTAGGGTGGAAACAGATCAAGGGTCTTCAGAAAGAGGTCATGTAAGTAATGACTTGGCCAGGAAAACATACACTCAATATCAGCAGAATACATAAAAGAATAACTGAATTACTTTGTGAGATTTCAAAAAGATAGTAAACCTCGTCAGACAATGGACCACAGACAACTGAGATACTTCTTTTGTCGACATTTCAAATCAACAGAGCGGAGGGGGTTGATGTTCTGATAGTACCATAGCTAGATAATTGCTCTATACTTTCCATCAACTCTAGTACTATCCAGAGTGGTGTGCAAGTGAAGATTCTCAAGGCTCTATTCTGACCTGGAAGAACATGGCTCTTTACTCTATTGGAAATGAGCAAAGAAGTCATGCGACATTTGAAAAAACTAGACATTTTGCCTCAAGGCCTAATTCTACACCTAGATTCCTGCTGGTTACATCTTTGCTCTTAGAAATTAAATGGGAACATTTCTTGAATTTCAGGCTTTCATCATGACAGTAGAAACCATGTAGGTTTCTAGATGCCTAGCCACCACCACTGTCTATCAACTGATTTGAAGAGTGGTATAAAAGACAGACATTCGTGGCACCATCAGATGTCCCTGAAATATTGGAATTTCTATAAGCAAATAGAGAACAGCAAAATTACTATACAGTGAAGCAACTACCTTGGGCTCTGACCCCTGACTAGGTGAGGGGCATGCCTTTCTGGCCACTCTCGTATGTCTGCCTTCTTCAGAGGCACATGTCTTTGTACTCCTGGTCATCCTCTATTTCTCTTTATGGAATTTGCCATTGATTTTTAGGGCTCTTGGAACAGATATTATTTCTGTAAGAGGAGAACTCTTTGCATTCCAACAAGACAAGATACTAATAAAGCCAAATAGGTATCTATTTTATGCCCAAGTTCTAAATTTTTCTGAGCACCAGAATTGATGGTCTCTCAATTTCTGCTAGACCATACCCATTCTGGAGAACAAACCTGGTACAAATTATATAAGTGCAGTATACTAAGAATATAATTCAAATCTTCTGGACTTTTCTGCTTGAAAGAGATAAAAATGAAACTCTGATTTTAGGTTTTGATGATTAAATAGATTGTTTTATAGAAATAGCTAGTACTTACTTTTATATATAAAAAGTTGATATTATAATTTTATCAGGTAACTTACTCCACCAAATGAAGTTGAAAGTCACTGTTTTCTGGGGTTTTCCCTTTTTCTCACTCTATTCCATCTTCCTTTTCCCTTTACCCCTTTTCTCATTGTTTTAATTTTCACTTGTATTTTATATGTTAGAGAGGAAAAGAGAGAGAGAGAGAGAGAGAAAAGATATTTCCTGGATGATTACTTATTTTATAGAATCAAGTCAGCTTGGTTTACTACATTTCTTATTTCATTTACAGGAAGAGGTACGTCCCCAAGACACAGTATCTGTCATTGGTGGAGTTGCAGGAGGCAGCAAGCAGGGCAGAAAGGCTGCCTGGAAGTTCGTCAGAGACAATTGGGAGGAACTATACAATCGCTACCAGGGGGGATTCTTAATATCCAGACTAATAAAGGTATGCACAAAAAGTCTTGGCTATGGCAATAAAGATATTTTTTTTTAATTCACACCAAATCTATTATGCTCTATGCTTCTTTTTCAGCTATCAGTGGATGGATTTGCAATTGACAAAATGGCTTCAGAAGTAAAGGTAAGACTATTTAATCAATATCTTTGCTGCTGCCCTTCTGATTTACATGCCAGTGATTGGAATGTTTCTTTTCTCGATTACACCATCTTCACTGAAAGGGGGGAGTGGAGTAATGGAATTCTAGCCCTTGACTCTCTAGCATTGTGTTCTCTGACTTAGCGCTTACAGCTTTAGATACTTAAACTACAATTTCTATTATCCCTGACCAGGCTATCCAGGATGTATGGGAGTTGCAATCTAAATATCAGATGGTTATCAGGTTATTTAATAGCTAGAACACTGGAATTGTCCTTAAAGTTTGGAGCCATAAACCAAACCATTGACTAATTATCACGGTCATTGTAGCCACATGTGTGAGAGCTTTCAGGAAAGTGAACATGTGAAAACGTAGTTTGGATTAAAATCAGAAAAAATCCTAGATGGAGAGAAAATTCAGCAGCTTGGTAAATTTCACCTTTGGGAAATCATTGAGAATCAAGCAGCATATAAGTTTATTATTAGTATTACACTCATTCTAATGAGCTTTATGTACTGCAGTGATATATAAGTTTTAAGGAATATTTTTTATGATAGCTTACATTGATTTTGCTAAATAATTGACTTTCTGGTAATAAATTTAAATATAAGTGATCTGTTCCCACTCCTGTTCTAAAATAATGAAGTTACAGAACTACAGCTACTAGCATTCCTGCACTGTGGGCAATGATAAAGGATGCCACAAGTTATTTAGCAATATTTAGAGAACAAACAGTATCCAAAGGACACTTTGCCTCAAAATGTAGCTGAATTATTCTTTCATATTCTGTATGAAGAAGTGGAAATGGAGGTTGTTTTTTTTTTAAAGTAGAATAATAAATAGCTTTCCTGGGATTATAAAGGAATAATTTAAATTCAACCTCATTTTACTTGAAACATGATGTAGACACTTACCTCATTTGGATAAAGATGTCATTACATAAATTACCTATGATAAATTTACCCATTCATTCAAATAACAATTGGAATGATAATTTGAATGAGTTGTGTCATGAATATGGTATAAAATGATGTGAGATAATACTCTTCATTTATACTTTCTTATATGTACATTTTTATTTCCAATGGTGAGCCCCCCAGAATCATTTGGAAATTGAGTAATCGATCAAAAAAATAAAATAAATGATTTCTGTGTTGACACCATCATACAAATGACTTAAATCTCCATAGTGCCTTATTTCTCAATCAGTGGACATTCCTCAGTAATGAATACCTTGTCTTTTCAATTAATCTGTTAAAATACAGTTTTGTGGAACTGAAAAGGAAGAATGCCATGTAATACAAAATATGCTGGTGATTCAGAAAAGAAATGCTTTGGAGAACTCTGTTACTCTGTTTTCCCTCTAGACTATGCTGTTCTGGGAATGATTCAGCACTTTCCAGAATAAGTTTCCCAAACCTGTTTGAGATGTTTGCTTCTGGTTCAGAAAATTCTTCTGAAAATCACCAAAATGCCCAGAATTGCATAGTCTAGAGCAGGGGTAGGCAACCTTGGCTCTTTTATGACTCATGGACTTCCAGAATTCCTGAGCCAACACAGGGAGTTGAAGTCCACGAGTCATAAAAGAGCCGAGGTTGCCTATCCCTAGTCTAGAGGAATTGAACATTCCAGAGTGGTCTAGAAATGTCTTGTGACATTTTTAAGAACACTTTGTTCCCAAATGCTACATCTTGCATATCTTTGCAATATATAGTTGTGTAAAAAAATAAACCCCGAAATTTTAGACCTTTTCAGTATATTTCAATTTACAGATATTTGATCGTTTCAACAATATTGATAGATATGGATAAAGGGGATATAATATAATAAATATAATTCACCATTTACATTTTGTAGTCCATTTAAAAAGGCTGTCAAATAATTTCAAATCAGTCATTACACTGGGATGATTTCGCACAACTGCCAGGTTACCCAAATCAGATCAAACTAGCAAGTTCTGCACGAGAGCAAAATGCAAGAAGCCCCCAAAGCTCTAAAAAACTCAGAATTTCATCACATGAGCCACAAGTAGCTGTCATTAGGATTAATGTTGAAGTGAGTCAACATGAGGTCATTAGAAAAAAACAGAACAAATTATATCTACATGAGAGATATACCAGGAGGAAACCTTTGTTGTCCAGAAAGATAATTAGGGCAGGACTAAAGTTTTCTGCTTAATAGTTAGGCAGATCACAATTTCCAAAACAATGTGATGTGGGCATATAAGGCAATGGTCCCATTGTCAGAAGATGTGTTTGGGGAAAATCATTCAGCATTTAATCTGAAGAACCTGATACCAATTGTTAATGCATGGTGGTCAAAATGGGATGCTTTGCTGCATCAGGGCTGGACAGCTCATCATCAAAAAATCCACTATGAATTGTTCATTGTACTAAAGGGGCTTGAGGTGAATGTGAGATTTTTTTTTTCAGAAGATTGAAGAGTAAGTGAAAATGGACCTTGCAATATGATGACTTTAAATATTCAAGTAAATCTCCCAAGAAATGGCTGAAAAATGAATGGATAAAAATCTACCCCATCAATGTCAGAGACTGATAGACAATTATAAAAAGGTTGAGGTTGTTCCTTCCAAAGGGGGCAATACCAGGTTTAAAGCCAAAAATATATTTAATTTTTCTTCAGAAGGAAATCGTATAGCTATTCATTTTTTGTGGAATAAATGATTGCAGAATTGGTTTTTCATAGTTCTTTTCTGCAGTTACATCACTTGTAATATGGTTTGAATGAAGATAAAACATGTATTAAAACACTTTGCATGAGGTACACTTGTTTTTCCACATGATTTACAAGTATATAATTGCAAAAAATATTCTTATCTTAATGAAATGTAGATTCTGTGCTGCTGTCTTTGACACCAAAATGTTACACATAACAGCCTCTTGTTTTGTAGTTAGAATCTACTCGTCTCAATTATTATATGTTGTGGAATTAAGTCCCTATATTCTGACTGATTCATCCATATGAAGATGTCATCAGAAGTGATAATCTCAGAAAATGTTATTTCATTTCATGTAGGCTTTTTTTGAGAGTCATCCAGCTCCATCAGCTGAGCGTACCATACAGCAGTGCTGTGAAAACATCCTGTTGAATGCTGCATGGCTGAAGCGTGATGCTGAAAATGTCCATCAGTACCTCCTGCAACGCAAAGTCTCACCAACTTCTGTGTGAGCCCACTCTCATCCACCTCGGACATCCCAGCTGCTGTGGCCCAACTGCCTCAGCGTGAGGAGAAAAAGCTGCTATTCAACAGTTGAATAATGCGCCAAGGAAATTGGAGTTTTTTTCTCACACCAATGGGGACTGGACATTGAATGTAGTTTAACAGTTCCTGCTCAACTCCAGAACTAAATTCTAATAAAAAAAATTTATCAAAATTTTAGCAACAAAGAAAAAAAATATACAACTATCCTGTAAATATTATAGTAATAAAATAGAGCATAACAAAACTGTGAAATGTCCTTAAGGCTTGTCAGTGGTCAAAATATTTAATACACTCTCCCCTTATACTTTCTGATGATTTTTTAACCATCCCTTTCCCTTTTTTTTCCTAAAAAACAAAAGAAGAAACCAGAGGTTTTGTGGCAATTTGAATGTTATAGCAAGTCAAGGGCAGGAGTGGGTTTCGCTTCTGAGTGCATCTGAAAACACACTGAAAGGCAGCAAAAGCACTTACAAGTTGTGTGGAATGGTCCAATTATGAAAGACAGCTTGGTATAAAATTTAAGTGTAGTCCTTAGCTGAAGGTTCTAGGAAACAACACATGATCTTGGTTCAAATTTTAAAAGCTTATAAGACTCCCTTGTTTCATATTTTGAGAAGGAGAAAATAAAATATTCCTTGTCTGTCTTTTCTCCTTTTTTGTTTCATTTGCTAATATTCTCAAAAATTGCAAACTTGTATAGAAACATGTTTCTCAGCCACATTAAAATGAAATTATTCCCCCCATCCCCTTCTGTCTTTCTTTATATTTTACTCCTGCATGCAGATAATATTTAGTATTGCAATTTGGATCTTTCTGGGCCATTGTAAGGTCCCACCTCACCGAATGCATAACCAGTAGTTTGAAAAAGGTGTTCTGTTTCAAAAACAAAACATTGCCCTAACAGCTTGTGATTGTAGCTTTCCATTCTACTGTACCTGGTAATGTTTGGTAATTTGATTCAGAAGCCTTAAACTTATACTAGTTGGCATGATGATAAATATCTAAGCTTTCTGCCATCAGTTGCTTAAGAAAATAGCATGTTACTGCTTACCAATTTCATATCAAACATCACTCCTTGCTCAAATGTTTACAGTTCCCTTTTTTAAAATACTTTTTTTTTAATTCATACCTGGCGTGGCTTTAATTGTTAATTGGAGAAGGTCATCAGACACTAGATGTCAAATTGCTTCTCTGGAAACACATTTTTGTGCTATTGTTTTAAATGAAAAACAAGAAAAATTTAAAACAAGTTGGCGTTAATAAAAAGGAAAGTCAATGTGAAATTAAAGAGTCTTGGTTTTGGTGTGTGTATATTGGCAAAATGAGATTTTTATTTTTTTGTACACAGCCTCTATACATGACCATGGCTGTGAAACAGTTGAAATGGATTGTGGTATATGAATTTCCCTCTTTATTTTTAATTGCAACTGCATTTTGGTGTGTTTTTCTTCAAATTTGGAAATGGACCTGGGCTTAGTTCAGGACAATGTACTCAGCATTAACACATTTGACTTGCTGGACCACTTCCTACATAGGCCCACTGCATTTGTACAGCTTACATCCATTGCAATAGAACTTGTTACTATAAAAATCCAAAATTGATTATTCCTTGCCCTTTTTTAATTACTGGGGGGGGAGATATTTGTTAATTTATTTTATGCAAATGATGTTCAGTACAGGGGAGCTTATATATGAGGGACATTTAGATTGGGTTCAGACATAAACTTTAGTTATATTTAGATCTTACTGAAATAAATGGTACCTAAATTAAACTGTGGCTATCATGTGCCATTGAATTTGGTGAGACTTAAAGTCAACTAAGCATGACAATAGCCCTTTAACCTTTTTTTCTTTTAAAAAAATATATAACTCTAATACAAAAATGTGGCTGAAAAACCATCTTAGATTTAAATTTAGACCAGCTATCTTTCAGGTCAGTGTTCTATATAGTTAATCTATTCTGGCTCCCAACTAAAGTAATTGCTGACTGTTTTGCAGTCGTTCTAGGGCAGGGGTAGGCAACCTTGGCTCTTTTATGACTCGTGGACTTCAACTCCCAGAATTCCTGAGCCAGCCATGCTGAGGAGAAAGGGAGAGGTTTCCATGCTGAGCCATGCTGGCTCAGGAATTCTGGGAGTTGAAGTCCACGAGGCATAAAAAAGCCAAGATTGCGTACCTCTGGCCTAGGCCTAGGCCGCTCTATGACTCGTGGACTTCAACTCCCAGAATTCCTGAGCCAGCATGGCTGAGCTTGGAAACCTCTCCCTTTCTCCTCAGCATGGCTGGCTCAGGAATTCTGGGAGTTGAAGTCCACGAGTCATAAAAGAGCCAAGGTTGCCTACCCCTGTTCTAGGGGAAATGAATCTCAGTTTCTGCTGCTGTTCAGTGGTGTATACAGCTATACTGTAACATTTTATGAAACAAGTAGTATTATGAAAGCCCTAACCTTTTAGGATAGAACATGTACACATTTTAGTTCGATAACAATTTCTACAGGTTGATGTTTTACTTTTGATGTATTGAAGATAATATTCTTAATATATGTTGTTCACCACACACATAATCAAGCAAAGCATGATTAGGAAAGTTTCTGTTTAGCTACTTAGTTTTTCCAAGGCTTAAGGAATTGAGAAGAAGGTTAAGTTTATGCTGAAGTATAGGGATTTCTTGAGATGTAATTTCTATGATCTCTCAGTGATAGGACATTGTTACTTTGAAATATGACAACAGCCTGGTATGAATATGACAGAAAACTCTAAATTCTTTCCTTTTCAGCTGTTGTTTTTCACATAGTTCTGAAACATGTACATTCTAATTTAACTACTTTCTTAATAATGCTCTAAACTGGTTGTACCATACTGAAGTATAACATGGCAAAAATAGGCCAGGTACTTTTTGTGGCTTGGATCCTAAGAAATAAAGAAGTGGAAGTAAAAGGTGAGTGTGTGTGTGTGTGTGTGTGTGTGTGTATTTTGAGGTTTTCGCGGGTGTTTGTATGTAGGTCTTTGGTTGTTCAGGTTTTCTCCTGCGTAAAATTGGAAGTGTCATGGCGACGTTTCGATGAAGTCCCATTCATCATCTTCAGGCTGGTGTTTTCAGCTTCATGCAAACACCAGCCTGAAGATGACGAATGGGACTTCGTCGAAACGTCGCCAAGACACTTCCAATTTTACGCGGGAGAAAACCCGAACCACCAAAGACCTACATACAAACACCCACGAAAACCTCAGATATATATATATATATATATATATATATATATATCATGTAAAATAAGTCAACAGGCCTAGAAAAATAAGGGTGGGGGAGGAAACTCCAACCCTGGGAAAATTAAAATGTGACAGAAATCTAGGCTATATTTGCTGATGTCTTTATTTAAGTTTCTTCTATTACCCTTAACCTCCCTTCAGAAAAATTCAGATTTTTTTAGTCACCAGATATTTGTCTGCCCTGGATAATTAGGTGAGCCTCACTCTTGTTGGGGGGTTGATAGGAGACTTAGCTGCAAACATTGTTCCCATGTGTTTATTGGTTAGTCTTAGTTCTAATAGATAAATGTTTAGATATATAAGCCCTAAAATGCTGTTATAGTACTTTCCCATTTTAATCTATGGTTTCCAGTACTTTACTGTTTTCATTATCTTCATAAATCATATGGAGATCTCTGCTTCTTCTCCTGGGTTTTTCTTCTTCCATGCTGATCTCTTCTAGAATGTCAAACGGAAGATTTTTGATAGTTTTTCTTTTGCAAACTATGCTAGACATATTTTTAAACTTGAGCTGTTAAGTTCAAGTTAAACTTATATATCACGTTATTTAGATACTGTATTTTTTTCAAAATATGTAAGTCAACCACCCTGCTCAATAAAGAACTATTTTAGAAAATAGCTAAAAGATGTGATGTGGACATAAAGCATAATGATTGCTTAGGCTTTGGATTTTTTGGGTTGCAATATTTTTAATTTAAGAAAGAATGCAGAATTCTGAAATATATCTTGTATACAGGTATTTTCTCTAATTTATCATTAAATTCCTATTTTACTTTGCACAGAGCATTCATCTTATATTATCTCCCCATAAATTTACTTTCTTCTTGTCCAGCCTCATACTAATAGTGCAGAGCTTTTATTGCCCAGAAATGAGTTCAATATTACATGCAGATACATATTCTTTATTTATGAAAGAAAAACATGGTTTCCAAGGGGTTGCTTTAGACTACCTTCTCCTATGTTCCCAAGAGGACAGTCTGGTTTCCTGGAGACAATTCCTGAGCATAAATTGTACCATTTGGCAGAAGGTAAAATAGTTGGAGCCCAAACTGTAATATTGATATTCTATGCACCACTCAAAAGTTTAATATCCAAGGAACTTTGCTGTACTAAATTTTCCTAATATCTATAACAGAAAAAAGCCAGGATATATCAGGACATGATTGTTTTACAGGGCAGCTTTTTGATTATCCTGCTCAAAATTGTACTTTAGATCTCTGAAAAGAATAGAGAAACTAGTAAATCCCAAATTACGGTTGGATAGAAAGAAATTCTTGAAATGCATTGTAAATCTATTAAAGTGTACTTCTAATAGTCTCCAGGTGCATTAGATTGCAGTAGTTTTCAAACCATGCAAGAAAACAATACTAATGCTCAACTATAAAAATTTCACCATCATCGCCACATAATAGATTTAGTTATGTAGCTTTTATTAGATAGCATTTACCTGATTTTTTCTTAACTGTTCTTGATAAATGAAAGAGCAGAATTGCCTCAGCAAAATTGGAAAGGATGGGAAAGATCTTGTGTATCATTCAGTACATCTTTATATTACCAAAAGTAACCATTTTGAACAAAAGGAGCAAATACACCAACCTTGATCTGGAAGTAATGAAAAACTCTGCAACCAGCTTATCTTTCAGTGGATATCAGCTTTGGCAGAATAGTGTTATAAATCTTTGCCTACTCTAAGTATGACAGGTGCTTTTTTTCCTACTAGTGTTTTCTCACAAATGCAGAGATTGTTTTTTTTCAGATCAACCAAGTGTTGATCCATTGGTTGTGACAGGAATTGACTGACTGGCTTGTTATCTGAGCCTGATGTGGGTTGAGAGAGCGACTTGTCAAAACCATCAGCTAGCTTTCAAATTTAAGATGGAACAAGAACTCAGTCTCTTGGTTTCTAGCTTTAAGCGCTAGTGTCTTAACCACTAGAGCAAACTGACTCTTCATTCCGAGTATGACAAGTGAATATTAAAAACCATCTATTTAAATCAAGTCCAGATGACATATATAGAAAATAAAAGCAAATACACTTGGGAATAGGTATTTGTATGGATGATAACATACATGACTTGAGAAACAAATATTTTAAGCATATGGGTAGTCCTCAAGATACGATTGTAATGGAGCCTGGCCATTGCAATCACATGTCACAACCACCATTAAGAAAAACCCTCCCTTAAACTCATCACCTTTTGTTTTCCCCGATGCAGCCATTAAACAAATGCAAGAGTCATTAAACAGCATGGGACACCTTGGGATGGGGAAGGCCTATGCAGGCCCAGAATCAGCTGCCCCAGACCTCCCAAAGCTACCCTCACCCCTTTCTTGCCTTTCAGGGTCCCCATAGTTCTTCCTTCATATCCAGTAAGCAAGGGGAGATCAGTCTGGTCAGAGTTTGCAGCCATTGGTGAGTAATGACAGATCAGGCTGGCATTTGCAAACTCCAGCAAGCAAGGGGAGATCAGGCTGGCTAGAGTTTGCAATCTAGCCTTGTGGTAAAGAAGGTGTTATTCTTATATAGGTGGCTCCCTTTTTATGGAAGCTCCATAAACTCCATAAACAAATGGAATCTCCTTAAAAAAATGGACCCTCATTTTTAAAAAAACCCTCTACAATATTGCAAAAATAGAACCTGTTGCAAAATAGCCTGAGTTAGTTACAAGGCTGACTCTGTAAGAACGCTGATTCTGTATCAAATGGATATCTCTTTCAAAACCTTCAAAATAGAAAAGTAAGTTGGGGGTTCCTGGAGCAGAATAAGTCCCCCCCAGTTCTTAGGTGGGGAGATAGCTGGAGGCTTGAAACACCAACCAGCTTGATCTCCCCTTGTTCACTGGAGTTTGAAAACTCTGGCCAGCCTGATCTCCCTTGCTTGCTGGGTAGGAAGAAAGCTGGAGGTAAGTTCCAGCTGATTGGCACCCACTACAGCCGGCCTGAACTCCCTTGAATGGATGAATGGCTGCAGGAGCCCACCAGGGTGGAAGGATGGGTGGGTGAGTGCTGCAATAAGGGGGAATGACTGCTGCAGCTGCTATAACTTTGAAACAGGTTGTAAGTAGCTTTTGGGAAGTCTGTTATAAGTTAAGGACTTCCTGTTTTCAGTATTTCAACTCAAAATATTTATATATACCCAGATAACTAAGAAATGTTGACCAATGCTGAATACATTTAACGATAAATGAAAGATTCTTCAAAATTTATAGCTGTTAATCAACTCAAGTAAGTAGACTTACATAACAATCTAAAATGGATCCTATGCTTTGCAATACAAACCTAATTCATAGAGGCAGGAATTAAATCAGTTTATATTACATGTAACTTAGAAATGGAAAAGGTCTATTATTTTTCCTGTCTACAAAATCATAACAAGATACTGCTTTCTTCCAATTCATATCCTCATACCTCACTAAAATAACTAAAATTATAAAATGAATATTTGCTGCTCAATGTGTGGACACTGAAGAAAGAAAAAGGGAAAGATGGTTCTCCCCTACCTCTTAAGGACTCTTAATAAGATTATCCCAGCTCTTATGGAAACTTTGACAGCTTATTATGCGCATTCGCACATTGCTTCTATGGAAGTGAGGTAGTCTCTTTGGACATCAAGTGTCAAGAAGATAATCCATCACGAAACACCTATTTTCCAGAAAACAAACTAAGGAAGTTCTTCTTTGCCATTCCATTTAATTTTTCCAGTATGCTTTCTACTATAAAACTCCAAATTTATCTGTATTTCCAAATAAACTAATGGACTATAATCACAATAATTTAAAAAAAATATAAGTATGCCTGTGTAAGACTCAAAATACTTTCTCCAAAATAATGTTGATAATTGGCAGTGCTTTGCTTTAAAAAATATTAAAAGATGGAAGAAAAAATAGGAATTAGAGGAATTAGAGTACTGTTGTATCTGGAGACCTTGGTGCTCCTGAGCTTGCCAACGACTCTACAGTTTATCCTGTAAGTGACGCACTGAGACATAAATTCTTAATACTTTGATTGTTCTCTTCCCTAGTATAAGGGTTGCTTGCTGGTTTAATTAACCCTGCACAACTTATTTAAATACAAAGTTTTTGAAACCGTGCGTTCTTTTCGACCTGTCAGCCCCATGACGTACGAGTCACAATAGCCAATCAGCGTGGGAAGGAGGGAAGGCGGGCGTTGGCCGGTTGAAAAGGAGCGGTGGAGGTCTTCATGCGCCTTGGCAGGAATTGGATTGCGTGAGCACGCTGTATACGCACGAACGTTACGTGCCTGAAGGCAGACTAAGGCCTGGCAGGCCTGTTCAGTTAATCCGCCAGAAAACAGGACAGTGAATTAGCGTCCCTAAGAGAGAGGTTGTGGGGAAGTGAGGGAGGCACGTTGTTTTGTTTTAAGTTTCTGCCTCCCCCCGTGTCTGAGTCGCACTCGCTGAATAGCTTCATTTTAGCTCGTTTAGCGCGCGCGCGCGCTTTCTCCTCCCCTCTTCCTTTTTCTCTTCTTCCGCCGCCAGAAGGAGTTGTGTGTGAGGAGGGGGAGGGGAAGTTGTAGGGGAGACTCCAGTCGCTTCCGCCGGGGGTGGGGCCGCCCCGTTGCTGAGGGAGAAGTAAAGAGCGCGCGAAGGGAGAGACCGACCGGCCGACTGAGCGGGCAGGCAGAGGGCGAGGCGGCGGCGACCATCGACTCCGATCCTGTCTTTCCTTTTCCCTTTCCCTTTCCCCTTCCTCCTCTCCTTCCTAGCTTCACCTCACCGCCGCCGCCGCCACCACTACCACCATGGAGCTCATTACGATCTTGGAGAAGACGGTTTCCCCAGGTAAAGAAGAAAAAAGACCTATAGGCTTTTTTTTAATGGATGTGCTGCAGAGGGAGGAACGGGTAGGGGTGAAAGCATCTCCCCTGTCCAAGATCTAGAGGAGATTGGGGGCGGGGAAGGGCATCTAGGCATAGCTATATGTGGCTCTGGGGAAGGCGTTAGCCGTTTGAAGAGAGGGAATGAATGATTAGGGGAGAAGGTGTGGGAAAGGGTAAAGGAAGCAGCAGCGATTCTCCCCTCGAGGATTCGGGGCCGTTGGGAGAGTCAGGCTCCGTCTGTGGCCTTGGGGATAAAGGAACCACTTAGGGCTTGGTTTGGGCCCCATGCTTGGAGGGAAGAAGAGAAGGGAGGGGCAACCGTGAATTTTATCATTTGTGGCATGGGGGAGATTGAGAATTCTTTAGTTAGGCTGGCACGGAAGTAGCCTTAGGCGTAAAACGCCCTTTTTAATATATATTGGTAGGATCAGATGATGAGGGTAATGATGCACGCGTATGGAAGAAGGTAGCTTTGGGCACAACTTAATGGATACGCTGAATGATATGGGAAGAAAGGGTCTCTCCTTGAGGGTAGGAGTCTGCTTTGCGTGGCATATGGGATAAGGGTGGGGTGGAGATTCCTTAGCGTATGAGTATGGGATAAGTCTTCTCGTCCGAGAGCTGCTTCTTAGATGTTCTGGGTAGCATGGGGAGACGGAAGCTGACGGGAGAATAGGCGATGACCTCACATCGGGTCTACCGTAAGGCCAGTGCCTTCATGACGTTAAAGGTAGGGTGGCAATGAAAGCAGCGTCCACGATGAGATTTGAGGCCTGATATTTACCTAGGTAGTAGTTTAGGTCCGCTGTAGGCCAAAATCAGTGGGCCAAGATTGGCTGTGATAATTGGGAGAGTTGTCACAATGGAGCTGGAGACGGACTGATATTTTAACAAATGCCTAATGCATCTCTTTAAAAAGTCATTCGTTGTGGATGAATTTTTATTTAGCATACGGCATCTACAGAAGTCACGCAGTCATTGATATACAACACTAATAAAACATATTATATATACAAACACAAATATTAGTTGTGGATGAGTGAGGTTATGGTTATAATGTACTTGCAACATTCTCCAAGAAGTATTTCTCGTTTTGAACCCTTCTTTGCGGTTCTGATTGATGAAAATGAAGTTTGAGTAAAAGCATGATGCGCCGCGGGGATCTCTATCTTTGGTGGGGGCTTCGGGAGATGTCGAAACTCTTTCATATTCAGAATGGAGTGAGTTTAAGCAGAAAGAAGAGCGACTGAATAGCTGGAAAAAGGCGAGATGATTCGGGGTGTTAACTGTTGGGCTGAAATACAGCTTTAGGGTCCCCACTGACACTCCTAGATGCATTTTTCTCCTCCTTCCACCCCTACCCCCCACCCTTTCTGCAGACTGCACCGAGCTTGAAGCGGCTCAGAAGTTCCTGGAACAGGCAGCCATCGAGAACCTGGTAAGGGAAAACGAAAGAGTTGAGTTTGGGTGGGGTTTGTGAAAGTGGAATCTTTTCCCTGTGTAAAAAGACACAGATCAGAGCAGGCCGAGCCGCCATAGAGGGGCGCAGCCTAACCGTAGGCTTTTTCTTTTCTCTCTCTCTCTCTCCTCTCTCTCTCCAGAGGGGGGAGGAGGAGGAGGCAAGCATGAAGCAGCCAATGGCAAAACTCTCGGGAGTCGCGCCATCCAATCGTGAAGGCGATATAGACCCGCGGGAGAGAAAAGGAAGGGGAAGGCAGCTTGGACCTACCGCGCTGCATGCATGGAGGGAAAGTGGGGGAGGTGGTTAGATTGGGCCTGCGGGACCGGCCATGTGGGGAAGCCGGCATGTATAGTCGGCTAAAGGGAGTCCTCAGAAGGTTGTCTCGACTACGCCTTTGAGCTTATAATCAGGCCTACTAGTTTCGGTTTTTTTCTGCTTTCTTACCTAGTCTAAAGATTGTCTTTTTCTGCCTGCCGACCGTCCCCCATTTTCTATACTTTTCCTGCTCTACCATTTTTGTCCATTTCCTCTTGTTTTTGTAGTGTTTTTCATAGATTTGAATATTTTTTAACTAGGCATTGCCTATGTATATTCTTACACAAATATTTCTTTGGTTTGAAAACACACATTGGGCTGCTTCAGTCTCTAAAATACAGATTATTTGTGAAATACCCCATTCATCTTTTTTTTTTTTTTTGGAAAGGATTGATTCAGAGCAATATTAGTAGCCAAATGAAACTATTAAGCATTTCACTCATTATTTGGTATAAGTATCAGAATAATATAAGTCTAGTGTTGAGCAGTGAATTAAGTCTAATCCAGAATTTATAAGAAAGCCATGTAGATAACTATTACATTTACTGAGTCAAAATTAAGATATATTCATTGTAAGACCTTAAAGGAGAATAAGAATACAACTGAAGTGTAATTGCTTGTGATAGTGAGCCTTTGCTGTTGATAATTTTTTTTAAAAAAAGAAGAAATAGAATAGAATAAAATAGTGTATAGTATCAAAACATCGGGAATGAATTTTTTGCATGGCATTCATCCAAGAGAATTGTCCAATGGCTGGTTTTTAATTTATCACATATTCTAGAGATAAATTTTCAGTCTATAGGATTGTTTGAGGCTTGTTTACTAAGTTCATTTTATTTCATTGGCAATGTTGGAGTATATACATTATCAGCAATTGATGTCTTAGTTCTTTACATTTTATACTGGTACTTAGAACATTTTCTTTTCTTTTTCTTAATACTTAAATTGCAAGTAGACTATTTTTAAAGGGTATGCTATACTTTTTTGGCACTGCAATAAATAAATTTGATAAATACAAAAAAATTAAAAACAACAGTGATAAATTTATTGCTGAACAACTTATTACGTGCATTACTAATGCAATAATTAAAATTAGCATTTTTATACAGTGATTGTTCTTTCCCTAAAAAACTAAACAAAAGTTATGGAATATTTTCATATTTATTTTTTTGTATCCCACCTTTATTATTTTTACAAATAACTTCAAGACAGCAAGCATATCCAGTACACCTTCTTTCGCTTATTTTCCCCACAACAACAACTCTATGAAGTGAATTCTGCTGAAAGTGTGACTGGTTCAAGCTGACACAGCAGGCTTTCAGAATTATTACTGAAGGCTTATTTCTCAGACTCTCCCAATTGCTCAGAAAGATGCAAAGCATCTATAGACTCCTAAGGGACTAGCATAGGATTTTGAAAAAGAGATCATATTTGTATTCAGTCCACCTTTTAGAAGAAAATGCATAAAATAAAAAAATATTTCATTTTATATTTATAGTAACTCTTCAAAATAGATTGGGGGCCAGGTAGGGAGCTTTGTGGCTGAACTGGGATTTGAAATTTGATTTCCACAGTTCAGCTTTAACAGCAACTGTAACATAACCTTTTTTTTTTTTTCCAAATTTATGCCCTCTAGAAGTCCTAGACAACAGTTCTTTTTTCAGCCATCCGGGTCAATAAACTCTTTCTGTAAGGCCTTAAAAAATAAAGATATATTTGAATATATATGTTTTCAAATGATATCCTCAGCCTTGACTAGAAAATAGAAAAACTATATTGATTGATATTATAACATGTCTTGGATTAGAGATTATTTGATAATATATATGATTTTAAGATGGTCTGTGGTTATAAAGATATTTGCAGAACAATATTTTGTAAAATAAACATTGAAAGATTGATTATTTTATCTGTACTCAATATTATGCTTATCCTATTTTTTCATTACATTGTGTCTTGAGATGAATAACCATGCATGAATTTGGGCTGTGGAAAAGAATTGGGAACAGATAAACATTCATTTCATCCATGTCTTTGGCAGATATTAATTTCAGAATGTGCTTTGACATGTTAAGACGTTCACACTTTTGTTCCTTGGTAACAGAACAGTTTTGAAATAAAACTGAAAAGGGGCTATAACACTTATTTACTCTCTACATAACAGATTATTAAATTAAAGTTTGAGATCTTGACAAGTTGATTACCCTTCATAGCTTGTCACTTATCTTCATAAGAAAGAGATAAACTTCACAATTGCATTCCTTGTCCCTTAATCCAGATATATATATATATATATATATATATATATATATATATATATATATACACACACACACACACACACACACACACACACACACACACACACACACATACATACATGTTCAAAAATAATAAAAATTACAAAGTACATTATGATTGGACAGGAGAATATCAGGAATTAAAAAACATGAAATCTACCTCTATGCTGTAGGTTTAAAATGCACCCTGATTAACTTAATTATCACAATATTTTTAGATTTTTCTATACAATTTCTCTTTTCCCCATGCTTTTTATTTCCATTCATTGCTCAACTTGGGAAGAAGGAAGAGATAATGGTCCTGCATCTGGCATGATCTAAATAGTATCTTACCTATTTGTCCAAGGTTTATTCTTGGGTCATGCTATAGAGGAGGATAGAAGGACAAGATACAAGAAGATTACTTTGGATTTTATTAGGTAGTGTGAATAAAGTGATCTGAATGAAATGGATGTTAGTAGTAATAGCATGTTATGGAATGCATGAAAGAATTGAGGGATTAGTTATAATTAATTACTTGTGAATGAGCCCTGGGAAAAGAGTTTTGTGTTGGGAAAAGCTACAAAATGGTTAAACATTGTCAGAAAACAATTAAGTCGGAGGAAACATCCAAAGATAGTTTATGATATGGCAATGGAATTCCTGCTTTACAATTTTTATTTTTGTCAGAAGCTTGAAGAATCCTGGCAACCCTCTGTTTCTTAAGTTTTTCAGAAAATTGTGTTTCAAATTTAATGAAATTTTTACATCTTGCTGTACTATTTCCATCAAATGTTAATGAATATGGTTTAGGTATTTTTTAACCATGTTATTCTTTTCCACACTATATACTTCCTAACTGCTTTTAAGAAGAAAATAAAAATTATTCCAAATCCAAATTTAGTAACATTCTACATTTTCTGTTTACTTCATCAAGCTTTCTACAACCATTGATAGTAATATTTACCTGATAACTATCATAGCTTAGAAAAGAGGGGTTTAAAATTTATTTTGTGTTTTTAATATTGTGGCAAATTGCTTCCAGGCACATGTTGATATATTTGGTTAATTATTTTGAAGAATAGTCCTTACTAAAAGTGGTGTAATTTGTTTATTGCAGTACTGGAATGTCATTTGGTGATCATACTGATTTTCTTCATGGAGAGATCATTTTTGCACATACAGCACTTTTCTCATATAATTTGCTGTAAAAAAAACTATTAGTAATTTCTAACCCTGTGATTTCCCATCTTTTATAGTAGAGCAAAAATTTAAGTATCTTATTCTTCCTGCCCAGCAGTTAAGATCAGTGTTACATATTTCATAGTCCTACTTTGCTTCTAGCCATGAAAATGTATTCATGTTCTGTCCAGCATAGTAGAGTACCCACCAAATATTTACACATTCTTTCTTTAAAAGCTGAACATGCTGCTATGGTCTAAGTTTAATATGCAACAATTGGATTTCAATACTTTTGAGAACTGGTTGCTCCAGTAAGTTAAAAACTCAGTTATTTCTATATCCTATAATTGTGTATTATTTTGAAGTTTGAATGTTTGAAAACAACTACAGAATACCTTCAATTTAAAATGAAATTTAATTCTACACAAATGAAACCTATAAAGAAGAGATTTATAGCAGTGGCCTCAATCTTTTGGATGCCAGGGACCGGTTCCATGGAGGGTGGTTTTTCTGCGGATTTGGGGGGCATGGTTTTATATGCTGTCTGGATCTCACGCATGCGTGGTTGGAGCTTTGCTCACTTGTGTAGCCTGGGGATTGAGGATTCCTGATGTAGAGGACAGAGAGTATTGTAATAGAGACCTGTAAGTAGTATATAAACATAAGAAAATTCAATATTGCCTAGTGGTTATATGTGGATCACTTATGTGTTCTTGGATCAGAACTAAAAAATGTTTTGATTTAGATTGTCATATATGTATATTTATGCATTGACCAAAACGAGAAAGATATAACAAGTTTTGGTTATTGAAATTTCTTTCTTTGCCAGCCTACTTTCCTTGTGGAACTGTCCAGAGTGCTGGCAAATCCAGGAAACAGCCAAGTTGCAAGAGTTGCAGCTGGTTTACAGATCAAGAACTCTCTAACATCTAAAGATCCTGATGTAAAGACCCAACATCAACAGAGATGGCTTGCAATCGATGCCAATGCTCGCAGAGAAGTCAAAAATTATGTATGTTAAACCTTAGCATTTCTAGTTCTAGTTCATATTCCTGCTTTTTTATCAGTCTGCATATCTTTAATTGAATACTGTTTCTGCAATTTACTATTCTCTTATTTGTTCCCAAGTTGAGAAAAGGCTGGGAGGCATGCTTTATTTTTGCTCAACTTCAGAAATGGTACAGGAATACACAGCAGTCCATTGCCTAATGCTAACAGTATTGCAGCTTTGTGATCTTGCCTACTGATGATGATCCTCTTCTTATATTCACAGGTTTTGCAAACCTTGGGTACAGAAACCTACAGGCCAAGCTCAGCATCACAGTGCGTTGCTGGCATCGCCTGTGCAGAGATCCCTATGAATCAGTGGCCTGAACTTATTCCTCAGCTAGTAGCCAATGTTACAAATCCGCATAGCACAGAGCATATGAAAGAATCAACATTGGAAGCCATTGGCTATATTTGTCAGGATATTGTAAGTGTTGCCTTTAACGTGCTATTCTTGCTTCTTGTGCTTATTATTAATCTCCTGTTCTTTCTTAATTTTAATCAAAAGCTCATTCCTGTGTTTTGTTAACTTGAGTAAAGGGATAGGGCACATATAATACTGTCTCTCAATATGTTCTAAATTTTTCTTACATGATTGTAGTTGATTTCAAATTATGCATTGGACACTTGAAGTTTCAAGCCAATTAGAGATCCTAATATTTGTTATCCCAGAGTGTAATTGTGTGTAATTACTACCTACTGTTGTTTGAGGGAACAAAGCAAATTATTAGATTCAAAGATCCTCTGTACAGGATTTCGGTAGGTTCCATTTAGTTACTTTCTGCTGGAGGCTGGGTCAGAGGACTCAATTCAAGTTAGCCCTTGAATTCATCTTTCTGTGTCCAAATAAGATGCAAATCTCCAGAAAATAAAGTACTCAGTGACTAAGCTATAGTGATAAACAGTCTCTATTCTAACTTGGAAATCCTTGCGATTCTCAATTTAGACAACACACTATGGTTACCATTTTAGTTGGTTGTGCATTTTATAGGAACACAGGCATAGTTTATAATATTTTTTCTTTTTCAGGATCCAGAACAGCTTCAGGATAAATCCAATGAGATTTTGACTGCCATTATCCAGGGCATGAGGAAAGAAGAGCCAAGTAATAATGTGAAATTAGCGGCTACAAATGCACTCTTGAACTCTTTGGAATTCACCAAAACAAACTTTGACAAAGAGGTAAGTGATCATATTGGAGTATGGTTGAAAAGGATGCCAATGAAATCCATGGTCTGTGATGAGAAACCATGCACCACACTGAGTTCTGATGCATTCCTATTCACCAAAACAAACTTTGACAAAGAGGTAAGTGATCATATTGGAGTATGGTTGAAAAGGATGCCAATGAAATCCATGGTCTGTGATGAGAAACCATGCACCACACTGAGTTCTGATGCATTCCTATTTTGACTGAGACTTGGATTTGTACATGTTTAGAAGTTGTTTTGGAAAACTTATTCCTTTTATATTTATTCAAGTAACAATAATAAATCAATTAAAGTGGCATACCCATAAACATGCTGTAATTTTTGGTGCTCACCTATGACTACATAAAAGATTATGACAGCATAAGTTCTTGTTTGGAGTTCAATTTAATATATAGGCAATTAAACAAATATTAAAACATATAGAGTCAACAGTTAGCTTCCTAGATAATAATATTTCTTATGCCAAGTTTGTATTTTTGAATCTTGCAATCTGATATTATCAATATATCGGTTCTTGCCATGTAATATGCATAACCTATTCAACTAGCTTCATAGTAGTTTTCTCATTTCCAGCCAATTGTATTGTCCTTATAATAAATAAAATCAATATTTTCACAACTGTCCAATGAATAGTTCATGATAATGAATCACTATGTGGCAGATACCATAGAATCATTATGAGAAAATTATTGTGAGAATAATTTTACAAGGATTCAGCTTCATTGTTTTCTCTGAAGTGCTGATAACACTAGGTCTTGTTATTTTCTTTAATTGGAAGCAATATTATTAGATTAATTGCTATTTAACTTAGAAAAGAATGGAAGTATTCAAATGTAAAATGAGTACAATCATTTCTTTGCTATTTATTTCGTAGTGTTAAACTTTTAAAGTTTTGTTTTTAAAGCAAGACCCAAACATTTTGCCTTCAAAAATACAATTTTCTTTGTCAAATTATCAAAAATTAAAATAGTAATGTTATGCCAGACAGTGGGTTATTGGTAAAACTTCTGAGATGTAAATAATGCAGTCAATTTCTAATTTGTAAATGAGAAGGTATCAAAATGTAAACTACTATAAGTCTCATACTGATTGTGCTAAAGTCTGATGAACAGTTGGTGATATTTATAGTTTGTCTAACAATGAATTTTGTTTTGGTAACAAGGATTTAATCTTGTACTATAAAATCATTTTAAAGTAACATATACTGAATGCCATTTAATGTTCCATAAGTAGCTTTTAGTAAGTGTCTCAATCAATAATAACATTTCATGTTGTTCTATGATTTTATAAAGTAATCCTTACAGTTTGGACCTGGATGTTTTTTCTTTGCAGCAGTTTTTATTTGAATAAGGATTAATTAGAATTGCATACAAAATGAACTCATTTTGTCTACCATAGAGCCATTTGCGCTCCCTCACCTCTTAGGACACTTCAGATTTTTTTTCCCAACTATGGCAATGTGATTGTTTTAGGCAGAAATGATGAGGTTGGACATGTCCTGGAACAATCGGGAAATGGGGGAAAGGTGGAATATGCTGCCCTGAGGTTATAGAAGTAGGACAAGGTATTGATAGTGCTGGGAAGCTGGGACAAGGAGATCAACAGTAGAGGAAGGGGAAACACTGAGAGCAGTGCTCATCAGCCTTACTCTACTCACCCCATAAACCAAGAAGCTAGAATTTGTTTTACCAAATTCCAGAACAACTTAAATATTTGTTTTTGAAACAAAACATAATTTTGTGCACATTTCTATTCAATGAATTTCTCCATTTTCTGCCATAAGGAACAAAACCTTATATCTGTTAAGTTTTTTCTCCTTTGCTATTTATCATAGAATAAAACAACAGTTAAGCACACTTTTTGTAGCCAGAAGCTGATGTGCCTTTATGAACAAAACCGAAGCAATGGTTTTATTTCAAGATTGCCATAAATAACATAATTGCAAAAATATTTATTTGATTATTAGTTAGAGGCTTTTTTCTAATACATGTAATTGCACAGTGAATAATTTTGACATTTAACAGTTCAGTAGAATAGCAATGTATCTTCAATATTTTAGGCAAAGTTTAAGAAATAGAGTAACAAAAGTTTCATTTTAATTGAACTGCCTGTCCATAAGAACAATGCAGCAAGATAAATGTCTACTTAATACCCATGCATAGTGCATGCTTTTGCATAGGCATTCTGAAAAAGAAAACAACAGTTATAGACCAGATTATGAACTTTAACTTCTTTATAGAAACTTATTTAAAGACTGAAGAAAGCCTATCTGCTATGCTTATCTAATACTTATCTAGCATCATGGTTTGAGACATCCTTACTGTGTTTGAGGGTAATAGGAACAAAGGTGCTGTTGGCATAGAGATAGTAGTACTAAGAAATAAATAAAGCCAAAGTCCCATCCCTATTGCCACTGACTAGAGGCTATTAAGGGGAAGAAAAGGCAATGATCAGTTAATTAAATACAGATTGCCTGAGAACCATTTAGATTGAATTTTATCAAAAAGTGCCTGACCACTCAACCCAATATAGCACAATCAGCACAAGCTGTGAAAAGGATAACACTGCCATACATCAAAAACATCTCAGAAATCACCAACAGGTTGTTACAACCAGATGGCATTACCATAGCACACAAACTAAATCCATCCAAAATATCCTAAGATCCAGAAGAAAAAATAGTCATCAGCAACATACAGGGTAAGGACTGTAACAGCCAGTATGTTGGACAAGCAGGCAGAAGATTAGCAGAGCACATCCATGAATAGCAACTAGCAATAAGAAGACATCATGAAAAGTTCTTAATTTCAGAACACATAGATAGATTTAACCATAGCTTCAACTAGAAAACTATGAGCCTCCTGTATCGAGCTAAATTCAAAAGCACTAGTGAATTTCTGGATACCTGGAACTAAGACAAGGCAAGCCACTAGTATAAATATCACTGATGATGTTACCTGGTTTGGTTATGAAATGTCTGCAAGAAAACAATCAACCTCAGAGACACTAAGGACCCCACATTTAGATACCATTTGCTTATTTGAAGATGGAGCTCCAGTATCATCAGTTCTTTGCATCTTTTGTCCTACTGATGACTAAATAGTATTAGAACTAGAGATAACAATTCAAAGTCTCCTCTTTGTTTTTTTCTTCTGCTTTTCCCTGATTATTTTTCTTCAATCAAAATAATAAAGATACATGTATTCTAAGTATGTTGGCCTCAGTAAAAAAAAAGTATAATATAATTTCTGAAATTCTGCGGGTTTGTTAATCTGCTGTCAGAAACCATCTTGAAATTAAGAATACTAAGTTGAGACAATAGTGAATCTTCCCCAAAATAGTCATCTAATCAGAATTGTCCATGGACAGCAAGCCACAAAGAAGCTCAAAACAAAACTTGGAGAACTTCAGATCTCTTAGTTTATATAAAAAACAGGCTTTGATGACTCTACCAATACAGAATAAAAATAGAATTCGTGGAAATCTAGCAAGATGGAAGCTATTGTTTACTAAGGAGATTATTGATGCCTATATCAAATTTGCTAACAAGCACTTGGAGGTATGTTCTATAAATACATGAGCCAAAATTGGAGCTCTTTATGTTATATTTGGGGAAGATAAAAAGTATGAATTCTACAGAATATCAGACTATTCATCAGCTAACTCTGAAGTACACATGGATGATGCAGCAAAATAATGATCCTGAACATACAAACAAATAAATCTATAAGAATGGATGAAGAAAAATAAAGGCATTATTTTGGAATATAGGTAGTCTTTGACTTATGAGCTGTCATTTAGTGACTGGTTGAAATTATGACACCCCCCCCCCCCAAAAAAAAAGATACTTATGACCCAGAATTGAAGTTCTTATAGCCAGGCCCCTCATCTACCTTACAGTCATGTGACTGCATTTTGGGCTTTTGGCAACTGGCCTGCATTTACGGCTGCAATGTCTTGGGATCATGTCACTGAATTATGTTGTCTTTTGTTGGAAACAAGTATTTCTGGTTTATTTAATAACCATGGTGATTTGCTTAATAACCATCACAAAAATGTCATAAAATTGAGTCAATATGTGACAATAATGACCCACTTATTGGAATGACTTATGACCATAATTTTAGTCATAAGTCAAGGACTACTTTTAGCTGTGTCAGAATCCCTCTAGAAATGTGGCAGAGCACAAAACAAATTTGCTAGAAATTTGTTATTCATTAATGAATTTAAACAATTTGCCACGGAGGAATGGGTCACGGTTCCTGCACAGTAATATGGGAAGTGTTTGATGCCAAGTGTTTGGTATTACTTTTTTATACTAATATATTATTTGTTGGGTGAAATTGTTGATGAAATAAGTGAAACGGGCTCTAAAACTTGGTGTTATTTTGTTCACTCAAACTGCATATATGAATCAGTAAAACCCACATAATGATATGGTTACATGGTTCATTGATAAAGATAAGCAAAACATTAGAAAAATTTAAAAAAGAATAATATGGTTCATTGATAGATATTCAAAACATCAGAAAAACTAAAACGAGAATGATTACTTTTTCACATAACTATATTATTTCAGCTAGAGAACAGAACGCTTTATGAGACACTTAAAAGCCTTTCTCTAGGTTTGCTTCTCTGTCAGATAGTTTTTAAAATCATGTTATGAATCTACCGAATGAACCAGAACCAGCATAAAAATGGTTCTGATTTTACATTGAGTGGCATTGCGTGCTTGTTTCTTAAATTTTATGAAGATATATTTACCACAATATAATTTACAAGTCCAGAAAGAAATGATGATAGGATAAGCAGATTGTTTTGAATTGCAGGGAATTTCAGTTATTTTTTACTTTTGAATTTGATTTCTGTTTTACCATCAGTATACTGCTAAGGGACCTAAAATATGAATTAAAACAAATTTTCAAGTGAATGAAAGGTGAAATAAAATATCTTGACTGTTTAATGAGAAATTTAAACTACAGTTATTTTATCCAAACAATTTTATATTGGAACTGTTGAGTATTTTCATTATATAATATCTGTAATAAACTATAACTTTAAAATAATTTGATTTCAAGCTAGAACTTTAAAGTTTCTGGTAGACTCAAGAATTTTACTCTTTCAGAAGAGGTATTTGATTGAGATAACTTTTAAGTTTTGTATGGAAGATACTGCTATACTGCAATCATATTCCTCAATCAAATATTTGAAAAGATTTTTTACATTGCATTTGTTTGGTAAAATAAAGTTGTGTTGAATTCAAGTCATTGAGAAATTCTATATGATTATTAGGAGTTGAAAACAACCTGACAGTATATAATCAGAGTCAAATTATTGAGTACCAGAGGGTTCTAGCTGGACTATTGTATATTTTGTTTACCTTTATTTTAATTTGAAGTATACTTTGGAAATTTCAGACCTAATTCTGCATTTTTCTTTCTATTCAAAAATTTCAGTCTGAAAGGCACTTTATCATGCAAGTAGTCTGTGAAGCGACACAGTGTCCTGATACAAGGGTAAGCCTGAAACTCTTTCCCAGCCGTTTCAATGTATGAAAAATATACATCTGTTTCCAAAAAAAGGATGATGAAAGCTTTAAACTGATTCTTCACCAAAGGTTTTATATAATATTATCAATACATTCAGTGGTTCCTGGAAACAAAACTAAAGATATCTATCTATCCCAAAAGAGATTAAAATCCAACATCAGAGAAAGGTGATTGGGAGTGACATAAGGAGTGACACAGTATCAAAGTGAAGAGATTTGTTTTCTATCTTTAATTTGGTTATAATCAGAGTGACAAATAAAAGATTAATTATGTGCATTACAGCATTACATAGATGGCTAGGGTTTTGAGGTGCTCTTTAGTCAAATAAAAGGGATGGTATGATCAGAGATTAGGGAAGCTAGTTTAATAAAGGGAAAAACGTCTTAAGAAAGAAAGTGTTGCTTTTTATAGATAACTAGCTGTATCCAGCCATGCGTTGCTGTGGCTCAAGAAAGAAAAGAGAAAGCGCACATTTGTAATATGTTTAATTTCACAATCCTTGTGGGTATACAGTATTTTTTGTTGTTCCATTGTGTGTGCAGATATAGAGATTATGTCCAACACATGGCGCTGTTTTTCAAAAACATGTTTTTAACCTGTTTTTCAAAAAAGCATGTTTTTACCTGTCACAGGTGTGACATCTATATAATATAGGTATATACAAACACGCGTGTATTCGAATACAACTTTGTGTCAAAATTTCAAACCAGTTGGTGAAGAACTTTCGGAAATTTAAGATTTTGAACAAATGAACATTTACATTTTTATTTATATAGATCAGTGGTTTTCAACCTTTTTATACCGGCGACCCCGGTCATAAGCACGCGCCGCGCATGCGCAGTGCCGCCCCCTGCACCGGCTGAGGCATAGCTGGCAAGGGGCGGCGGCAGGCAGGCCCGGACGCTCCTGGGCGGCCGTGGCAAGCAGGTCGACCACCGGCTGGGCCACCAGCTGGCCCAGCCCAAGGCAGGTAAGGCACCAGCTGGGCTCCACATGTGCCAGCAACCCTCCCTGCGCCCGCCACTGCCCCGCTAGGTTTACCTTGGCCGCCGGCCGTTCGGGGCGGTGGCAGGCAGTCCCAGGCACTGCCGGGCGGCCGCGGCAGCGCAGAGCGACCACCGACTGGGCCACCAGCTGGCCCAGCCCAAGGCAGGTAAGGCACCTGCTGGGCCCCACGCGCGCCAGCAACCCTCCTTGCACCCACCGGCCTCCCACCCTTGGCCCTCTTTTACTTACTTTTTAGTTGCTCAACAGGGAGGGAAGCTCTGCAGACTGTTCCCCTTGCAGCACCGTTTGCAGACTGGGGCTTTTGGCGGGCTCAGCAGGGCAGAGACAGCTCTGGACAATTCCTATTGGCTTTTGAAAGCCAATAGAATTAGACTCTGTTCAAGAGAGTCTATTCTATTGGCTTTCGAAAGCAAATAGAATAAGAGGGAGTAGCACAGCTAAGGAAAAGGGGGGGAAAATGGCGGATCGCGTTGTTTGGCGACTCCCGTGAAATGGTCGTTCGACCCCAAATGGGGTCGCAACCCACAGGTTGAGAACCGCTGATATAGATAGTAGATAGACCTTTTGTTGCTATAATGTCAGATTATTTTTCTGAATTCAGTACTGTGTAGTTCCTTTCCCATTTTCCCATTATCTGTTTAATTTTAAAATTAGGAATAAACTCTAAAATATTTGGTCAAAGTAATTTGAATACTAGGTTTATTACATTCATATGGTAGATGAGTCTTTGGTGTTTTCTTCTTTGCCTAGAACTGTTATTGCTCTGTTTTTATATTAGGTGCGAGTAGCTGCCTTACAGAACTTGGTGAAGATTATGTCCCTTTATTATCAATACATGGAAACATATATGGGCCCTGCACTTTTTGCTGTGAGTATTCCCAAGTGAGATTTGAGATTGGATGTTTATGGTCAAGACCTAGTACCACATGATGGAGTGACCTTCTACTACTTGCTGCAGCTCCTGTCATCCTAGCAGTTGAAAAGCATGTAAATGCAAGTAGATAATTAGGTCAGGGCTTTTCAACTGATAGTACGTGTACCACCTGTGGTACTTTGGCATGTGGCAGGCGACTGTCCTAGAGTAGTATAGTGGGGTGGAGGAATGAGCCGAAATGATCCAAGCCTGAAGGAGAGGCAACTGCAGTTGCAGGACTATCGAAGCTCAGCAGAAGCCCCAGGAACTGGCAGGGCTCCAGCTGATTGGCACTTCCGGAAGCAGTGCGGAGCTAGAGGTGAACTGAAGAAAAGGGGGAGGAGAAGATATAAAAAGAGGTGGTTTTGGCGGGAAGGGGGAAAAGACAATGGAAAGAGAAGGGGATGGAGAAGAAGTGGAAGGAGAGCTCGGCAGGCAGGGAGAAAAAAAGACAGGGAAGAAGAAGCAGCTATTGCTGGAAGAAAAGGTTCCCTGGTTCGTTTTCTCCAGCCAGGAGAATGCAATCAGCACTGATGAAATGAAAACCCGGGAGACAAGCATGTTGGAAAAGAGGTGGGTTTATTTAGTTCTGGATCAGCTAGCAGCTTGATTGGGTTACCATAAGGATTTTTGTACAGGTTTTACAGTGTTTTGTAATTCAGAGGCTCCTTTATGTGCTTTGGTTATTGGAATATTTTATTCTGTTTCACAAAGGCTAGCAATGAGACCAAAGTGTTGACTTCCGTAGGTTTAATCCCTTTAAACAAATGTAATTGGTTTCTAGAAAGTTTTCTTTGAAGGTAAACAGGCTTAATTTAAGGCTAAAGCTTTTTGCAATTGCCAGAGCCTTTCAGTCTTGGATTGCAACATTGTGACACACCTGAGGTAGTGCCAAGTTTGAAGACCCCTGAGCTAGCTGGTAGTGGTGCATATTAATAAACATGGATAAATTCATCATACATTTGTCAGTGCAAAGGGAAAGTGATTCAGCAAAGGAACAGCCATCGAAGAAATTAAAACTGGTACTTTTTTACTTTTTTTCTACAGTTTGCAATATTTTATTAGATTATAGAATAAAATACAAAAGAAACAGTAGGACACAGTGGGGAGGAAAAAGGGTGAAAAGGTGAGGGGGAGAAGGGAAAAAGAACAGACTTTCTCTGTTGCAGTAGAAGGAAGCATTAACATTGAACCTCAACTTTTTACCTTTCCATAATATAAATCTAATCAGTAAAACCGAAAATCCCCCTCCCTTTTTTTTTAGTCATCAAGTTTTTGACACCTTGCTAAGTACTGGTGGTATTCAAATATTGTCATGTCCTAAAAATGGTACAATCTGTGAAAAGGTTGAAAAGCCCTGAACTAGGTTTCACTTCAGTGGGTAAGTAAGTGTTCCATGCGCCTTTGGCATATACTCATGCCAGCCACATGAAATATGCTCTTTGGCTGTGAATTGGAGATGGACATCGCCCCCTAGAATCGAAGACAACTAGCAGAGGAAAATGTTTACCTTTTTTATTTATGTGCTAGAAATTAACTCTAAATTACTTGGTGGAGCAGAAAATATAGTTTAACACTGCTTTTGTTTTTCTAAAGATCACAATTGAAGCCATGAAAAGTGATATTGATGAAGTGGCTCTGCAAGGTATAGAGTTCTGGTCAAATGTCTGTGATGAAGAAATGGACCTGGCTATAGAAGCTTCAGAAGTAAGTTAAAGAGTTGCCAATATTACATTTTCTGACTTTACTACTTAGTACAATTCTGGTTTATAACAATCTTTGGTCTATGATGAAAAATCATGCACCACGCTGACTAAAGTGATGCATACACTTATAAATGTTGAGACCCAAGATTATTAACTGAGAATTATTTTGCATTGCGATGTGTGTTTGAAAGATTCAAGACAGATTTTCACACACATAAGCATTGTAATAGCACTCTGTTTCTGCTGCATTCAACTTTAGTTACTCCTGATTAGCTCATATCTTAGGGGTGTACACCAGTTGCTACATTCATGTTTTTTGACGAACATTTCTTGCAACACAGCATATACTACTTGGTGCTTTATATCAACATTTGCAAATCTTAAAAATTCTGGATCAATTTCCTGTTTTCAGTAAACATTCTATTAATTCAAAATTATCTTTTTGGCTACTTGCTACAGTTCACTTGATTTTTAAAAAAATCAAAAATAGTCATGATAATTGATTATTTTTCAAATCTGCACTCCATACAGGATTCAGTAAAAATAATTTAGGTTTTAAATAAGCAAAATAGCATTGCATTCATAAACCTACATGCTCATATTCTTAATCCCATGTCACACATTTTCTAATATTGGTGCATGTATTTTTTCTGTGTGAATTCAATTGATTCCCTTATTCAGTTTGAACCATTGCTAAACATTCCATTTGTTCTTAAGTATGCTGTACCTGGCTTACTGCATTCAATAACTGACTTTCAACTTCATTTTCATGCAAAATATTCATAATTCAAGTCTATTAATCATATATAATTCTATTCTTCAACGTATTGCTATAACTCCTAAACAATTCTACCGTATCATTATTATCCCCAAATGTAAACATTGACTTTATAAAAGCTTGAATGGGATGCAATGATTCTAATTCCATCCAAGCAAGACGGAGTGGCTTTGGGTATTTAATCTGGCTTGGAACAAGGTTCTTCCATCTTTGGTATTTGATAGGGAAGCTTTGATCTAGAGACTCAGTGCATAACTTGGGGTTCCTCTTGGACTTGGGCTTGAAGAGCAAGTTCCAGTTATGTCTTTGCATATCTTTTTTTAAAAATATATTTTATTAGTTTTATAGTTTTAACAGAAAGTGTGTTGTGGTTCCGGCTAATGAAACATTCCAAAGAGCTTCCAGGCATTATTTTCCTAAAAGTCTTTTATTGTTACAAAATGTCGGCACAGGCACAACGGAGGGACGCTAGGATCTAAGTTCTCTTCCTCTGAGGAGTTAAATTATCAGCATGTTCCCTCCCTAAATTAGCCGTCATATCTCACATTATCCAATTAGTGTGAAGGTCAAATGTTTTCTTCCTCTTTCTTTCCTGGCTTTACCCCCAACCCCCCTTCTACTCTGTATTAACTCCATAATTACCAGACAATTCTACATATTGTCAAAAGCAAGAATATACAATATTTGCAGCGTTGACAAAGTGTTTGAGACACACCGTGGTGTTTGGGTAAACACAGATTCCAACATAAAATCACACAATAACAGCTCGACTTAATACATTCGCTATAATCTCTCTATTTCCCTCAGATAATATAATAAATTTAATATATTTCATATCTATCCTACATTTCTATTACTACTAAACCTGTTTATTAAAACTTTATCAATTTCAATTACCATAATCAAATAATGTTTTACATCAACATATTACCCCTTCAAATCTCTTGCAAATATATTCAAGTTCTTAATCTCTCTCATCCCTTTTTTATTACCAATCTTATTTATTTCTTCTTCCAATAATAACTAATTTAGTTTTAAAAAAGACAATATTATCATATCAAATTGTATTATTATACACAAATATCTCTTAATTAAACATTACACATATATAGTTATAATTTTCTTACTTCTAAATCTAGATCATTTGACTTATTTCATTTCCATTCATTAAACAAACCAAATTCCATCCAATTAATTACCATATTGAAACATATTATACACAAAAATCTCCTCATTAATTAAACATTTCAAAATTCCAGTCTAAATCAATCTTTTACTCCAAGAAATGTATTCTTAGTCACTGTAAAGCCAAGTTTCTTTTTTCATTCCACATTTAACTTTCATATTTCCATACCAAACAAACTTCCATAAAGCAAAAAGGTCATCAAACTAAATTAAACACACATGAGTATAGTTGTAGATTTCTTACTTCTAAGTCTAAATCATTATCCTTAAAACAATCCATAGAACCAACATTGCCTTTTAATCCATTCAACAATTTTTACTAATTTAAACACGCATGTGTATAATTGCATTTTTCAACTCTAAATCATTATCCTGAAAACAATCCATGAAATCAACATTGCCTTTTGCTCCATTAAACATTTTTAAATTTGTTTTTGAGTCTGATTCTGGGTTTCTTTCTATGCCACACTGGCTTCTATAAAGATGCTTCCCTTTCAACCAGTAAATCCATTCTCGATGCTTGTAGTAATCTTTGAGCAAATGTATGTCCCTTTCTCTGTATTAAGCATCTTTTTTCTCTTTCAACCAATAAATCAATTCTTATTGCTTGTAATAATCTTTGAGAGAGTATAAATCTCTTCCTCTGCAGTAAACGTCTTTTTCTGTACTCTTTGCGATGTAGTTGCTTTGTATTTTGAAGTCTTAGTCTTTGCTTCTTCTGGTTCTCTTAAGTTGTTGGAGAAGGGATTGTCAGATGAAGTAAATTCCACTTCTATCTCTGTAAATTCCTCTTCTGGGACATTTTAATTTATGCCATAATCAGTTGTAACCTGGACATCAGTTTGGGCAAATATAGTAGAGTCTCTAGATCTTAATTCTGAAGTACAGTTTTTAAATGTAGCACAAATTTCTGCAATGGCCTCATAAATCTTTTCCAATATAAGTGCACAATTCAGTTGTATCTGAGGTTTCTCCATTTTAATACTGATGCTTAAAAGGAGATCTCTTTTTCTTTTTTGTAGAGGCTTTGTTTAATGTAAAAACATCCACCCCCACAGCTTCACAGGTGCAGTTTATCTTTAGTGTTTTAAAGTTCATAAGAAGAAATAAGCAGGGTTGCAGTATTAAATTTTCACCACTAGATGTCCTCAGTAAGTTAAGAAAGTCCTTTCCAAAAATCAGTTCTTTCTTTTCCCCTGTCTTTTAAGGTAATAAATATATATATATATATATATGTAGAAATAGTAAATTTCTTTAAAAGAAAGGAGAGAGAAGCCTTTTCCTTTTTTTTTCCTTTTTAGTGTCCCAATAAAAATAGATTATAGCCTTTCAGTGTTTGTGAAATGCCTTTTTTCCCATAAAAAAGCAGAAGCCGCCTTTCCAAGTCAGGGAAATAATTTCAGGAGCTCTTTACAGGCACATAATCGAAAAAATAAACGGAAAAGAGAGAAAAATAAGAAAAAATTCTCACCCGGATTCACCACGGGGGCACTAAAAGCTTAGATATTGTTTGGCTTACAGTCTGAAGCGGCAGGGCGATCAGCCATTTTCCTGGCCGATCTTCTCTGTCAGTCCTCAAGAGTTTCGTCCGGATAGCTGGAGGAGCCGCCGCTCCTCCGCAGCCGGACCCCAACCTCCTCGACAGAAGTCCCACCCTCCAGGGCGACTTTGGACCCGTATAAGGGTCCACCGATGGAGGGAAACCTAGTCGACAAGGAGAGAAGTCTCTCAGTACGACTAATGATGCCGCGAACCAGAACCGGAAGTCGTCTTTGCATATCTTAAGGGTATGCAACAGTTGCACCCATTCTTGTACAGGGCTTAGCTCATAGTCACTCATGTCCTTTTTCCTCTCGCTCGATTACTGCAATGTACTGTATATAGGGTTATCCATGAAAAGCATTTGGAAATTTGTTGAGAAAGAACAGTCCATCATTCATCGATTCTATTATCTCCAAGTCTTTAGAATTCACGCCCCTTTCAGCTTTTTCCAATATGCCTGCAGTTTTCAAATCAGATTCCTCCTTCTAATCTATCAGCAATAAATTATATTCCAGTCATCAGATTGCAAATCTTTTTTTAACTGCTGTTCCTTGTATCTGAGTATCATCTTTAGTTATTTTATCAAACTTTATATCTAAGTTTTCAATTGAGTTTGTGAGTCAAAAAGCATTTTTCCAACATTTTTTTCCAAAGGCTTCCAAAGGGCTTTAACATTAATTTGATTATTTATATTTTTAATATAGTCCAAAACTCTCCTATAACTGAGCTTTCACAAATAGAAACATTCCCTGTCAATTAAAGGGGAAGTTGATATAACAGAATAATCACAGAAAAAAACGAGATAATATTTCTCACAATGAAAAGTGAATAGACAAGAGAAATTCCCATTAGAGGTTAAAAAAAATAAGACCAGAGCTTTTAAAAAATTAATAGAATATAAAATCCTTGTAGTGAAAATTCAGATCAAATTTGATCACTTTCACTAGCCAGAAGATTACTATTGACTTCCTTACAGTGAAAGCGATCTGCAATTCCAAAATAAAGCAATAAAAATATGCAAAAAATCACATTAAAATCCAGCAAAGGATTAGAATAAATCCACATTCAACGGTCAATTAACAGTTAAAGATAAAAGAAAAAAGGAAATTTCAAAACATGTAGTTAAAACTGACGCACACTTAAAACAAAAGGAAGAGATGAAGACCTGCATACTCCTACTGAAAATTGCAACTGTTGAGATAGTCCACGGTTGTTGGAGAGTCGTGTTGGTCATTCCTAGTTGCTTCTGTTCAAATTTGGGGATTGTGCTGCTATAGAATCAGCTTTGGTGGTAAAATCAGCTATTGGTGAGCAGGAGAAAAAACAATTACCATGCCATTCTGTGTGCAATTTTCAAAAGACCCAAGCATTCAGAAATTTCAAGTGTTATAAAATGTAGCTGCCAGGTAAATGATAGTGACAGTTATGTGGTAATGCTGCTACAAGAACTGCACTATTTGCTGGTATGCGTCCAGGTGCAATTCAGGATACTAGTTTAAAGCCCTATGTGGCTTAGGAACCAATTAATTAAAGGACTATTTTCTTTCAAAAGTTTCTATCTTTCTAATTTGGTTTAGTAGTTTAGAGATACTGTGGGTCTCATCAGCCAAGAAATGTCAGCTAGTAGGGACTAGGAAGCTTGTCTTCTCTGCAGTAACCCCTATTCTTTGGAGCTGTTACCCTTCTTTAAGGCTTTAAAGCAGGGGTCCCAACCTCTGGTCCATGGACCAGTACCGGGCCGTGGCATGCCAGCAACTGATCTGCACAAACAAGCAAAGACCCATCCGCAGGATGCAGGCAGCACACAAAACCACACACTCTCCAGTCCACGGAAAAATCTCTCTCCATATAACCGGTTCCTGGTGCCCAAAAGGTTGGGGATCTCTGCTTTAAAGACCTGGCTATGTGCCAAAACATGAGCTCTTGAAAGTGTTGGGGGAGCTGTTATCTGGGTAAACTGTTAATTCTCATGTAATTATAATTTTTGGTTTCCTATATATATAATTTGTAACTGGCTTGCAGTTTTTATGATTTTAATTATTGTAATATTTGCTGCCCAGAGTCAATTGGATTGAGATGGGAGACAATAGAAATTGATAAATTAAATGAATAAATAAATAAAACATATTTCTCCATTCCTTCACTTTAGTTTTAATCTAAACAATTTCATAATTTAAATGTTTAATTTACTTTACTAGATGTCTCGTATTTAGTTCTTTTCCCACCCAAATATTTTTTTCATCAAACTTAGTACACATTTTCTTTGTCCCTTTTAATCTTAATTGTTTCTTTGATTACGTGCTTTGCAACTATGTGCATATATATTCCTAATCATTTGCTTAATGTCCTTTTGCTTAATCTACAGCCTTTTTTATAATTCCATCAAATATCCTTCTTAGTACTCTCTATTAACATAACTTTACACATTGGAATCATTTCTATTTTTTCTGTGTTTTTGTTACTCTTAACACTGCCACAGTCGCACATTCAAAACTTGTACCACCTTTATATATCCTTCTCTAATTCTCTCAATCATATAGGGAGTAAGCTTACAAAAACATAAAGCCTTTTGACTTGGTGTTGGAAGGGTTGAATCTTCTCTTAGCGAGCAAATGGAAATAAGATGATTCATGAAACATTGGGCAATAATGCTGCCGTAACTAATTAAGTTAATGTAATAATTATTTACATTATCCATTAGCCATCTATTCATGTATTTGCACATACACTTGAATATATGTTAGCAAACAATCTTGCAGTATTGTTATTCCCATGAGATTTTCAAAGTAAATGCAACCTGCACATATGTATCTCAATTCAGATAGGGAAGGGGCGTAAATACATGTTTAGTTGGAATTAAGACATTTGTATTATTTCTTTTGCAGGCAGCAGAACAAGGACGGCCCCCAGAGCATACTAGTAAATTCTATGCCAAGGGTGCTCTCCAGTATCTAGTCCCAATTCTGACACAAACATTGACTAAACAGGTAAGTAATGTTCAGGTTGTCCTTGGGATCAGCAATTCTGTAGCTTAGTGATGCATCATCAAGTGTATATATATAAAACATATATATACCATATGTAACAACAGATGTACCTCCTCACTTCTGCCGTGATTCTTCACTGATTTTGCCTGTTGGAAGCCTGTATATGGTAACCACATGACTGTGAGACACTGCAAGGTTTTAAACACTTTACAGCTATGAAATACCTGAATTTCAGGAAAATTGCAATAGTCATAGGAGATTGATTTAGTTGTAAAGTTATTTTTTCAATGCTGTTGTAACTTTGATCACTAAACAAGACAGTCATTAAGCAAAATAATATCTGTAGTTTCAGGGCCCATAGTTTTCAGCAGCTTGGTATCTTCCAAGCTATATTGAAATTCATCTCCTAGTATATTTTACTGTTTGGTCTGGTCTTACAATAGGCAATTAAAATCTTGGAAAATGTCAGATTGGGGAGGACTGGCATATAATAATTATTGTGGAAAAATTAAAAGAACAAGCCTAAAATGGCCTGGTCTGCAAAAAGAAACCTGTGTGTTCTATTTGTTAGGTATTTTTTGTTTAATATATAACTTTTATACACAAAAAATATAAAATAATTGCAGTAATTCTGTAGAGCAAGCACACTGGCTGAGGAATTCTGGGTGTTGAAGTGCATAAGTCATAAAAAGGCCAATTTTGAAGACCTCTGCTGTAGCGATAGCATTCATTCATCAATGGGCAGTCCATCATAATAAGAATTATCACCTCTGATTTATGAGTGGATGCAATCTCTTACTCATAGCCATATAGTATTCCAAAATTATTGCATATTGTCCAATTGGAGACAGTTGCTTGAAGAAATACTCTGCCCTGAACAGAACTAAGAGGCATTTCCTATTTCCCTTCCTGCTTCCTGCACTGAAGCCTCAGCTGATATTAAAAATACAATTCTGTTAATCTTGCACCAAATTATATCCATTTCTGTTGTATCACTCTTACCACTTTGCTTTTAAAGGAATTATCAATCTGCCATTAAATTTGTCTTTATCAGATCACTACTTTATTACTGAGTTTTTGACAAATGTTGGGTTGGTGTTCAAAATCAGACATTTTCCTAATTTGGGGCCCCAAAGTATATATTGAATTTGTATAAGATTGTCAAATATTATGAGAAATAAGTGTTCTTACCTGAAATCTAATCAGATTTATTATAAAATGAGATTTTGGCCATTTAAAATATAATCCTGAATATTGTTTCTTCCCATTTTTCTTCACTTAGGATGAGAATGACGACGATGATGATTGGAACCCCTGTAAAGCAGCTGGGGTCTGCCTGATGCTTCTGGCAACCTGTTGTGAGGATGACATTGTACCCCATGTTTTGCCCTTCATTAAAGAACACATAAAAAATATTGACTGGCGATATCGAGATGCTGCTGTTATGGCATTTGGGTGCATTTTAGAAGGCCCAGAACCAAACCAGCTAAAACCTCTTGTCATTCAGGTGAGGGAGGTTTGTGCTAAAAATACATTTCTTTTGAAATGAAATCTTGCAAATTAGATAACTGGTTTGTAAATATATTAATTATGTGTCTCTTTGACTAAAAATAACTTCATAATATTGTGAGAATAGAAGGTGCATAAGGAAAATAGCAAGGACAATATATATACTTGACATTATGTTGAATTGGCCCTAAGACTAAAATGAATTTATCTTAAATGTACTATGCATTTGATGTCTTTATTTTGATCAAATAAGTATGCGCCACAATCATAATACTGTTGGTGCAACCATTGTTGTGGTACAAAAGATCTGAAAGTCTTGTAGCATAATATATTGCTCTGGTACAATAAAATGATATGAACCTTTCAGAAAGGCTTCATTCGATTTTTCTCCCAGAAAAGGACACCATGACAAGAAAAGACAACTATTATAATCAAATTCTGCTTTAATTGCTTGTGATCGGAGAAGTGACTGGTTCCTCTGCCTTCTGCTTCTGCAGTGATTTTGAGGAGTAGGACTTATGGGGAGACAGTCTATCCCATATCTTACAAAGCACCATATTTGAAGAACATCTTTTTTATTGGCTGAAACCTTGGCAAATCAGATCAGATTCTGATTCCACTTTATAAAAATAAATATAGAACAACTTGCTTATAGCAATTCTTACATATTCTGTTGTGTTAGAAGACTAAAATCTGTATTTGTCTTATTTCATTCTGAGTATTCCCATTGAAAGCACACCTTTCCAGCAGAAAAAGCAAACGATTCAGAACCAATGCAAAGCAATGTTGGTGCAGTATAAATGAACTATATTTTTCTGCACTTTTGTGATACATTAATTCAAGACAGCCTATATGATTATCTTTTCCACAGATACTATGTTTTAAACACAGATTGGCACATCAGACTTACTTTACAGTGGCTATTGATTTTTTGCCTAATTCAAGGAATTAGTGATTGCCTTTAAAATACTATATTGGCTTGCCATTTCCACCTGTCATCTAGTTTGTGTCCTGAGATTTGTGAACTGGATTTCTTTTTTTAATTTTCTTATATCAAGCGATGCAAAGACTTGGTATCTATAAGTGAACAGAGAAATTGCCAAAGTTATACAATTAGCAATACATTGGTGACAACAAATTAACCATAAAAAAGAAAATACTTTTTTTTTTGCTTTTTTAACAAGAAGCAAAGGTTTTTCACAATAACTAAAATGGTTTTTAAAAATCTTTTTTGAAGAGTGCCAGAGTTACCATCATTTTGTTTTATTTCAGATAAATATTTAATTTCTAATTTCCTCTTTATTGTATTCTGATATACAACATTCATATTTATGATTTCAGGTCCACTCTTTTTCCCTTTAAACATACTGTAAATGCTTATTTTGTCTAGTTGCATATAGGTAGTGCTTGTTTAGCAGTGGCCTCATTTAGAACTGTTCACAGTGATGAAAAAGCAATTTACAACCAATTCTTGGCATTTACTGTAAAGGAAAGCTGAAGACCATTTCGGTTTCACTTAATAACTGTTTTGCTTAACAACCAGGTTCACAGTTCTAACTGCAGTTGCTAAACAAAAAGCATTACATAATATATATGGAAGTCATTCTTCCTTAAATTGTCAAATTTCTGTTATGAATATATGCTGTTAATTTTGCAATTACTCCACATTCTGCACATTTAATTCTGAAATTAGTGACATATCAGATAGTAACATCAAAAAATAAATATTTTCTGGTATTACGTTAAGCTTGCCATTGCAGCCATGAATTTAAGTAATTTCATATTGTATACATATGCGTATGTATGCATGTATGTAATATCAACAGGATGGTTGGCGTCTTGATGGCCCTCCCTCTGTCTTTTAACTTCCAGCTTACTTTATCCTTATTTTTACTGGCTCCTTTCATTAAGGTATCATATTTTATATGGTTTTTAAGATATTATGTTTTTAACTGTACCCTATCCTGAGTCTGTGTGAGTTGGGCAGTACCTAAATTTGACAAATAATAAATGCCTATAGCATAAAGTAAAAGTTTTTCCTCCTCTAAGTTGCCATGTTTAATATGTCCAGCATCTTCTCTCCCTAGACATGCTTTCCTTTTGCTCAATTATTGAATTATTACTAACTAATCCCGGTACCTGGTATTAGATGCTAATATTCAGTCAATGGTTTATTGTTTAAGATTCATTAAATCCTCTGCTAGTTTTATTGTGTGCATAAGTTTTGCTAAATTGGCTCAAGTTTCAATATTTGAATACTGAATATTTCATGACAAACCAGTGAACTTGAAATCTCTGTGATATATTTTAGCCACAATATTACATTATTCAATATTTTGGAGTAATACCTATCAGAGTAACCTATACTTCCATTTTAAATACATATGGGCCTGATTGGTAAAAATATACCTTACAGCTTGCCTGCTCTGAGATCTAACTGAGCCCCCCAGAGCTGAAGGAGCCAGTTGGAAATACAAGGATTTTGAAAACTATTTTAGACATGAAATTGACAATTGGCTATTTTTCTCCTAGGCTATGCCTACTCTTATAGAGTTAATGAAGGACCCCAGTGTTGTCGTCAGAGATACAACCGCCTGGACTGTGGGTCGGATCTGTGAGCTGTTACCTGAGGCAGCCATAAATGATATTTATCTTACTCCATTGCTGCAGTGCCTAATTGAAGGTTTGAGTGCAGAGCCAAGGGTGGCCTCCAACGTATGCTGGGTAAGTCAGAATTTTTATTCTGAATAAACATTTGAGTCCTAGATAAATTAGGAAAATAAGGCTTGTAGTTTTAAATCTGCAGTTGCTCCAAATGTACAGGTAGTCCTCGACTTATGACCACAGCTGGGACCAGAATTTTTATTACTAAGCAATGCAATTAAGTATTTATGATATTTTTTTTGCCATGGTGTGAGCAAATCACTGTAGTCATTAAGAAGCTCCCTCTGTCATTAAGCAAATTTGGCTTTCCCATTGATTTTGTTTGTCAGAAGCCCTCTGGGAAGGTTATATATGGTGATCATGTGACCCCAGTGATAATGTCACTGCAGCTATCATAAATACATTCTGGTTGCCAAGCATGCAAATTTTGTTCATGTGACCATGAGGCATATTACACGAATCATAAGTCACTTTTTTCAGCATTGTCATAACTTCAAATGATTGTTATATAAATGGTCATAAATTGAGAATAATCTATATAAAGTTACAGATAAAACAATGGTGCTAAAGTAAAAAATGTTTGGTAGTGATTGGACCTATTGTTTGACTTCTTAATTTATCAAATAATGGAACACGAAAATGTTAAAGAAAGATGCAAAGTTGGAGTCAACATTAGGAAATTAATTTCTTACCAAAATAGGAAACTTCCTAAAATTGTCAACTTCTAAATTACTGACACCTAATATCTTTCAGGCTTTCTCTAGTTTGGCAGAAGCTGCTTATGAAGCTGCTGATGTGGCTGATGATCAAGAAGAGCCTGCAACATACTGTTTATCCTCATCCTTTGAATTAATTGTTCAGAAACTTTTAGAGACCACAGACAGGTAACTTAGTGATTCTTTATCCATTTGACCATGTGCTGCTGACCAATGAACTTCAGAATATCCTCAAGAGTTTCATTTTATAAAATCTCCACAATTTCTGAAGGATAAGGTGTAATATCACTAGGTTGGTTTTGTAATTTTGGGGAACCTTTTACATGTACATTCCACAAAATGCAGAAAAGCTACAGACATGCAACTTTTAGATTTTGGCACAAGCCATATTGTTGCAATATATATGAACAATGTCCACTAAAACAATAGAATAGAGACAAAGTGTTCTGGAATTTATTTAGAAGTTGTAAGCCATTAACAAGCGAAGCAGCACAAATTATATAAGAAAATATATAAGAAATTATTTAACACATATTATTTACATAGGTTGCAGGATTATGATCCTCTTTCGATAGAATATAGAACTTGGACAGAATTTGGCAGGCATATATAACAATAAAATATAAGAACTTTGAAATTTGTGCATTTAATCTGTGCTTTTAAACAATGTTGACTAAGTTTTGCAACAAATTTAGCTGCCTTTTGATGAATTTTGCAACAAAATGGAGCACGAAGCTATATAGTATTAAAATAATTCAGCACATTTTAAACAAGTTTTGCACCTTCTTGGAATTATCTCCTTTTATATTCCAGTTTAAAATATTATCTATATCTGAAAATGACCCTATAAAATAATTTGTCCTCTTTTATTATGAACTCCAATGACTACTACAGTTTAGAATAAAATAAGTAGCAGGCTTTTTATTTTGTCTAGATTTCATGATTTCTTTCCAAAAATTAAAAATAAAGACAAAGTCTTCATTGGTTTCCCTCCCACTTCCCCCCACTCCCTCCCTCCCTGTCAATAATATACATCGAGGTAGTTAAAGATGTATATGCTATTGAATCTAGTATATGACCTGTGGTGTTAGATTTTAGTTCTCATTTTCAAAATACCAGAACAATCAGTTTTAAAAAAACAGCACCATATCCATCACAAGATTTCATTGACAGAGAAACATACTTCTTCATCAACGTAGTATTATTTAAATCACTATTGAATATATGTCTTGTGTAACTTACTTGACCTAATTAAACTATTTATTTGCTTGACATATATCCTGACTTACTATGTTCATGCTCTGGTCAGGAGAACTTTGTTTTATTACTACTTAATGCTTACAGATTCTAAATTTATACATACCTGGTTATTGCAACAAGATTTAACTTTGTTCAGTAATATCCCTGTCTCCAAACTGAATCAAGATAATTCAAATTCTGTCATATGTTTATCTGATTCTATAAGCTGACAGGCCTTTGAGAATACTCTTTATTTCATCACTATTAAACATTTTGCAAGCAATTCTGTAGTGTTTATGGATAAACTTTTTGTGGATAATTTAATGTGATTTTATTATTCTAATTCAGTGCTAGCTTTCGAGTTTTTTAAAATGCAATTACTATACAAGTAGTTTTCACCTACCAAATTTTTGTAAAGCAGTCATTCAAACTTATGGCAATGCTGAAAAAAATAACGTTCACAGCCTATTTATGACCTACATGTTGTCCTTCAGCCATTTGATCAACATTATAGTCATCATGTATATCCTCACGATAACATGAGGTGCTCACTTAGCAATCTGTGCACTCCTTGCTTAACAATGGCAACCAAGACTGCCAGGACAGTTGTACTAAGCAACACATTCTCATTAGCAATGGAAATTTCTGTTAAAATCCAAGGACTACCTGTACAATTACTTGTTTTGCTGTAGAAGATCCTTCATATTCTAGATCTAGTCTTTACCTCCCAGTGTCTTATAAAGTATTGAATTATTATGTTGGATGTGAGATTAGACTTCCATATAACAGTTAGCTTGGATACTTTGGAATGCTGTAACATAAAATACATAAGTCTTGAAACAACAGGCATAAATTTGTTGTCTCAGCCAAACAAAAAATTAGACATAAAATTTGACTTTTTCCAAAAGAGAATCTGTTTGGAGATTATCAATCATCCAGGACATGGTTGTCCTAAAGGTGCTTTTTTAAAGAGGTAATTTTCTTGTTTTTCTTTGAAGATGTTTCGCTTCTCATCCAAGAAGCTTCTTCAGCTCTGACTGGATGATGGGGAATGGAAGCATTTATATTTCTTGCAGAAGCTGGTTATTTCATTTTTTAGAGAGTTGTTGAGGCCACTTGGGTTTGTCTGTGTCTTCAGGGTCATCTGAGTAGTGCAAATTGGTGTGAAGCCTTCTTGGAAGGCTTCCTGAAAGGGCTGTGTTGTGGAGTCCAGTTGCCTCTTGAAAAAGCACCTTTGGGACAACCATGATCTGGATGACTGAGAATTTTTATAGACATTTAGCTATAGACTTTGGGATGAACACTCTTTGAATGGTATGGGAATATGAATTGATTTCAGAAAAATTGCAGACTACAGGATATGCATTTCAGTGTAAGATGCAGACAACACAGACTCGCCTCCAACAGCCTGCACCTGTGTTCAGCAGTGAAGGGACACAGGGCAGAAAGCACAACTCCACAACAGTCCTTTTAACGGTTCTAAGAAGGCTGCTCCATACCTATTTGCAATACTCAGGTAACCCTGAGGACACAGACAAACCCTCAAGTGTGCTCAACAACTCTAAAAGAATGCAAATAACCAGCTGTCTATAAGGAATATAAATCCTTACATTCTCCATCCAGTCAGAGCTGAAAAAACTTCTTGGATGAGAAGTGAAACATCTTCCCAAAAAAAAAAAAAAAGTCCAGTTGCCTCTTGAAAAAGCACTTTGGGATTTTTCCAAAGTTTTCTTCAATGGCGACACCATCTCCCTCCAATCTGATTTACAATCATTTCAATATATTTTATTCCATAATGTCCAAATAAATACCAAGAGAATTGTGGTAAGTGCAATATTTAAATGAGACTTCCAGATTCGAAAGGATGACTTTTCTAATAGTATGGTAATAGAATAGATGTGATACTAAACAACAAACAAAAATACATTTTGTTATGAGCTTGAAGTTAAATAGCCCATTCAGTACATTCAGGTAGAACATTTTGTGTGACTTGTATTAAAATGGAACCTAACCAAAATATTTTAAGTATTTTATTTTCTATATATAATAACAATAAATAAACAATTAGCATCCCTAGTTTTCATCCTGGGATCCCAAAACTAGTGGAGCAGCAATCTATGACAAATGCTATCTGTGTTTGCTCTATAGAAAAATTGGCCTGTGGGTATTTTTTGAAACATTAAAAAATAAAATAGTAAACAGCAGTTAAGATTATTTTTTTATAATCTGCCTGCTCAAGCCATTATAGACCTGAGTTAACAAAAGAGCAAAATGTTGAGTTTTGTATATTTCACAGCCATCCAAAACAATATTATACAACAATTGCAAAAATTCATGTGCATGTCCAGTATACATTTTATATCCGTTATTCTTTCTGAAGAAAAAAGAAAAATATTCAGGAACGATATTGCATTATGATCCATTGATTAATTTTCTCATACCAAATAATTTATAAGTAGCATTGTGTGTCACAGCATGCAGGACTTATCTTTTTGTGGTTGGCCATCTTGAATTATTTATATCGTGCTATCATGTGACATAGCATTTAAAGCAAATGAGTTAATGACCGTGCCCCAGTATCAGGCAGATACTAGGATTGGTGTTGGGCCACTGCTATAAGTTGAGAGTGATGGAAAGGTCTAGCCCTTATTCATTCCTAATGGCAGATTAAAAAAAAATCTCATTCCAGCCTTAATCCCTCCCCCAAAAACCAAATGGAATATTATACCCTACCTTCCATTGATATACCACTTCAGTGGATAGCCTTCTGGATTGTTCATTGGCATTTAATTGTGTCTGTGTTCCAATGTACTCTTGCTACTCCTGTTTATATTTTATTTTAGGCCTGATGGACATCAGAATAACTTAAGGAGTGCTGCATATGAAGCTCTCATGGAAATTGTGAAAAATAGCGCCAAAGACTGTTATCCTGCTGTTCAGAAGACAACTTTAGTTATCATGGAACGGCTGCAACAAGTGCTCCAAATGGAGGTTAGCTTGGATGGCTGAAAAATGATAGTATCCCTCCAAATGGGTGATCTCTAGAACAGGAAAGCTTAACTTGGGGAGTTGTATATTTTATGTTTTGTTTCATGGGTGTTTTGCATGCTTTCTATGATTCATGTAAAAAGATTGACTGAGACAAGATTGAAATTAAAATATTGATTGCTGCAGGACACTATTACCTATACTGGGGTTTTCCATTGCAGGCACATGCCTACGGTCTGGTCATCGCTGTTAGATTTTAATTAAATGTAGCACAAGTTTTTAAACCTCTCAGTCTGTCAGAAAGATAGCCAATGAATATCTTTGTTCAAATTCACACTTAAGATCATAATTAGTTCTGGCTGTAGGTCTTATTATTCCCCATAAACTTAATTTTAAATACATACCAGTTCTTCAATAGAGATAAAAATTTTAAAAAACACTTCAAATACTAAACAGTATTTTCTCTCCAGTCTCATATCCAGAGCACAAGTGACAGAATCCAGTTTAATGATCTTCAGTCTTTACTTTGTGCTACATTGCAGGTAAAAAATTAACATTTATTACTTGATTGTAAAGATGTTTATAGCCTGATACTGTAAAGCATGCAGTATAAGAACTATCAGTAATATTTAGGAGAAACAAATCTGTATTGGACTTTTTACAGATCAAATGTCCTCTTGGTTCAAATTTGACTTTTTCTTCGCAATTTATGAAAAATAATGGTATATAGAAAAATAAAGTAATACGTTGGCGCATTGTTTAAGACAAGAAATGCCTTGGATATATACCTCTCACCAACTGGTCCCAGAACTAATATGTCAAAGAAAGAGAGGTGGAACTTCTCACTATTTTAGCAAGGAAAATTATGAAAATTTATGTTGCACACGTAAATTCAGCCTATCCTACCAGATGCTCAACTAAAGTTAACAAATAACTATCATTGTTCCATTGTATTTTGCTAAATACTAAAGAAATCAGTACTTCTAGATTAAATTAGTTTCTACATGGGAATATCTATCCAGGTGATAGATAGTTATTACTAAATATTTGCGTTATTACTAAATATTTGCTTACAGATTTTTCCAATTGTATAATTCATACCTATTCTACAAGATAAGTTGAAAATGTAATCTAATTAAAAGTGAAATAGGGGGGGAATAGAAGAAAACTTCCAGGTAAATTTTCACCTTTCATCAAACAGAATGTCCTTCGTAAAGTCCAGCACCAGGATGCTTTGCAGATTTCAGATGTGGTGATGGCATCTCTTCTGAGGATGTTCCAAAGTACAGCAGGATCAGGAGGCGTCCAGGAGGATGCCCTCATGGCTGTTAGTACTCTGGTAGAAGGTAAATGCTTTGCTCTGCTAGTAAAAGGGATTTTTAAAAAACATTGAAGGCATACATAAGTGTTTGGGTTGTCCACATTCTATTTTTGTGCTACAATTGGGATATTCTATAAATTTAGGGCTTTTATATTAGTCCTGACAACATAAATGCTGAAGAGATTTGTGAGCTAAGGAGCAGATGATGACAGAAAATTATAAGGTAGTGAAAAATATAGTGAGGTGGTATTATAGAACAGTAATAAGTTTTGTTTTGATTATGAACAAGTAATACTTAACAAAAGTTCATAATGTTATATAAAGTATTTATGCATAATAGCTATTAGAAGGCTTTACCAAACAATTGTTTTGCTGTGATTAGATTATTATGTGAAGTAAATAACAGGAAATGATTTATGAATTTTATTTTATTATCTAATAGTACAGTACAGTAACAGAAGACACATTCTATTTCTGAATTTTATTTCTTAGGATAATTCACAATAGAGACATAGGAAGTGATAAGATTTGAAGTAGAACTTTACTGAGAAAAAAAATAAACTAAAATTTCTGATTGAGAATTCAGGTCCATCTTTATTTATGATTTATTTTCCTCCAAGGTGGTACTTTTCATAAATGGATGGAGCTGAAACTGGATATGAAAATATATTTTGGATCTAAGCTTACACTTTTAATTTTGTCATCTGATTAAATCACATTCACTGGGAATAGACTGGTCAAATATGGGAAGGAAAAATTGTTAACATGTAGACAGAAGAAATATTAGCCTGCTCACAATTTCTTTACAATGTTTAGAATAAGAAAGTATAATTGATTTTGGGGGGGGGGACATTGGGAGGTCATATTCTAATCTTGACTCTAGTATTTGGTTTTTCATTATTAAATATATGTCCTGGAATTCTCAACTTTTTTGTGGTTGAGGCAGCAATTATTGCTAGTGTTGTGATATGGAAAAATTAGAGATGTTAATAAATTTATATTTTCATATTTTTGCCCTGTTGTGGAATGGGAGTAACTATATTAACCTTATTTACTGAATATTTGTAGTGTAACCAGTTGTGGTCCTAGGTTTATTAAAAAGAGAAATGGATGGGTGAATTAACAACCCTAGAGTTTTGAGAGTTACAAATCCATCTGAGCTATGGATATTAACTTTTTAATTTTAGTATCTCATTTTTTTTTAACCTTTCATTTTGCTCAGTGTTAGGAGGGGAGTTTCTCAAGTACATGGAGGCCTTCAAACCTTTCCTGAATATTGGTTTAAAAAATTATGCTGAATATCAGGTAAGGCCCTTTTCCTTGTCTTAAAAAATAATTGTTTGGGATTAAGTGGTATATATTTTTCTAATACTGCTGGATTTGGAGATAATTATGGTATCATTCTTTTTTATTCTTGTAGTGTTTTCAATACTTAGCAGTAATTTTCTTTCAAAATCTGAAGATTTTATTTCAAAACATAAAACAAAGTTCTTTTAACCTATCACCTCACAATAATCTTGAGGCTGTAAGCAGCTGAAACCTTTCTCTCACACACACCCTCTTTCCTTCTTCCTTTCTTCCTTCCTTCCTTCCTTCCTTCCTTCCTTCCTTCCTTCCTCCCTCCCTCCCTCCCTCCCTCCCTCCCTCTCTCTCTCCCTCTCTCTCTCTCTCTCTCTCTCTCTTTCTTTCTTTCTTTCTTTCTTTCTTTCTTTCTTTCTTTCTTTCTTTCTTTCTTTCTTTCTTTTTATTGTAATTGCTTTAGAATTATCCTGTCCATGATATGCTGTTTGGCATCATTCTGGAGGCTTATATTATGATAACAGAATTCATTAGTATATCACTTTTTAAAAAATAATAAACCTGGTTTGAAAGATCAGTGTTCTTGGTCGTTGTAGAGTATCAGTCATGAAAGATCAGGTCCACATTCTGAAGATCTAATGCCTGTGCCCAGGAATATTCTCGGCTAATGGTTAGCGTCTGCTCTGAATTCAATAAGGGTCAAGGGAATGCAGGAGGGATTGGATTTATAGTAATTAACTTGTGGCTCCACATAGATTCTAGACCCGATCGCTGTTTTACCTCCAACCCTAGGTTTTACCATTCCTTCCCCTACTTTTAGGAAGGTAATATCTAGACCTGGATGACAAAAGCTTTGCAGCAGTGATAAAAATTGAATTAAAATGCATTGTTTTGCGTGGAAGGTGGCAGGGCCTTTCCAGAAATAATTGAATGGATATGGAGATGAAAATATCAAATCTTAGGATTGCGGATGAATCTGAGGCTGAGCTTTTAAAAGGAAGGGGATTCATTTGAAAAATAAGCAGTGAAGTGCAGGCAAATTTTATTCCATTAAAAATTGTCACCTGAACCTCCCAATTTTAATATATTTTTTCTATGGAAAAATGCATATGTACTTGTTCATCCAACTTAAAAAAAAAAGAATTTTAGATAGGGATCTCCAATTAAAGGGCTTTTATTCTGAGGCTTCATGATCCCAGTTAAGATCAGTACTTTTACATTAGCCATGGAGTTTTATTTCATTGGAGAACAAATCAAAGAATAAGAAAACCAGTTTACTGTAGTGACTTCTAGTCCAACTTTAAGCACAAAGCCAATTGATTGACTTGGAGCCAATCATTCTTTCTCAGCCCCCAGAAGGAGTCAATGGCAAACCACTTCTGAAATTTTGTCAAGAAAATTGTAAATACTTGTCTAGGCAGTTGCCAGGAGTCAGCATTGATTCGAAGGCATAAAAAAGTAATGTTTCTTTGTGAGTATCCTACACACACACAAACACACACACACACACACACACACTACTAATTGCTCTGCATTTTAATAGTTAACAAGCTATGAGTCAAAACACCATACAGCCTGTTAAATGGTACTAAAGGATGTAATTTAGCCATGGAGTCAGTTTATATAATTTTATAAAATCTGAGGGGTGGCTGAAGGGGACAGAGGAAACATCCTGAATGGTTTCTTTGTAGATTTTAAAGCAGCTAAAGAAAAGAGAACTTAATGGGATTAAGCAAATGAAAAAATGTTGATGTGGGATAATTTGTTAGAAACAATAATCATCCTATTGATTACCTATTATTTAGAATAAATTGAATACAATAAATTGTTTGATTACAGCAAAACAATAATAGGAAATTGTGTTGGAAAAGATTTTCATAACTTATATTTAAAAAGTGGGAAAACCTTGATGTCAAGAGAGAAAAAGAAGAGGGGAGAGGAGAGGAGGAAATAAAATCAGGAGATAGACATCCTTAACCAAATGTTGAAGAAATTTGCATCACAAATGAAAATGTTAAATAAAAATTTCCAACTATCAAAAGAGAAAACACTAAATAAAATGAAGTATAAATTGTAGTAAAAAACTGAAATTAAAAAAATACAATTATGAATATGGCAAACAGTGCAAGCCAATACAAATATATATCAAAGTTAAAAACAGATTAGCTACAAAGCAGATCAACTACAAAATCCAAAAGCAAGAGACTTTGTTATTTTCAGCAAATCATCAAACATTTTCAAGAATTGACTATTGGATCTCTAAATATTTTAAACCATCTCTCAAGGAAATAGAAATTCTCATAGATGATAGATGGACCATGATCCTTTTAAATAGAGGATAAATGACAAGCTGTTACGGTTAGAAATATATTACTAAAATGCAAAAAAGTATTATTTTTGAAAAATAAATATGATTCTGTGGCTATCAGAGATAACCGTATGAGAGCCAAAGAAGCTTATATGAAGGAGCTTTTTACAAGGTTTGTAACAAATCAGAAAATAAGGGAATTACTTGTTATACAAGAGATCAGAAATGACAAAACTTGCACAATTCTTATAAGAAATTATATTCTAAATATAGTATTGACAAAGAAGGCTTGAACATATATTGGAGACCCAAATTTTAAGAAATAACTGAATAACATGGATTGATATTAAGGAAATCAATAACAGTTTAAGAGTTCAAAGAATCAATTTCAACAACTAAAAATAGGAAGGCAGCAGTAATATTCCTAGATACTGAAGAAGGTTTTGATAAATTTGGAGTGTCCTTACAACCATTTTTAAATATAACAAATACACTAGAACAGTGTATTTCAACCTTTTCACCCATTGTACCACTTTTAGGATATGGCAATATCCGAGTACTACCAGTCGCCTAGCAAGATGTCAAAAACTTGATGACAAAAAAAGGGAAAAAAGTGATAAAGTACAGGTAGTCCTCAACTTACAACAGTTCGCTTAGTGACTGTTCGAAGTTACAATGGCACTGAAAAAGTGCCCCCCAAGCCACGGCCAAGCAAGACACCTGCCTGCCCACCCAGCAGCACTCTTCCTCCTGTCCGAGGTTTTCATTGTTGTGAGCATTTTTGTTGAGGATTGGCAGCGGGGGTGGGGTGGAGGGTGTTTTGTTTTTATTCCCCCCCCCCCGTCTGCTGGGTGGTTGCAGCAGGTTTTTGTCACTTCACATGATCCCGCGACACTGTGACCATCATAAATATTAATTGGTTGCTAAGCATCTGAATGTAAATCACAAGACCCTGGAGATGTTGCAACATTCCAGCTGATTGGTGCTTCTTCAGAGCTCAGCAGAAGCACCAGGATCAGCGCCGAGCTCCAGCTGGAGCCTGGCATTGATCCTGGCACTTCTACTGAACCCTGACAGCCCCGAAGAAGCGCCGATCAGCTGGAAAGTGGCACTGATCCTGGTGCTTCTGCTGAGCCCTGGCAGCCCTGCAGCTCCAGCCGTCTCTCGCTCAGGCTTGTACGTTGCGGCCAATGGTTCAGCTCATTCCCTTCCCCCACTACCACTTTTCTAGGATGGTCGCGTACCATCTGCCAGGTGCCAATGTACCACAGGTGGTACCCGTACCACTGGTTGAAAAGCCCTGCACTAGAATTTAAAATTTGGGTGGAGAGTATTGATGACATAGCAAATGGAACACTCCACAAGTTTTCCAATAAATAAAGGTACAAGACAAAAATGCATACTTTCTCCGTTATTATTTGTTTTAGAAGTTTTTGCAGATACGATTTGGAAAGATAAATATTTGGGATCAAAATTCAGGGAGAGGAATACATTGAAGTGTCATGCAGACAATGTAGTATTAAGTATTCAAGCATGGGAGGTCCAAAGAGATCTAAAAACTTCAGATAATTCTCTGAATAGGAAATAAGAAAGAAAGATGATAATATGTTTAACCCAAGAGGGATGATGACCATGTGATATTATGTCTGGCTATGAAATAACAAAAAAAAAACCTAGTGAAATATTTGGGATTCTATCTAGTGCAATATTTCAGAACAACTATAATAAATCATGGGAATAAATAAAATAATAGCTTGATAGGTGGGGAAATCTAAAACTTTCTTGGCTAAGGCTTATCAGGACTGTAAAAATGAATATATAATCAAGATGAACTTATTCCAGATACTGTTAATTGTACGCTTAAGACAAAAGCTTTCAGAGTTGGCAAATAATAATTTAAAAGATTCACATGGAATGGAAGAAAACCAAAATATTCAAACTTTTGCAAGATTCAAAAGAAAGAAGCAGGCTTGCATTTTATTATTTTAAATTACATTATTTGGAAGCTGTCTCATAAGTAACAAAATGTGTAAAATCTCTGAATAGGAGAAATATTAAGCATAGAACCAAACAAATTAGCAAATGGATTATGGTATAAAGAAATAAAAGAAGAAAAATTGAAATGACATTAGTTAAAAATATGGAATCTTCTAAAAGAAAGACTATAACTTTACTACTCACCTTGGTCAAACTCCTTTTATTTCAAGGACAACCACAGCAAGTTGTTTTTCAAGATAGAATTATAGTACAAAAGAGGGAAAAGATGCAGGAAAAATCAATAAAATTTACTACAATTTTAGGGGAAATTAATATAAAATTTGCCCACCAAGTTGGAAAAGAAAAACTTTGCCAATCATACAAAATTGGAAAACCAAAATTGAAAAATAGAGTTAGCAATGGCAAGCTGACTATATATGTGTAATATATATATTGAAGCATTTTTGAAACATGCTGCCATAATTGAGGAATTGTCTTGCGGCTTTATTTAGTATCGTAATAGTGCGAGGAAATGATTGGTGCCTGAGGTGAGGTGAAAAGTGATTTATGAAAGTGGCGGGCATATTTTTTTTGCAGGTCTGTTTAGCTGCAGTAGGCCTAGTGGGTGACCTTTGCCGGGCTTTGCAATCCAATATTCTGCCCTTTTGTGATGAGGTTATGCAACTTCTTTTAGAAAACTTGGGGGTGAGTAAATTGATGTTCTAAAAACAAAAAAAATATAAATTATTATTGAAAGATGTAAAAAAAAATCCTAACAGTATAAACATTGATTTGATCTTTTGGCTTGTTTCTGACAAAGGAAGAAGAAAACAAGCAATATAAATAGAAGATTATGAAAATTATTAAAATGTTATAATTTCTATTATAATCTTCCAATGAGTCTTATTTTCTCACTTAAATTATAAATATCAAAGTCTGCAATGCCATTTAATCAATTTGGTGAGCCAGAGATGAAAATACATTTTAAAACAAGTAGGTGTCGCATATATTTATGCGACACCTACTTGTTTTAAAATGTATTTTCATCTCTGGCTCACCAAATTGATTAAATTGGCTAATTTTTAATGAGCAGCAAATCTTGTGATGGATTAATACTGGGTTGCTGAGACTTGGGGATGCACTCCAATCTATATAGGATGATTGAAGCCCATTGAATTAATAAGAAATATGTTAATACAAAATGGGAAAAGCCCTCAGCACCTTGGGGGCAATACCTGATAGAATATAAGTATCCAACTTAACAATGTAATTTCTAAAAGCTAAACTGTTGGCTATGGCTGTGAATAAAATTACAGTTTGTCTTTACAGAATGAAAATGTACATCGGTCTGTTAAGCCACAAATTCTGTCAGTATTTGGAGACATTGCTCTTGCAATTGGAGGAGAATTTAAAAAGTACTTAGAAGTTGTATTGAATACTCTACAGCAAGCTTCTCAAGCCCATGTTGATAAGGTAAACAATCTTTTGGATCAAATGTCTATGGAAATTTTCAATCATCTAAGTCATGGTTGTCCCAAAGTGCTTTTTCCCCTCTTTTTATTCAAAAGGCAATTGGACTTTCTTGGGCTTTTTTTCTTTGAAAATGTTTCACTTCTCATCCAAGAAACTTACTCAGTTCTACCTAACTGAATGGGGAATGGAAGGATTTATATTCTTTGCAGTCATCCGGTCTTATACCCAAAGAGTTATTGAGGCCACTTGGGGGTTTATCTGTATCCACAGAGTCATTTGAATCAGAATATAAATGGGTATGGAACTTTCTTAGGATTACTGAAAGTACTGTGTTATAAGCTGAAGATAGTTATCCCTCTCCCTCTTTTCAGGGAAGGGGGAAAAGTGCCTTTTGGGAAATCTTTGCGCCCTATATGTTGTGAGATAGATGGATGGACAAGCAATGGTAGGACAGTAATCCCAAGATAACTCCATTTTATCTTTGTTCTTAGTCGGATTATGACATGGTAGACTACCTGAATGAATTGCGAGAGACCTGTCTGGAAGCATATACAGGCATCGTTCAAGGTCTGAAAGGAGATCAAGAGAATGTACATCGTAAGTCCTTTTCTTTTTAATTTCATTGAGTACCACAAATATGAACCTCTGTGCATGAGGTTCAATTTCTGCCAGTGTTTACTTCTCTTAGTAATAATGGGAAATTGTCAGTGCAAGCCTTCTAATTTGCCTTGTTTTAAGATTGGGGCTATTGCCTTAGAAAACAAGGTTGTATTGTTTATTGCTTCTTGTATGAGGTTTCAGTGTATTTTGGTGGAGTTTAATTTAAATGGCATATTTTTACAGCCCTGCCCAAGTTACCAGATGGCCTTTCTTTGCAGCTATATTTTTTTAAAAATCAACAACAACAAAATGAAACAGATACATAACAGACGTTGCTTTCGGTTTAGGTTTCATTTAGAACCTTTGCGTAAGTTCATCATGTAATGTTTTCTATTTAAGAATACATTTTAGAAATAGTTTGATGTGTACCCAGCCCATTCTAAGAAATCATCAGGTTTTCAGGATAATAAATGAGATGGTATGGGGGTGAACAAGAGTTTCCAGATTTGGAGAGGTTAACGTCTTTGAGTTTTTTTCCCTTTCCCTTCAATTTACTTTAAAATGACATATAGTATACAATTTTAGGAGGTTAGTTTTAGAAGATTAGGGTATATATCAGGTTTTAAAATTTTAAAGGGTTCTTCAACTATTAACTTGCATTAAACTCAACTGAATTGCCATAGAATAAGGAGTGGTGAATGTGAAATAGATAAATGTTAGAGGCAAAGGGACCATGTTTTCTAAGCAAACTCCAGTGCTTTATTCTTGTACTCTCACAAATGTGTGATTCTCATCTGTTCTAACCAATAAGTGTTAGTGAAACCATTCAATGTGATTAGAAGCTTGAGTTTTCAGTCACAAAGCTGTATCTCCCTTCTCTCAACTATTTCTTGTGTAAGACATGTATCAATTTTTATATGAGCACTAAAACAATTTTAAGATAGGTAGAAGGAAGGTATAAAAGCAATGTCAGAAAAAAATATAATCTTTGTAGGATGCATCTAATACAAATGAGGTCTATGATTGAACACAGTTTTAAGGTAAATCTTCCAGAATTGTTGTTACTAATAGGAAGAAATGAAGACATAAACCCATAATGTAAGCCTATGAAACTAAATTATGCTTCCTTTTCAGCGGATGTGATGCTGGTGCAGCCTAGAGTAGAATTCATCTTGTCTTTCATTGACCATATTGCTGCAGATGAAGATCATAGTGATGGAGTTGTAGCCTGTGCAGCAGGACTGATAGGGTAAATGCTGAAGATTTACTATGTACTGTCTTACAATGAAGACAAGATGATATACTTTACCACAGGTTTTTTTTACCTTATAAAACTTCTAAAATTGTTTCATCTTGGCTCATTATTAAATATTTAAACCTATTAAATAGCCACCACACTACTTTTAAATTCTTATTTTCATTGCTTAATAATAAATTGGACTGGAATTTGTGACTGATCCAGTTGTAAAGTGAGGCATGTGACTGCAGCTTAGCAACAGTAGTTCTGGCAGTCCCTTGTTAAACAAATCACTAGTCATTTAGTTATTAAGTAAGGACTTAATGTGACCATGACTTCCAACTTCCTGCCAGCTTCCCTATTGACTTTGCTTCTGGGAAGCCAACAGTCGAACCTGTACTTATTTAATTAATTAATTTATATGGCTGCACATATCACAGATGCAACTCTGATGGCTCACAACATATGAAACCAATAAAAACAATATCGCGGAAATATAGAATCTACAATGGCAGTGCCTCAGTTACCTAGCTTCCCACCCTCATGCTTAGGAAAACATCCAGCTTTTCAGTGCTTTGCAAAAGGCTGGCAAGGTTACACCGGATCTAATTTTGGGGAAGCAGGGTTATTTAGAGTTCATGTGCTACAACAGGAAAGGCCTGTATCCTAGGTCCATTAGATTGCATTATTTAATTGAGGGGAGCCAGAGTATGTTCTTCCTATCAAGCCCACTGGGATGAGCAGTTCCTCAAATAACCCAGCCCTATGCCAGGAGGTGATAATCAGCACCTTGAATTCCACCCAGAAGCCAATATAGCTGTCTATTGGCCTTGCAGGACAAACCAGTAGGGGAAAAAGCAGATGAGCTACATCATTGTAAAACTACATTGACAGAATCTGAAAGTACATTCCCTACAACCACTCCAAAACCCTTTATAACCCAAGAAACTAGAGAGGAGCCCTACTTCTGGACCTCTTGCCCTGCATACTATTCAGCTGCAGGCTATACCTTTCTTTCTGATCATTCCCTTACCTGGGTCTCTCTGCCCATTCTTCCAAGGTCATTCCCACATACCATTACACTGGTAGCACAGGAGGAAACTGGACACACACTGCAGCATTCTGGATCAATTGCAACTTCCAGAGAGTCTTCAAGGGCAGTCCCAAATAAAGTACATTGCAGTAATGTACTGGATGGAAATAATTTTTGATTTATGATCACATTGAACCCAGAACTTTGGTCATAGATTGAGGCACCATTAACCAGATACTGTTTTGCTATTGTTTTTACATGGTCATAAAGCAAGTCTCTGCAGTTGTTAAACAACCTGCATGGTCATTAAGCAAATCCAACATACCCAATAGGCATTTTCTACTAGAAAATGGCAAAAAACTAGCAAATTGTGATCTGCAGGTTGCAGCAACTACTTGTAAATGTGAGCTGGTTGCCAAATATCTGAAATGTGATCATGCAGCCTCCCGGTTGGGGGGGGGGGATATGCGGCATTTGTATTTGAAAGAGTTAAGAAATTGATGAACTACCCACAGCACATACTGGGAGATTTCTCTTATTTGCTTTTCACAGGGATTTGTGCACAGCATTTGGGAAAGATGTCCTCAAGATGGTAGAAGCTAGGCCCCTGATACACGAACTACTAACTGAAGGAAGGAGATCAAAGACGAACAAAACAAAAACTCTTTCTACCTGGGCCACTAAAGAGTTGAGAAAACTGAAGAATCAAGCTTGGTGAGAAGGCTCCAACTTTCTTGTTTTTTAAAACAAGCTGAGCTGTTCTGATAAGCTTGCTTTAGAAGTTCAGAGAACTAATGTAAAGCACAGATATTTTTCCAATTTCCACTGAAGAAGCTTCCAAATGGTGCAGAAAGTAGCATTTGTCTTCAATGTGCTCCTGTTAAAAATTCTTATTTTTTGAAGACCTTTAAAAATTGCAAGAAATATTATGCAGTGTAAAATGACAAAGTGGAAAAGTTTTCTAATGGGGACAGAAAACTGTAGTGATAAAGCAATCTTACACTACTGAAGAAAATGCAAGTGACTCTTTTTATATTACACTACATTGTCTCCTTATTTTTCTTCACTTACAGATCTGTTACCATTGGGATGACACCTGAGACCCCCACTGGAATTCTCCAATCTATTGAGGAAAAAACCCAACCCGAAGTGAGGAGTGTGCACGGATGCTGAGTGTTTGGGAATGAGAGGATGAGTGAGTGAGAGGCTTAAACACACCACGGTGAAAATCCAGCCACGGCAATGGCAGAACCGCTGTTAATGGAGCTAATCACTGACTTGCGTAGCAGCAAAACCTTGTCATCGCTTGCCTCCAGGAAGTAGAAAATGATTGAGTTCAATATTTCAGTGCAGTCTCTTCTGACAAGAGACAAGGACTAATTCTGTGTCTTTTGGCCAGTGAAGAGGAAGATTACTTAGTCTGAGAGAGAGAAAAGCTAGCTTCAGGTTCAATTTGAGTACTCATAATAAGGTCTGGCTTTCGTTGCTAGAGAGGAGAAGGTGGGGTCCCCAGCCCATGACCTTTTAACCTTTTTTGGGATGGAGGAGAGTTTTTGCCACACAACGCTGTCAGTGCACGAGAAAAATAGGAAGGGTGAAGGATTTTATTTCAAGAGTGAGTGTGTGTGAATGAGGCAGTATCTACATTCTCAATTGCAGTTAATCTTTCCCAAAAGAAACACTGAAGAGATTAGCAGTTGCATTTCATAAACTAACAAGTTCAGTCAACTTGAAGTGGCAGAAAAGTAAGAGATTTGGAGGGGGGAGGGGGGAAGAGAAGTTGTCCCGTGTAGGGCTTCTTCAGGGAATTTTAGCTGGGATGTTCAAAGCTCCCGTCGTGACACTTTTTTCACAATCTTGTTTCATTAAAAAGCGCCTTTCCTTCCTGAATTTTGTTCAACTGTGAATGTAGAAACCCAGGGTTGGGTGGGGTGGGAGGCGGGTAGAGTGTCCGGAAGACTCTCACATGTTAGTGGAGAGATTAGGATCCAGTTTTTCCAAATGGGATGTGAAGCTTTGAAATAAAACATAACTTTGCTTAAATTGATAATAATAAAAACACCAAAAGGGACAAAAAACCCTTTCGGTGTGAGCAAAAAAGCCCAAACCACACGTAATTGTGCCAAAGAATTTTTAAAAAGTCTAAACAAACAAGAAACCTTTCAGAAAATATTTTGGATTGCAAAAATGAGATTGACATTCAATGTTCAAACAAAGCAAAAAAAAAAGATAAAAGTACAATTTGGAAACTGCTTGGCCTATTTGTTCTCTTTATTTGGTTCTGATATGGGGTTAGTCTTGCTGCACTTCAAAAAAGAAAAATTATATAACTATATATATATATATATACATATATATATACTGACTTGAGCTTACACAGGATGGCACTTGTAAAAGGTTATATTTTTCCATTGCAGTTGAAGATTAATAAAATGGTGTCAAACATTCCCCCAGTACTATTTTTTCTATTACTCTTTCCAGTAGCAGGAAATCCTCTTTCCCCCCTCTCCCCCCCAAAAAAGCAGTTGGGCAACTGTATGTTATTATCTATACTATATCTGTTAAAAACTTATAGTTTCATATATTTAAAAAAATTCTGTTGCTTATAACAAATGAGCAGAGACAAATGTTCTAGATATTAAGGATTCCTAAAAGCAGAGGAAATGAGACACACCAGGTTCTAACTATGCAGCTATTGATGCTTAGGGGCTTTTAAAAGATGGGTGCTTTTCATGTTTGCCTTTAAAATAGGGAATCTAATCCTTTCAAGAAGCATTAAACTTAAAAAAAAAAAAAAAACCCTCACTTCCCTTTTCTGTCTCTGTATTTCTCAGGCTCATCTTGGGATTCTCTTTGGTTGCCCATCCTCAATGGAAAGTAAACAAGCCAGTTTCTTATACAGGGTATCTGATGTGTGCCTTTCAGTGCCAGGTTCAAAATTGTAGCCCCAAGTGCCAATTTTTTGAACCAGTGTACAAAACAAAAACAAAAGATAAGGACTAGGTGGGTAAGAAGGAAGTTCCAGCATGAGTCTGAAAGGGGCTTTTATGAACCTGGGTCAACCTTTTTCTTAATGTCTTTTTTTCTTTGCGATGGAGTTTTCTTTGAAAGATGCTCCAAAACGAAAGCCATTCCTAAACTGGGGAAAGGGGTGTGTGAAGGGAAGATCTTATCATTCCTCAGTGCTACTGACCTCTGTCCAGTGTTGGCTATCCAGCTGTAGGCTGTAGGCAAATAAAGTACACTGAGTTAGTAGTGGAAACCAAAAATGTGTGTCTTACTTTTTTTTCCCCTCGGCATTTAGTACTTCTGAAAATGGTGAAGATCTATGCTGAAGCAAACTTCTATTTTTAATTTTTGCCTGAGCTTTTGCATCAACCTATGTTTATTCACTATGTATTTGAGGAAGGGGGGAGTACCCTGTACCTCTGCTTCAAGGAGGTCTCTGATTAATGAATATTATTTCATGAATTATGTCTCTTAATTACCACATCGAATTTTGTACACTTAACATAAAGAAATTGTTCCTACATTTGGAGGAAGGTACATGGCATCTCTGAGAAGCTTTAGAATTAATATAATGTATTTTGGAGCATGCTATTATGGACCTTTCTATGTGACTTGCTTAAGCTTGGGTAGAAAGTTTAAAGTTCTTGGAATCGGGGTGCTCTTATTGTCCGTCCACAATTTGCCAACAAATTGAAATTGTTGAGAGAGTATAAGGAGAAAATGGTAAATATACAGAGAAATATTACTTGTATATAATTTCAAATGTTACATGTTTTGCCCTCACTTTCTGAAGTGTGGCCGTTAGCCAGAATTTATTTGTTCCTAGTGAAATAGGTATGTATTCCAGGTAATCTTGGACGGGATTTTGCATGTCTTCTAAAACCCTCCTTATTCTGAAGACAATTACATGTTGAGCCTATTATGAATGCATCTGACTTATAAGTCACATGTTTGTCTCAACATCTGTGAGGTATAATCATATGCCTACTTTGGAATTCTATAGTGTCAGACTTTCAAAGATGTGAATTTCCAGATGTGTTGCTATTTAATAAAAAGTGTTGGAAGGAGAAAAAGAAAAACTATCCTTGGGGGGTATTTAAATTTAGGTGTTCTGTGTTCTGTAATTTGTGCCACCTGGAACATAAATTATTTTCTCAGCAAGTTTCCAAAGTGGTATTCAATTAAAAAAACATTCAAATTACCATAGGTACCAAACTTAAAACCATGTAGTCACAAGGTTTCATAACCTGGCAGGAAAGATTTGCAAGCTAATACACAAATGGACTGAAACCTTCTATATCTTGAGGATCTTGACACAAACCACTGTGTCACACTATCTCTCAAAAGGGTCCTCCAGAATACCTAACTTTAACTTTCTATTTTGCAGCTGCTCAGATTATAAATAGAATTATTTTATGGAATGAAATAAGGAATAGTTTGTTCCTTAATTATTAAATTTATATGCTGCCCATTTCATTATTCAAAGCAACTCTGGGCAACTTACAATAAAAGCATAAATAAAGCGGTACCTTGGTATTCAACTGCTTGAAAATTTGTCAAATTCCATACTCGATGCATTTTGAAGCAAAAGTTTGTCCCGGTACTCATCTTTCCCCTGATACTCAACGCACAAGGTAGAACTTGCTGGCATTAGCTGCTTCATGACTTGCTTCTTACATCCAAAATAAAGTGTCATGTGGTAAGTCACATGGTTTGCTCAGTATTCATTTTTAGTACTTGTCACTCATCCGGGAACAAATCCTGGACAAGTGCTGAGGTACTACTGTATAAAAAAACATTAAATTAGTTAAGAATTAAATTAGGAACTAAGCACAGCTAAATTTTAAAAAAAAGCCAAACTAATTTAGGGAAGTTTCCTTGTTCATACTGTGATACATTCTCAAAATGTAAGATAGTATTAAGGAAAAAATACATCCTGTTTGTCAAATTATAGAATCTGTTGTAACAACATAGCACTTACAATATTGCATTAAAAAATCTGAAATTTGTATTCAACAATTTACTTCCAAACTGATTAAAAGGGTTATATTGAATAACCCAAGCATGAAGGCATCATGAAAAATTATGCAATTCAGCTTTATTTTTAAAAAGTAATACTTCCTTTCACGAGATAATTTATAGCTTAGTTTAAAAAAAATAAACCACTTTGCCATTGGGCCTATTACCTCTGGCAGCCTGCAGTCATTTTGTGATGTTAATGTTTTCAACTTCTTTACAACTTCATGAAATTTTTATTACTATGCATTCTGCTTGTAAAATTTCAAATTCATTCCCCCATTCTCATGGTGCATTTTAAAGATTATATGAGTGCATAGAGATATGGTGAGATTGCCACAATTTGCTTTGATTGCAGGTTTTTGTGCACAGATCCCAAAAGTACCAAAAATGATGCAAACCAAATGGGCCATCACTTTTTCTGGCTCAGAAAAACTTCTTGAAGCTGTTGGAGAAGGCCTCAGCAGTGAGCAAATCAAAACATGACTGCTTCTGTTTTAGAAGTGCAAGGGAGGCATCCTTGAAAGAGTTGTTTATTTAACTTTTTGTAAAACAAAATTCTTTGGAAATTTCCCCACATTTGACACCAATATCACTGCAGGAATTGGTATGAAGCAAGTAGTTAATGTGAGCATTTTAAGTATTAAAGAACAATATGCATGACCAGACTGGGAAGTTCTGCTTTAGCCTGATAGGGAGTGAGAAGTTAGGCAAGATTTTTAAATACCAGTTTGTGTGAAATCTCAAGTGATTGAGCTTACAAAGAGTTTTTATTTGTTAAAATCCATTGTTCCTTTCAAATAAAACCATTCATTTGATCATCCAAACTTAACATTCTTGTGAATAAACCCACTGAAAACAATATTTTCAGGAAATGTGTTTGGGTTATGATTATATCTGGACCAAGTTTGAAATTTAATACTTGGGTCTTGAACTCTGTAGTGCAAATTATCCATCACTTTATGGCAATTCCCAACCAGAAGCGCAACATGAATCATCACCATATGGCTGTGATCACAGGATGCTAAACCATGAGTTGTATCAGAAGAAAAAGATCAGGTTCACATATGAAAGTCCAATTAAACTGATTTATTACTAATGCCTATCACATGAATTCATGAGTGATTAGCACCTGCTTGAGGCTAGATAAGGGTCAAGAGAATTCAAGGGAGGTTAGATTTAGTTTGTGGCTTTGTAGATTCTAGGCTGATCTTTATCTTTGCCCTCAGGTTATGCCACTTACAGTTTTGTTGAAGCCATAAGTTGAATAATTTATGACATTAAACCATAAATTATTACGTGATGGCTAGGTTCACATGACAAACAGACAAAGCAGTTTAGAATGATATCTAAATAAGTGTGCATGTTTAGCACTCCACATTGCACTGTTAGAGGATCCAAATTTAGTTCAGTCCACAGGACATCAAAGTAATTATTTTTCCAAAGTTTAATGTGACTGATATATCAATAAAGTAGTGCATTACTCAAATTCTTAAAAAAAAGCTTTATCATCTGACTTCCATTGCTAATTTGAAACCTGACAAAAATAAAATTGGTTCCTTATGTGTTCATTTTGTGTTAGAATGTTTTAATTAAAAGCAGGACACTATAAAAATGGACAAGTAACCTGTATTATTTTACAGAGTGAAGCAGTATTGGGTCCAAAGCCAATCAAGTTGAGATTCTAAAGCTTCTCTATGAGGTTTCTTAGTACTGTCCATTGAGTTCAAGCTCAGCTTTCTCTAACCAGGATCCTCTTCAGATATGAAATTCTCAGAATTTTCTAATCAACATGGCCATTGGTAATAATTTTGAGAGTTAGTCCATGCATCTAGATTATGTCCAGTTAAATAATAATAACATGA